GAGATACAACACCGTGCCTTCATGTGTCACATGAAGGTGAAAAATTTAACTGCGTTAAATTCACGGTGTGTGCTTATTGCCTTCGTCATAGCTCACAAGAAAATTTTAATTTTGCTGTCATTCATAACATTAGCACCATGTTCTTGTGTTACAGTGGTTAATGAATAGCGCTGTTACAGTACAGTTACATGTATGTTCGAATTGCACCACGCTTGGAACTTGCTGCGTAATTACTATCGGTGTAGCGTAGGCTTGTGAATTCTCATTCTGAGGCATTTCAGTGCTGTCCTGGGACATATTTTGATAGCATGTAGAACTAGTATTGTACAATAGTTGCCATACATTACATGGGTGCCATAGAGCATATTGCACGTGGTTACGTATGAGATGCCACTTAGGCAGTATTTGCATGGCACAGCGAATTGAGATTCATGCTTGTGCTTTTGTGTTGTGTCAAAAAAAGTAAATCTCGATTTTACATCGAAAAAAAATTATTTTGTTTACTTCTAACTCGCCATACATAACTACACGCACGCAGGGATGTGTGACACTCTCGGGGAGTTTTTCAGTTCTCGCGCCTTAGCCTCCTAAAGAAAAACTAGAAAAGCTATGCTTGTCCAAGTTCTTTCATCCAGTAGTTCATCTTGATTCCGGAGAGCAGGTCGACGCCGTTTTCATCGATTTTTCCAAAGCATTCGACACGGTATCTCACGCTAAGCTGATATGCAAGCTAACTGCCATATGAAACAACCCGGTCTTGGTCAAGTGGATAGAAAACTTTCTTTCAGATTGCGCGCAATTCGTAGAATTTAATGATTTCGTATCCAATAAATCTAACGTAACTTCTGGAGTTTGCCAGGGCTCGGTCCTTGGACCACTGCTATTTCTGATCTACATAAACGACCTGCCTGGCAACATCAGTTCTAAAATCCGTTTTTATGCGGATGATTGCGTACTATATGACACCATTAGCACACCGCAGTGTCACCAAAAACTAAACGAGTCGTTTTCTAGGTTTTGCGCGTGGTGTAAAACGTGGCAGATGTCCGTAAATTTCCGCAAAACAGTATCCATGTCTTTTACTCACAAACGTTCCCTGTCTAATTTCACGTACTCATCCGCTGACATAAACCTCCAAAGAGTTACAGAATATAAGTATCTTGGCATTATTTTCACAAGTAACCTATCCTGGTCGAAACACATCGAATATGTATGCACAAAGTCACTTAAGAAACTGGGTTATCTTCGACGCACACTCAGCCAAGCACCGAAAGACACCAAACTCCTGATGTATAAAACACTAATCCGACCGACACTTGACTACGCATGCTCCGTGTGGAACCCTTACCGAAAAGGCGAAATTAACAAAATTGAAGCTGTTCAAAAGAAAGCCATCCGATTCATCTGTCGCAGGTATGACTGCGCTTTTTCACCAACCACAGCCCTCGTATCTCTAGAGCTAACCACCTTAGCTGCCCGTCGTGAAATTGAATCACTAACCTTTTTTCACCGCATCATTCACTGTTCATATCGCCTGTCATCGAACAAATATGTCACATATGCAAGCCCCACTCAGACCAGAAGCAATCACACCCTTAACGTTTCCCCGTATCATCCCCGCACAGGCACGTTCAAATATAGCTTTTTTCCGCGAACAATTGAGCGTTGGAATTTGTTGCCTGGCCACGTGCGCTCTCTTGACTTGCTTACATTTCCTTCTAAAATACAACTATTGTAAACTACGTACATATACCGCTTTGTTTCCTTTCCCCCTTTGTACGAGTGCACTTTTGTACTTAGATGTGTATATTAGGTCGTTTTTATGTAACCCTTTACCATGCCGCTAAAACTGTACACTTCCTTCTATGTTGACTTTCGAACACCTGGTTTCGTCGTTACTGTGTTTTCTTTCTTTCTTTTTGCTTTTGTTTCATTATTGAACTTGTTCGATGCGTGGTTTTGTGCGATGTACCCACTCCTGCTATAGCCCCAAGAGGGGCTGCAGTATGTTAAAATAAAATAAATAAATAAAAAATTAAAAATCTTACCGGCACTTTCCACGTGCTGAGTAAAAAAAAAAAAAATCACGAGAACTAGTGCTAAAGTCTTCTGACAAATTCATGCCTGCTACAACACTTTCACTACTGTAGTTGCTTATTCTCGCACGTATGTTCACACATTATCTTTTGCTTCCCGAACTCAGAAAGAATCTGTAAGAATTCGAACGTCCTTAACACGCATGCTTACAGAAAGATAGAATTCTTTGCTCTTTTTCGTAGACTTTTTAGTGACTTCCATAGCTGTGTTTATCCAGTTATGTGCAGTTACCACCTGTCCTGTCCCCATTCTTCTACTTGTCAATTCATTGTAAAGGCCTCAATCGGTGCTAATAACCATACAGTTTCTCAAAATTAACTAGAGGGCACTCAGGCGCTGCGATCGTTCAGCGACCATGGGAATGATGGGTAGTACACACATTTGCCTAGTCTTCGTACTTGCGAGTGGCGAATCGTACTTGCGGCTTTGTTTACTGCTGTGTTTCGATTTTGTTTTGAAAGAAAGATTCAACCCTTTTGAACTTCGTGACCCAATTTGGAAAGGTAATTCGAAAAAAAAATTGGGTGGTGAAGCGCAATTGCTGAACATTTGCTGATTTTTGTTTCGTGAGAAAACAGCTTCAAGCCACACGAACACACACGGAGCCAAGAGCAGGCCAGAAGTATGAAGTTTAGACAAATGTGTGTACTACCCATCATTCACATGCTCGCTGAAGCGCTGTGCCTTGCAGCTTCCATAGACACTAGCGCCAGAGTTCCCTCTAGTGTATATTGGGAAACTCTGTGCTACTAACCAGCTAGACCAAATAGTACTCATGAAACATTTAATGGCCTTAGTTATAGTAATGTGCTCTTCACAGCCATTATTAAAGGCATTAACATTGTAAGTTTGCTTCTTTCATAACAGTATTTGAGCTTTTTGGGTTCTGGTTAAGTGTCTAACCACTCTGCTTCCTGTTCTGTGCATTGTAGCCACTTCGTGCATTACTAACACGGATGCATTTTTCTCTTCTGCTTTCTCTTTTCTGCCTCTCCCATTACAGATCGCCCTAAAGATGAAAGTTAGTATGCTATTTTTTCTAAACCATTACCTTAAGAACTCTAAAGTGAAACATGAAATCAGTTAAGACTGACAATGCATTCTGTGCTTGTTAACGTATGTGCTTTTTTTTTAACGTCATCGCATCATAGCTTCATTATTGGAAGGTCAAACGAAGGTGCAGGTTTCATTTTTTAACTTTGCATCAGAACCCCAAAACCTGCGTGTCAGTATTAATTCATGAATCCAGTATTAATTCATGAATCTCAGCGCCTTTTTTTTTTTTTTTTCAAACAAGGTCCAAGTTAAGGTGTTAAAATGAAAGCTCGGAGCAATGAAAAGTTACCGGGGAACGTTGCTGGAGCCAATGTTTTGCCTAGCGGGTGTTTTCGTCAACGATATCGTTGCCTCGCTGAAGGCAAGACTACTTTTTGCAACGATACCTTCAGTGGCATTTCCCCCCGTGACTTCTCACCAGTTTTTTCTCTCTCTCATATTTCTACCGTGTTGGTTCAAAGATATTTCCTGAAACTTGTAACATTAATTCTCTGCTTCTTTATAACGCTGCATTTTCGGTTGTAAAGAATAGTGCATGTAAGTTGTAGCAAATGGCTGTCTAAAATGATGTGGAAAGTTGGTACGGTCAATTCAAAAGCAGCAGTGCCACATGTGTTTCACTTCTGCACCTGCTGGCTTTGCAGACACCTTCTCATGGCACAATTGGTGCTTTTAGTATTTTGTGGAAGTGTAATTTACTTCACTAATACAGCCAGAATCATTCTTTTTCTCTTTAGCGTCCCTTTAACAGTCATTGTCCATTGCTCTCTCCTGGACATCTATACGTCCCCTTCTTTTTCTTTTGCTCACCTTGTTATAGAGGGATTCATCTAGGGAATCGAGGGATTCTAGAGAAGCGAGAGACTCGAGGGATTACGGCGGCAGTCGCTCGGAGAGGGACAGTTGGCGGCCTTCGAGTAACACCAAGATCAGACTGTCCACATCCGAAGATGGCAGCACGGCATCGCAGGAGCTTGACGTGTGAATTTGGGTGAGTCGCTGCCATCCTTAAATTAAGGCTGGCTTTGTACATTATTGGGAATGTACAAATAGTGAAATGGTCCAAAAATTTCGAATTCAGTAGTTTGAATACTGTACATTTCATATTATAAACAAAAACTTTCGTTTTTGCCATAACCCCACTTATACTTGCACATTATTTTTAAGAATTAAAACAGGGGGTGTGCTGAAGCCACTTCCTTTAGCAGGAAGATTTGAATAGCAGTAGAGTGTAAGTTATAATCGGTAAAATATGTTACGTCTGAAAGTTTGCTATACTTAGTGCACATAAAGCCCAATACTTTTAAGATTTTAAGGAATTATTAATGACAGTGGAGCTAATATGTGCATATAACCTTGGTGCGTGGCTTCGCGCTAGTGCGGATTTTCCCTGATCGGGTGGTTTCACAGCCTGGCAGCTAATGACACAGTGAAACCACTTTTATAGGGGGAGGGGATTTGAGGCGAAGCTCAAGAAAGAAAAAAAAAAAAAAACACAGAATAAGGATGGTACACAATGCACTATGTGGCGCCGTCTTTCTTTAATCATCTTTGGGACATACAGAATCACACAAAGCATGCATATTTGGTTGCTCTTACTATTGCCAATCAGTGAATGCATTAGCTTTAGTTCATCACGCATTGCCAGAGTAATTAATATGTCTTGACTCTCTTTCGTTTCTTTCTCTCTTTCAGGGATGATGCGTGTGGTAGTTGTGACCGTGAAATAGTGAAGAATAAATATCTTAACGTACCGACACAAGTTACGACACAACATGTCCTTGTCTTGCTGCCGACTGTGCGCTGCGGTGTGTGTGTTCACAGTTACTGCAACGACACAAAAAAGCTGGTGACATAAATGTTTTATTCTTTTCTCTTTTAACAGACATTTTATTGTACAACTGCAACGAGCCACTTCATTCGACGCGTCGCTTTAATTCAGCTACTGTACAGGAAAGCTAAGTTGTGTTTGCAGATTTCCAGAACGAGAATAACTCTACAATCATTCATTTTAGTTGTGTTTCACACTTTCACGTTTATAATTTGCCATTCGTCAACAACTCAAGTATAGAAACTTTTTCAATGCTCTTGAATGGACTTGAGTCCCAGACATGACAGCATTGATAAAAATGTTAGCAAATTTTGAAGTTGTTTAGTTCAATAGTACTGATGTTTGCATACCTTAGCCCACCTTGCTTTTGAAGCGCTCTGCTGAAATCTTTTTTAGGCTGCCTTACTCTTCATCGCTTCGAGATAAACCTGTTTAACACATAACACGTATTTAGCCCTGTGTTTATATGTAGTTCCTAAAAGCACGCAAACACAGTGTAGATCAGAAACCAGGGTCCCAGTCTGTCTCTTGCGGCACCTGCTTGATGCTGTAGCACACAAGAACGTCACCGTGCTGAAACCGGACGTTGGCGTCCTGAAACATGAGTCCACACTCGACATCCTTCTTTATAGATTCGACTTCGTTCTTGAGATGCCTCATGGACACTAGCGGACCTGCGGCAAAGGTGAATGCAAAGTGTTGGGATTCCCGCGACAACCTCGTACGTTATTTCTCAATGCAGAGAAGAAAAAAAGAACATAGCACAGTTGACACTCTCTGTGACGAAGTCACGTCTAAGGTGAAAATAGAGCATTCGTAATAATTGTACCTATAAGAATCAGCTGGAAAATAAAAGGCACAATTGAATTTATGCAAAAAGAACGCACGCATGAGATACGCTGGTAACAGCACCAGCAAAAGGTGGCACATTGATGTTGCTTTTGGCACTTGCTTGAAGTGCCAATAGCAAATGTGCTTTTTATTGTAAGATTCGGAGCAATCGTTCAATACTGTGAGCACGATTGGCATTTAAACAAAATATACAGATATGCACGTGCACTCAAAATGCACTTAAGTTCCTCTTTTGCTACAGTTAAAGATACTTGGAGTTGCACAGCAAAGTAATACAGTTGACCTACAGCACAGTATAGAAAGCACAGTATTGCAATAGAAAAAATGCAAACGTAACACATTTTGGCTAAATTCCGGAGGTGAACGTGGTAGAAAAATTGCGCTAATCTTACTGAGCTTCAAACACCTTTTAGAAGCCCCTTCACTTAATACTTAAACCAAATTTGGTATAAAAACAAAAAGCGGCACTTTCAAAATTGCGTTATTTCCCAAACAACACGGAGACAACATTCTGAAAGTTCAGAGGTCACCCACGTGAGCAGGAAACTTTTTTATCCCCGAAATACTCTAGCAATTCACTGTTTTCAATGCAGTAAATCAGCACGATTTTTTTTTTTTTTCGAACACATTTGCGGAAATGGCTGGGACGTTTGGCGTAGAATGACCCAGAAGGAAATTTAACAACAAATCTTAACTTACCACTGTGAATTACTTCAGAGTTTCGCACCAACTTGTAAAGTGCGTTCTTGCGCAGTGTTCCTTTCGTGCACTTGCACCCCGCTACAGGAATCTTCTTCCGTCCTTCACTGACCAGAAACTCCTGCTGCACAACAGCTTCCCCTGCGGAAGTTTTAAAAATACATAATGAGGCAGTCCACAACAAACCTATGCCTATGTTACATGCTTGTGAGGCTGATTAGGAACAGGACTAAATTTTTTGCTCTTGCTCGCGGTACACAATTGATCTTTTTGTTGAGCAAAGTTGGGGGTGAACGATAGACAAGTACATTGGTTCCCGTAGCCTCCCCGACGTCTTTATTGAATTCTAAGCTCGTCAAGGCAAAGAAATGGGCTTGGGCTGGTCACATGCTGCGTAGGATGGACAACTGGTGGTCACTCGAAGCGACAGAAAGGGATGGGAAATGCAATCGAGAAAAGCAGAGCGCTGGAGTAATGAAATAAGGAGCATGGTCGGAAAATGCTTCCGATCGGTAGTCAAGGCTCCTGAGAATGCGTCAGCAAAATATTACAGTGCACCATGTGGCCTGGAATTTACAATAAATTCTTAAGGTCGGCTTACAATCGCTTCCTCTCTTTTTTTTTGACAAATGATGCTGTATACAGTAGACTCCTTTAAACGAAACTTGAAGGGACCTGGAAAATGGGTTTCCTTTAAGAGAAGTTTCGTTTACCGAGAGATTAATAGGGGTACAATATTCAAGTAAGGAAACCAAACATATTAGTGGTAGTTGTTCCATTTAAGCAGCAATTTCATTTAAGAGAGTTTCCTTTAATGGGAGTCAACTGTAGTACTAAAAAATCATAGCAGTCATAGGCCAAAGTATTATGCCACTGGCTGATTTGAGCAAGGCGCACTCGGGAGTTACCGGGGCCGTTTTAAAAAGTCGCGACCTGTATGCTGCGTGTGCGATCGGACTGGAAAGTCACGCATTTGAAAACAAGAAAAAGTGTTCAAGGTCACGAGGCATGCGTGACGTTACTTCTCCCATGCCATCCCTCCCTGCTCAGCTTCTAGCGCTTTTGTCGAAATAAGAGAAGAGAGAAAGCCATTGCAGTGCGCGACAAATCTTAGTGACTCCGCTCGTACTGGACGGACTTCCAAAAATCTTGTGGTCTATTCGTGATGCAATAAGCTGCATTAAGAATTCATTCGATGGCTACTTGGGTGTTGCAGGGCCCCTTTGAATAGGTTGAAAATGATTGAAGGTAGCTAAGCTGAAGGTTGACAGCGAAAAACTAACCGTGAACCTCATCCACGTCGAGGAGGGGCAGCCGCTTTCCGAGTTCTTTCTTGATGTCATCGACGAGATGGTAGATGACATTGTAACTTCGAATGTGGACATTTCCCTCCTCTGCTGCCGATGCCGCTGCACCCAGGACTGGAACGTGAAAGGCGTAGACTATGCCTGCGAGAGAAGTCGTGGAATTTTACTAAGCTTGACTACTCAGTGCATTTGCTCATACATTTTTTAATATACATTCAGTCCTGTCCTTGATTTTCAGGTAGCACTCAACATTCATAAAGATTCTTTTGTGTGCGCCTTTGCAATATTTATTCTATATGTATAGTTAGTGAAATTTCAGTGCATTAAACTATACACAGAGCTATATAATTTTGGCTAGTAAAGGATTGCAGGTTGCAAGAGTTATTTATAATGTGTATGCAGTAGTTTCATATACAAAAGAAAGTCAATTAACACTTGTAACAATCAAGATAATGAGAATGCATTTGAAAGTTGTAGACAACAGGTAAAAATGCACTCAGCAGCTGTTGTCTGCATCTCTTCAAGCACATTCCTATGGACGTACTAAACCAGTATGCCGAAAAGCGAAAGCTGACATTGTAGTGTGGTCAAAGTAGCCAGTAGCTAAAACTGGCTATCAATATTGCTGTGCGAAATGTGAGCACATAGGCACAATTGTGTTACATTAACCACAAGCGACGAACAATTGCTGGCACTCTCATACTATACGGTGAAGCAGAAACGCCCACTTAATCTGCAAGGTAATTTTCAAGAAATGGATTGAACTCGTCAGTTTTCTTGTGAGGTATGAGGTGATTGTAGGTTGCCTTACCATTGAATGGTTGTGCCAACTCAACGTCAGACTCCGAGACTGGTCCCACTCCGTAGTGAATGATGTCCAGACGGCATTTCTGATGCGAGTGGTAAGTATCCAAGAGATCCAGGACAGCTTCCACAGAACCGTCAACATCACCTGGCAATGAAGACAAAACGAATTCGCAGTTAGTTAGAAATATTACGTAACTGGATTTGCTGCACCTGCAAGATTGACTGAAGAGAAGTATTAATGACTGTGCCCCCACTTGCACTGAGAGCTTTCAATACATGCTTGAAGTTGTAGGGAGCGTTATATTGAAATGATTTTTTCAAATCTTTTCGTTACTAGAAGACTTCTGACAGCCCCGCAGCAGATCTGATGAAATTGGTGGAGGGGACTATTGTCAGCTTTTATCTGCAAGCATTGCACCGTGTGTGCATTCTCTCATGTGTGTACGCCTACGATAAAGGCAGCATTCATTTTTGTTTTTACTTCTATTTTCCTTTAAAGCACACCTGCGATGTTCTGCGGTGGACCACAGCCTGTTAGGTTCCAAGGGAGTAGTGGCGACGTAGGACATCCATGCATGCAGTGCTCGCACTCTTTTGAAGGGCATTTTTGACTGTTTTCATTCTATGAAAACGTTTCACACTACACTGATGCGATTATCGCTAAGCTTTATTATTATACCATATAATGAAGTGGCACACTTTAGACCGGGGACGAGGACACGGCAGTCCCTACATAACGACGAGTTCTCTAAGTACCACTCTTGTTCATTTGTAATGGTTAGACCTGGCGAGGGGCCCTTCGAGCATAAGATGCTGAGCATAGACTTCGCACTCACGTGTGGCATTGCATTAATATTGCAGTCGGAATGAAGCCTGTTGTGGTTTAGCATACATAATATTTCTTCTGGTGATTACCACTACGTGGCTTTTTCGTGTACATTACCAGTGCACAAGGGCATGATAAGCAAAAACTAAACGTACAATTTTTCACACAAATACAACTATGTAGCAGTAGTGCCAAAAAGCTTCCATAAGTCTGGGCAACTTGGACAATAATGTTGTTTCCCACCTTTGACGACTATGGGCAGACAGGGAGTGTCGTCGACGGTGTACTCCTTCTCGCGGTTGGTGAGGCGCTTTCTCTTTTTCCGGATGCCCATGGCACGCCGTTGCTCGAGTTCAGCCTTGTACTGCTCCAAGTGCCGTTGCACCTTTGTTGAATAGCTTTGTACTCTTCAATGTCCTTGTCTGCTTGCATCTGGGACTCGCGCCAGTGGGCGACCTGCTGCGCACGTTTCTGCAAGACGCATCGTCGTGGAGGTCAGTAATGCGTGCCCTGCAGTGGTTTAGTAGAATAACTGACTGAAATACCAGTATTAATGCAGCATGCGCGAGATGGTGAGCCAGGACAGGCCCGGCAATGCCAAAAAAACCAAAGTACCAAGATTGTTGCTTCACAAAGGCATTAAGTGTGAACTTTACGAATTATCTATATAGGCCCGTGCTGTTCAGGTTGCACTTCTCGCATGACCACGACAGAACATACTCACTGTACAGTTGTCTCATTTCACATTAAACATAGTCTGCGTGCCTGTTGCTGTAGCATGTAAGCAGGGTTGACTCTGCGACTGCTCCGACCACTTGTTAGAGCCATGTGATCAGCATCAAATGTGTCTGTCCTGTCACTCGTAAACTTTCTAGCTTGTGAGCAGAAAGACAAATTCTGCCCATTTCTTGTGAGGACCAGCTGTAAAGGTCTATTTTTGTGCATTAACCTGCCCACATTAATGTTTGCAAATTTAACGCAAGTATCCCAAATGCAAGCGTTGATGGCCTCATACACACGTTTTGAATATGTCCAGGCTTTTTAAATTGTTTTGTTGATGTGCAAACCTAATTTTAATGAGCAACAAAAAGTCTACATTGAACTATCTTTTCATCTAAAAGCTGCGCTTCAAACACCGAGACCATTCTATGCAGCTCAATTAAATTAGCCTTGCAGGCATCCATTTCAAAGTGCGCTTGGTCAGAGCGACAGAAAACATTGGCATACATTCAGGCCACAACAGGAAGTGAGAGAACGTCACCTCCGATTCGACTTCAATGATGACGTCGCCAGCTGACGGAAGTGACCGCCAGCCGATCACTTGAACTGGTGTTCCGGGCGGTGCACTCTGTACCGGCTTCCCCCACTCGTCAAACATTCCACGAACCTTGGCAAAAGCAGAGTAAATGCTGCTAAAGTACAGCACCCTAACCGCAGCATCACTGTCCACATCACAGACGTCTCTGACAAAGTTTACCTTTGCCCACGCCAGCCCAGCGACTAGGTATGCTCCTTTCCTTAATGTGCCACGCTGCACAAGAGCCGTGGACAGCTTCCTGCACACACAGATTTGCACGCTCACTCACAAGCAATCTGTGAAATCCAGAGACTTCGTTCTAGACAATACGCCTGAAGAGATAGAGCGGCGCGTCTCAATGCTGCCATTTATTCTAGTGAAAAATAACCAAGATCCTCGTGCCGTGACTTATTTATCTCTTCTAGCGTGTGCTATGTTCACTGTACATAACACATACTACAAGCATGGGCAATGGTGTATACTGCATTAACTTGTGCCATAGTAGAGTGGCCCTTCATTTGATCTAAAATAAAACACTGTGTAGCAAAAGCATGTCGCAGGAATATCTTGTTAACATAACACTCGCATGTGCAGCTGACAAACCCAAAAGTGCCAATGATTTTGCATGTAACCTATGCTACTTCAGTGATTGTGTCTACTAGCGACTCCTCGAAAAGATCAGCTAAACTTTTTCAAACGGTGTTCGCGGGAAAAGAAAATAAGAACAGTATTGCTGCAAGGGTGAAGCAATGAATGCAATAGCAACATTGTAATGTCATACAAAGTGAGGCATGCAGCTAACTCTTTTGCATTCAATCTCGCGTAATTCCTCAAAACGCTGGTGTAACAGCGATTTCAGGAAAGCAGTGGTTGTCATGCTGTGCCGTCTCAACACGACGCCAGGAGCATAGCATGTGCACAGGTATGAGAGCATTCTTCTGATGTCAGTCGAGATGGTGCTCGTGACCGTGCTCTTTCGATCAAAAGTTCGCGGTTACTGCTCAAGCGATGAAGCACCCCCCTACCAGCACCCCTTCATAGTCTTTCGCCTGACGAAAAACAGGCAGGGCGTTTTCTCCACTTGAAGAGCACGCGACAGGGCTCGCACGTAGGGTAGTGTTATCGCATACACTCTTCATGCAACAGAGATGGCAAGCTCATTTCATGTTCAATGCCAGTGCTCCTGCGCTTTTATTAACACGTAGAACATACTAAGGGTGATTTTATTGACTTGGACTCTATAAGGAACATGACAGCAATGGCGAAAACCCGTCAGGAAGTGTCCATATAACTGATATCGCAGTAAGACCTTCAGTACAAAAGAAGATGACCATCACTGCCATCTACGAACTTGTGATAACACGTTCCTGCCTCACCCTCTGTGTCGGTCGGTCATCGATTCGATGACGACACCTTCAACGGGGCCCTTGGGGTCTGCTTTGATCTCCATCAGCTCAGCTTGCGTCAGAATAGTTTCTGTCAGCTTGTCCAAGTTAGTGCCCTGCACAGCAAGTAAAATGCGGTTGACAAAAATTTCCACCACCCAGATATGCCTATCAAGACAAGAGTGTGACAGTTGTACACCCAAACCTCATCATAACAAAGTTGCATTTTACACGAAAATAATTTCGCTATAACAGAAAATTCGTTATAAAGGTATATTCCTAACACTGTATCTATTGTAAGGCTATTCTTAATGCATTTTTTATAACAAACATTTTGTTACATCCGGGTTCGTTATATCGAGGTTAGGGTATAGTGCCATTTCCAAGAGTGTGTAAGTGTAAGTGTTGCCAAAGTGGTGTTTGACAAGCACTTCAACTTCAATTAGATGGAAACTACAAGAGTGACATATAAAGATACATTTCCTTTTCTTCTGAATGAGCTACGAACCTTCAGTGCCGAGATGCAGACGTACTGCGTGTCCCCACCTTCGTCGTCCATCTGTATTCCATGAACCATTAGGCCCCTTTTGGCGTTTTCCTGTAAAAAAAGGGAACCTTCATTCACGGGCTTCTTAGACTGCATACAAATGCTGCGATCTCAGTATCACTCACAATGTCAGCTGTAGGCTTGTCCATCTTGTTTATAGCAACTATTATTGGCACTGAAATAAGAGGATAAAGGACATTAAATAAGTACAGCTGCATCGCACATTTCTTCAGCAAACTATTACTGGCCTTAGGTTATCTCAATTTTTACACAGAATGAACATGGCTCACGTTTAACATAATGCAACTAGATGAAAATGTGCTTTCTTCAGTCTGATTTACTTTGTGAAAAGGATTTTGCCTTTAGGCAGAAAGCGGTACTGTTAGTACTTGAAATAAAACCGAGACATTGAAATTTTCACAATACAGCTTACCCAGAAGAGTGTGCCTGTAAAGAAGTAGCACATAAAACTAGCATAAGTATATAAAATATGAAAGTATATTAGCAATTAAAGAAGCTCCTACTAGCACCTTTAAGGAAACATAGAAGTAAAGCAACAGGTTTTTGTTTTGTTTTTTGCTTACCATTGGCCTCACGCGCATATCTAATGGATTCAACAGTTTGCTCCATGACTCCGTCATCTGCTGCAACAACCAAGACGACGATATCCGTAGCCATGGCTCCCCTTTCGCGCATTGCCGAAAAAGCTGCATGCCCGGGCGTGTCCAGGAATGTGATGCGGTCTTTGCCAGGAAGCTTCACTGAAAGTGTGAAGGAGGAACTACTTTTATTGTTTGGAGCTGAAAAAATTTCGCTGCAGTGCATAGATTTTCACGTTCTTGGTACAGACTATGCCTCCACCACGTTTACTAAAAGAATATTTCTTTTTTACACAGCATTCCTGCAAGTTATAGGACTATGCTGGTTGATGCAGACTCGCACCATTCAACGTCGTTTTGAGCCAGACTTGTCACAAAATCACCAATGGCAGCTGCAAAGATTGAGTATTCTTCAACTGGAAAAATCCTAGGAACACGGGATTTTTCATCTTATGTTCCAAGGATTTTTCAAAAAACAACCAAGTTCTAAGAATTTTTTTACAGTGGCACCCTGTGTGTGTTCAATGGGCTTTTCAAACAGCACCATGTGTTCCAAGGATTTTTTATTGCTTCGAGATTTTATCTTCCCCTGCACTTTTATGTAATTTCGATTTCAACCAGAAAAGTCACGCCGTACTGTAGCGACAGCTGGACGATACTTCTCTTGACATCTCCGTGAATTTTCACCAAGTGTGGAGCAGCGCACAGACATTCTTCATATATCTCAGGCAAGTTAATTTTGTTATCCAAGTAAGACAAGTTCATTTTGGTAACCTTAAGACACTGGATACTTTATTACTGCAAAGCTTACCAGTGAAAGCACCAATGTGTTGCGTGATGCCACCAAACTCCTGGTCAACTACGTTGGTATTGCGAAGCGAGTCTAAGAGCGTGGTCTTCCCATGGTCAACATGTCCCATGATTGTGATGACTGGTGCTCGTGGGACGAGCACACTGGGATCGGGAGGCGGCCTGAATGATACCGTCAAGTGTGAAAGATTTTAAAAAGCATCTCGCATAACTTTTACAGTACGCTCTGCTTGGGTGGACATCAGTTTATGTAGTAATCACAATTATACGAGCCCAGAGACATTGCGTAGAAGAGATTCCACATTAGTCACTACAACGTGTTCTAATATCACTTTTAAAGGCACTCGAGTTTACGAGGTGTCACATGAGTGATACACAGACTACAGACGACACAAATGGGTACCAGGACAATTGCACTGTCTTGCAGTGTAATGTCGCACAATACCAGTACAATACCAAACTGTTTTTCACATTTATACATTCGGTACTAATCTGTCATCGTCCAATTTAAGTCATGGCAGCCACACTTCACTGGGGCAAAATGCGAAAACGTTCAAGCACATAGATTCAAATGAATATTGAAGAACTGTCAGAGGTCAGAAGCAATCGACTATTGCCTTCAATGTGATCATAATTGCAGTTATGGCACGTAAGGCCAAAGAAATTAAAATTTTTTAAGGTGGCCAAAATCTAGACACAAATACTAAACAAACCGTGCTTGAAGAAGCAGCTTATTAATAATTACGTTGTGGAAGACATACTCATGTTTGTAGATTACTTTTATTTGGTGATTGTTGAATATATAGACATGAGAAAAATTAGGAGAGAGGCAGCGAACTTAATGAAAATCTGAAAGTGCTGACCTGAATTAAAGGTTGGACGTTACTGAAAACTCTTGTTAAGAGAGCTCGCCTTTCAAGTATTACAACATGGTTCACTCAGCCGTTTCCACATCTACAATTGAATTCTAATTTATGTGCAGGCAATTCAGAAATAAAAGCATAATTATTTGAAGAAAGATTAGAATGTGCAAGATTTACTAGCATGGCGATTAATTCCAGACCTTCTGACTGCATCCTGAAACTCCTTCTTTGGCGATTGCTGTTCAGGAGGAGCCACGATTGACCACGAAGGCCGAGTTTCTTGAGGATCAGGAAGAGAATATCGATATCATCGATCGCTGGAAAAGAGCGGGGTATGGCAAAGAGCGAATGAGCGCTGTAAACGGAGACGCCATGCAAGAAACGCTGAAGCGCTGCTGTATTTCTCTTGACACTAACCACAGTCGTCATGGTCATACTGGCTGGCGTTCTCAACCAGCAAGATAGCTTCATAGATGTCATCTGAAATGAAGAAAAAGTGTGGAATTCACAATTATATGGCTTCTGTTTTTTTTTTTTTTTCAACTGGCATGACAGGACAGTATGCTGCAAGCATTGTTGTCAATACAAATATTAAGAGAAATATGCACGCCTGCTGCTGTGGTCTCGTGATAATGGCGCTTGGTTGCTGACCGGAAGGTCAGGAAATCAAATCCTGGCCACAGCGGCCGCATTTCAGAGGCGGAAATGCTAGAGGCACATGCGCTTAGACTTAGGTGCACGTTAAACTCTGGTGGTCAAAATTTCTGGAGCCTTCCAATATGGCAGCCCTCATAATATCGTGGTTTTTGACGTGGAACCCCAACAATTATCATTAGGAAACATAAACACAGCCAATGTCTCGGTAATAGCTGTGTGTATGTCCGACTGCTTTACGTACCTAACGATAGTACTGCTAGCAGCGAAGTTTTTTATCATGTCGTTGAAACCAAATGGCCCACTGCGACACATCATTTGACTGACTGCATATGCGGTGGTTGCATTTGATGTCTTACCTATCGGGTGTTCTACTACTTTGGCAAGTTCTGCAAGAGTGATATTCTTCCAGACCTTGACGACAGGACTCTTGGGCTTTGTTTTCGATGGAACCTGAAATAAATTCATTGAGTGGCATAATCAAGTTTTCGGATGACACACTTTTCTATATAGTCGCGTGAACAAAGAGCTTGATGAACTAAGGGAAAGTACGATTTGCAGTCGTAATTATTAACTAGTTCGCAGTGCCTCCTCGTGTCTCATAAACATTTTTTTGCCTAATCGTTTTTTTGTGTTTTTGTTTTAGTTTAGGGTGAACCATGTGTGTTTGTCCATGTTTATTTTTCTTACGTTGTTACCGAACTAGTGACAAAAATTTACAAACAAGATTGGTAAGAGTGCGAAGGGTTGTGGGCCAATCAAGCTGCCCGATGCCACCGCTCTTCATAAAACGACGTTTCTGGCGATGGTGGTGGCATAATTTCGGTGAAGCTAGTTGGTCAACGTGTTGCCGTATAAATTAAAAAAAAAAGAAGAAACGACTGCAAGCATTTCGGCATGTGCGTAGCGAACAGAGAATAGTGATCTTGCAAGGGTGGTATTCTCGACAGATCAATATCGCGGACACTTTCGCGAATTTGGTCATCTACCGGTCAGACCGGCCTCGCATTGTGACAACCGCGCTCGGACAACGGGCCAGAAATGTAGCTCGTACAAGCCGACATCGCGAGATCTCGCGAAAGCGAACGTATCGCCGAGAGCGATCGCCCGAGAGTAGGTGTTCTGTGGTACCGTCCCATGACAACCTGAACAGTAACGTGTAAGCGTGGGTCGTGGCACTGCGAGCAGAATCGGTGAGCTTTACGGCGCTTTAGGGAATTGCTGTAACGGCGCAAAAATAAAACGACGTACAAACGGTTTCTCCATCTTCCTCGCCCATCGCCAGTGAGAAGTGCTGAATAAACGCGATCCGCAGAGCGAACACCCATGGCTAGCTCCGCGATGGTCAGGATAACCAACAGCCAACGTACGCGCTGCGTCGCTAAGGCTCGAAACCGGCAATCTGCAAGAAAGTTCATTCAGTGAATGATTAGCGCACTGTGAAGGCAAACAACTGGAGCAAGGAATTGCCGCAAGTCAAATGACTTTAACAGCGATGACGCTAACTAGATGTATTTATACAGCTTCCCAGTTTCCCACTTTTGCCTCGCAACGATGTCAAAGAGACATTACACTTTCTCGTCTCGCAAAAATACATACCGAAACCTGCGGAGATGCCTCACGGCAGTAACTCTTACGGACGCCGCCATTTATTTTGGCCATGCGTGTAAATGTAGCGTAGATGTAGTGTCGCATTAAAAACAAACGTCAAGGATACATCTTTCACAACACATTGCAAACTGCCTCACCCTTAGTACGCGCAGACCATTTATTAGCATAAATACTGATGTGTTGTAATAACTAAGTAGTTAGTATTAACAGGTTGGAAGTTCTCCGAAACTGCTACAAAAACATTTTGATGTACCGCGACTGAAACTCATGCGCGTATCCCCATGTGGTTTACGTCATGTGTAAACCGCGGGATACTTTTTACTGAACTTTCGTAATGTAAAACTCATGTACAGATAAGCCCACGTTTATTATGAAGACAACGGACGTCAGTGTTTGTTTGGACTTCCTCCACAACGTCTTAATCGGTCCGGCAAGTGGCATAGAAAGCCTTCAGACGAAAATTCGGGTAAATGCGCTCAGACCGGCTGCTTCTTTGTGGGCTTTTTATCGTGATTCACCAGCGGTCATATTGTGACTGTTCCCGCACATTTCTCTCTTTTTTTTTTAACAGTCTGTCGTCAATGAAACTGCGAAGCAGCCGAAACTGAGTTTGCCATGGTTACCGGTGTCGTCGCTTCTTGTGGATCTCTTGAAACATATCGCCGACCAGGTTTGTTGGCATGCGCACATGAAGATAATCGTGATTAGTAGTACATCTGCGGCTGTATTATGTAATTTTAACATGTATGCTTTCCCCGTTATAAAATTATTGGAATGATCACGTATGATATGTTGCTTAGTCTTTCTGGAATGATACGTTGTGTGCAAGGCATCAAAACTACATTCTCACACGGTTCATTGCACCCAGCAATGCGAAATGCAGTAGCCAGCAGTGCATGCTCGCACAAAGTTCTTAAGTGGGCAATTGTTTCATAAACATTATGGCAGGAGAGCGCTAAATGGGAGACTGAGAACACAGGATGCAGCGCTGTGTCCCCTATTTCGCGCTGACTTGCCATACATACATACAAACATACATACATGCATGCATGCATACATACATACATGCATACATAAGTAGGAGGAGGGGGGGGGGGGGCAGGCTTTGCATTGCACATCACGCTTAAATAGAATCGGTGCTCACTACAACGCTCTCTGCGCAGGGTGCCAAACCGGACACCCTCCTCCTCGCTGGGACATGCGTGGTGCGCATTCTGTGCCGATTTTTGACACTCGATGCTGCTTCCGATGCCGTGCGGCAACTTCTCGCCACACCTTCACGTGATTCAGCTCATGAAGTTGTGCCACAATGCATTCCTGCCATCACCGAGCTTACCTTCGCCATCGGTGAACGCCTTGAACAGTCCCACATTTTATCATCTTTGCCTCATTCATGGCGTCCTGAGCGCTGGCCCTGATGCGCATTCCCTTCCTAACATGCCAAAGGGATGGAACCGCAGATCCCTTGATCACAGAGATTTTGCACCCACTTGTCGGCCTTGTGCACGACGACAGCATCTCGCGGTATCACAGTGTCAGCACTCTGCACCTGTGGTTCAAAACACTGGAGCAACTGCTCGGGAAGTCAGAGTCAGAAGAAGATGGTGAAGCGTTTCCCGTCGGATCCCTGGGGAAGAGCTTGTTCACTCCCGAATCGAATGCAACATCACTCGTCCTCTCTGCAGTCGATGCCAACTGGGAGTCGTCCGCGAACGGAGTGTCAGACCTTATTAGGAAAATCTACCAGTCTTTTCTTAATGTGACACACAGTCAGTGCTCGATTGAAAACAGTAGTGTGAAGCTGGAGGTGGAGCTGGCCCACATCGGGCCGTTTCACAAGTATTTGCTCGAAAGAACAATGCAGCTTGACTGGAAAGAAAAGCCCAAGTATCTAAGCCTTGCGTGTCTCTTGCAGTTTGTGCCTTTTGAATCGGTGAGTATAGTGTTTCCCCATTATGCTAGTTTGTGAAAAATGGTTTATACAATATATTTTATCAGATGTTTATGTACCACAGACACACTTAGCTGATACGGTGTGACCAATACTCCACTGGGTTATCCTTCTGTTTTCCATTCTCACTTGTCATTCAGGTTGCCAAGTGGGGTTTACATTTTGAGGAAATTACACGTGCCCACAGTGATCTGCTAAGAGATTCAGCATGCAGTGTTGATGTGGTTCATTTTCTAGCAGTGAGGTTGTGTGAGAGGGGAAAATGCTGCAAAAAGTTTGTGTGCAAGTGAGAGTGCTGTTATTAATGCTTTGGGCTATTCATTTTTTATGGATGGTTTTTGCAGTATGTTAGTCTGTTTACAGATGCAACCAGTCTTTCGTTTACAATAGCAATGCTTTTGGGGCCACCTGTGCATGGCTAACTAATCTTGTTAAGATTACTTCTACTAAATATGCTTGGCAAAAAGCACTGCTTAAAAACACACACACACACACAATGTTTGAGCACGTATGTGTACCTTACCAAGTAGTTGTTCAGCATAGATCAATAAAGCATATGTAACAGCTATATATGTTAAATGCTGTATGAAACACCTTTGTGGAAACAAACTTTGGATGCTTTCACGTATTGACTCTCGATGCATAGCAAATTCATAGCAACCTTCTTTCTTTCATTGTAATTTCTTTTCAGTGCCTGAAAATTGATGCAGATTTTACAAAGCACTGCATTCGTGGATTGCTGGCTAACCACCTCGTATCGGCAACTGTGGATGTCTACAGAGCGTCTTTGACATTTGGGTATTGCTTGTTTTGTAACTTTTTATATTTCAACCATACGTTACTACATTTCACGTTCCTATTGCCACCAGGCCTACACATAGTAGGCTTATGCGAATGTTCGAACGTATATTAACGCATTCGAACTCGCTTTAGTTATAATTTAAATTATTGGCAAAACGAACGAATAAGTGTACTAATTAGTTGCGGCCTGTAACTTTCTTTGTAAAGGTGGTTTTACTGCATTAGACTGGTGCTATACCATGAACACACCTTTCCAGGATAAATCGGCACTGCTGGGAAGCTTTATTTCAATGTTAAATGAACATATTACCCTCACATTAATTCTTCTTTTTTTTTAGGTTTTCAAGCTTGTCATAACGGCTGGTAAGCCTTAAGTATAGTAAATCTTCAAATTTAAAATATTTTACAGTTTACCACTTGCATTCTACAGAAAATCAAGTCCTCCTGCAAATCAGAGTTGCTTCCACTCCCCTTTGAACCAAAAATAATGACGATTTGCTCAGGCCTTATTTTGAATTTTAAAGAATAGTGTGCTGGTTAGTTGCATCATGACAAATACGTTCATTTTTTCTTTATAATATTTGATATGTACTATTGGAATTCGATTAGAACTTGTTCGAACCAAATCACTATTCACTTCGAGTTCGCTTCAAACTTGAAGGTTACTATTCGCACAAGCCTAACGTATAGTCTAGGTGAATGTTTTTTTCCCTGTATATTACTTGCATCACAACACCATGTCTTTTAAAGGCCTTCATTTTCCGTTGTTTTCTGTACATCAAAAAAAAATATCTGGAATCTGATTTCTCTCTCTTTCTGACTTTTGTCTAGTTCAACTCGCAGAGCAAGCAAGGAAATGTGGTCTCTGTACTGGAAAGTGCCAGTCGTAGATATCGTCAGGTGTGATGATGGGTGAGTCTGTTTCAACCATTATTTTCCTGTCAACTACACTTTGTTTATAGGCAGAGCCGTTGTGTATACTGTGTTACAGATTGTGGGTTGAGGAACACGAACGTTTATTTACGCCAGGCCACACTCCGCCGGCAAACACCAACTGAGAACATGCGTATCAAAAACAACTCAGGACCACTTCAACGCCGCCAGGTGGAGCGGCCCCATGATAGAAGTTCACCAGTCCCAGGAATGCCTGGAGTTCGGTCTTGTTTGACGGGCGAGGTGCACCAAGAATGGCCTGTGTTTTTTCTGGGGTCGGATGGATGCCCTCGGCGTCTATTCGAAACCCCAAGAACTCGACTTGGGCGACACCCAGCTGGCACTTCTCTCTTTTTACCTTCAGCCCAGCATCCTGGAAACGGCGAAGGACCTCGCGAAGGCGAGAGAGCAATTCTTGACCTGACGCCCCTGCAATTAGCACATCATCAAAATATGGAATTACACCTGGTATTCCACGTAGGAGGGTTTCCATTAGATTTTGAAAGATGCCAGGTGCGACACTGACACCAAACTGCAATCGGCGTACCCTGAACGCCCCACGATGCGTTACGATGGTCTGTGCTGCTGCAGACTCATCGGTGACAGGCAGCTGCTGGTAAGCCTGGGCCAAGTCGAGCTTTGCAAAAATGGTTCCGCCTGAGAGAGAAGCCAATACGTGGCTGACCACCGGCACCGGATATGCATGCTGCTGGAGGGCCTTGTTAATGGTACACTTGTAGTCTGCACAGATGCGGATGTCTCCATTTCCCTTCAATGGTGTGACAATAGGGGTTTCCCACTCCACGCAGTCCACTGGCTCCAGAACACCCTGCTGTAGCAGCTTGTCAAGCTTGGCATCGATCTTTTGGCGCAGTGCAAAGGGCACCCTCCTTGCCTTTAGGCGGACTGGCACCACCTCCGGGTTCAAGGCCAACTTCGCAGGTGGTCCCTTGTAGCACCCCAGTCCCCCGTCAAAGACAACAGCAAACTCCTCAAACAGCTTGTCAAATGCCGTGGCCAGTTCGTCCATGCGATGCACTCCGGTGACCTTAATTCCTAATGCTGGAAACCAGTCTAGTCCAAGGACGCTTTGACGCTGCCCTTTGACAATGACAAGTTTCAGTGGGCCAGCAAGACCCCTGAATTTTACTGTAACTGTGGCCATCCCTTGCACTGCTATGCAGTTTCCCTGATAGTCCTTCATAACGACGTCGAGTTGCTTCAACTTCGGGATGCGCCCATTCGGGAAGATTTGCCTGGCCGTAGCCTCGGAGATGAGCGAAAACGTGGATCCCGAGTCCACCTCCATCTCGCATTCCACACCTTCGATTTCGACAGCAACGTGAATCTTCTTTGTCCCGGGCTTGGGCACATCGTGGATGGCGGTCTCCGTGAGGTTGTCGCAGTACGAGGTACTCGCACGCGGAGTGGTCCGCGAATTGTCCGTCCTGCCGTTTGTCTCAAAATTTGCACGGCGGTCCCGCTTCCGTTGAGACCAGCAGACCTTGGCTATGTGCCCTGTTTTTCCGCAACCTCGGCATTGGGCATCACGGAAACGACACAACCGGCGCTCGTGCGGCCCCCCACAACCGGCACAAGATCCGCCCCCCAGTACTGCGTCCCTGCGTTGACTGGTGTCTGCACGTAACTGACGAACACATTCCTCGAGGCCGTCCTGGTCCTCTCCACAGTCGGCGACCGTTCCCTGGTGCACTGGCTCGGTACGCGGCGCGGTTGCGTTTAGTCGCGACTGGCTGGCCTCACGGTCGATGGCCTCAGCGGCGGTAGCTTCCTCGACGGCGCAGGCGAGCGACACTTCTTTTTTCGCCAAAATGCGCCGTTTAGCTTTACGTTCCTCAGGCCAAAAACGAAACAGTCTCGGAGTGCCTTATCAAGGTCAACGAAGTTGCAGTGTTGTGCAGTCGTTCGCAGAGCCGCGAGGTATGCAGCGACGGACTCACCGGTTGCTTGCTCTCTGCGATGGAACTCGTATCGCCGCGCCAATTCCGGTGGTTTCGGCGAAAGATGATTTCGAAGGGCAGCGATGATGTCCTCGTACGGCGTATCTTTCAGCTGGTCCGGCGCGACGAGGGCCTTGGCCAACTGGAACGTCGCGGCCCCGCAACGGCTGAGAAACGTCGACCTTTTCTTTCCAGCGTCCGTAATGCCCTGCGCCTCCAGGAAGCCCTGCGTCCGTAATGCCCTGCGCTTCCCACTCGTCCGGCTGTGACAAGTTGAATTGCTCGAGGGAGCCATTGCTGGAGGCCTCCCGTTGTCCGGGATTCCGCCCGTCCTCCATTGTCGCGCTGGACGTCATGCCGACCTATCCCACCCTCGTCGCCAGTGTTACAGATTGTGGGTTGAGGAACACGAACGTTTATTTACGCCAGGCCACACTCCGCCGGCAAACACCAACTGAGAACATGCGTATCAAAAACAACTCAGGACCACTTCAACGCCGCCAGGTGGAGCGGCCACACATCACATGTTCGTAGCTGTCTTTCCTGTTGCCGCCAAACCTAGCGGCCACAGTCACACTACACAACATACTGAATACCTCCCAATTTGCCCTGTCACGTAACTACTACTCGTTATGATGTAAATAATGTGGACATCCACAACACACTTTCACCGTTAGCACCACCTACAATGCAAGCAGCCGGTGCATAGAGGGCCAGGTCTTCAGAAGTGCTCGGAGCATTTGGCAGCGAAAATGACAAAGTCATGTGGAAACAAGACCGCACTGCATCCAATCGGCTATGCAAACGAGACAGGACAGTGTACTACCATCCGCTGTTGTGTGAGCATTGCACGCACAAACATGGCAATCATTTTAGAGTGTCTTGAAGGGCAAGCTGATTCTTTCTAACATCCTATTGCACAATGCACAATGCAAGCTACAAGTACTAGCAGTTGACTTTCTGTCCCATCTTACTTTCTGAACCATTAAAATGCAATGCTTGGCCAGCCGCTTTTTCGCCCAATTGATGTTGAAGTTTTGCTCTGTAGGGTCCGGCCACTTCTCTTCAGGCCAGTGTGATTTCCTGTTCTTAGCAGAATAAGTTATAGCAGCCCCTTTTTTTGATGTCATGCTTGCTACATCTCATTACATGGCGACAAGGTGGCAATGGCATGATGCTGCCAAACACAGGCTCGTGGATTCGTTCAAACCTTTTGTCAAGTCTATATTGAAATGAACAGAAGCAGGCAAAATTTTTAGCAAGAAGTATTATAGCTTAGACTCAAAGACCATACAACGGTTAAAAAGAAACACAAACTTCATGAGCTTTTTTCAAGAGGAATTCACGGGAGGTAAGCCGAATTCTCTGGATTCAGTTAGTGAGTCTAGATTCGTGAGCTGAATGTGAATACAGTAGATGTGTAGCTTCATCCTGTCAGATTTCACACTGCCATTTCTTGCGCCAACCAAAGTGTCTGCATCTCTAACAAAGGCACAGCTTTTGGAAACTTTTCCTTGTGTCATTTCTGCAGAACATGTCTTCAAAACATGACCACCCACTTGCTACCCTGGACTCTGAAGAATATTCCGGGCAGCCTGGAAGAGCTTGCAGATTGCTTCAAGACACATGGGTCGGATGACATATCGCTTTCCTTCCTTGCAACGCTGGGTCGTATTGGTCTACAGGCGGGGTTCACATCCAGGGTGCTAAAGGCAAGTTTGTAATTTGACACGAATTCGCTTAAAGGTTTTGTCGGCAATTTTCAGTACTGTTCTTGTGACTACTTTTGTGACTACCTCTGGAGCGATGACTTACAAAGTATGCGGCCTGCTTTTCAACCTGTTGCAGTTTTTTTTTACTAGCAACCTTAAACGGACCCTGCTACACTTCTTGAACACCGTAAGAAAATTCTGCCGATTGATAGTCAATGTTTCCGAGAACACATGAGGTTATAGCGCAGCACGCCACTTGAACTTACAGTTAATTCTCCAATTCATCTAGAGGTCGCTTCCTCATCTCTCTACAAATGATGCCACATAACCAAATTACTCGCCATATACCCAAGTCCACAGCCGTTGGCTGATTTGAGCATCGTGAGCTGCATAAATACCACAGCCACCGCAGGATAGCGCCACATGCCTAAACGTGCGCGGTCATGCTGAAAGTAAGTCGCACCATCAAAGAAAAAAAGAAAACGTAATGTGCTCAAGGAGCCTCTTTATCCCCACCCCCCCCCCTCTATAGCTTTTAGGGTACGTGCTAGTACGAAAGAAGAAAGAAAATGCTTGAAGTGTGCGACAAACCCCAGCAACTCTACTCATACTTTGCGGATCCTAAGGGTTCTTACGGCAGTCGACTCGAGAAGCACTAAGCTCTTTAATGAGGCCATCCGATGAATGCTAGGAAAAGTGTGGCAGGGAAAAGGCGGCAAACACTTGAGGCTGTGACTAATTTGCATGTATTGTATATGTGGCAGCTGCTACAAGCTAATTGTTTCTCATTCAGTATAGTCACATTGATTGATTGATTAATATGTGGGGTTTAACGTCCCAAAACTACCATATGATTATGAGAGACACCTTTTAGTCACATTAGCTATGTACTAAAAATTAATGCAGCGTCTAGAGTGTGCCAATTCATACTATGTTCTGTCCTTCATGATGATTGCTTGAGCTACTGTTCATCGTCCTAATTGATCGTGAATAGTTTCTACAATAACAGACTTAGCAACAAAGATTCTATAATTTCCTAATTGTCTTGTCAGCATTATTTACATGCTTCACTACTTGAAGTTTGATCTGTTGTAGCAAAGCAGTTATTTGGGCTAGTTGTTAATGATTAATTTTAAATGAAGAAATGGGTCATAGTACAGAACAGAAACTGTGTCATTGTTCTCTTCTGTTGTTCCTGTTTCGTACTGCCCTGCACTGTTTGCATGTAAAAATTAAATTCGATTGTTATGTTTAAAATCAAAACAACAAAAAATCATTCTGTAATGCATTCCTAATGAGTTTATGAAGTGAATTTATTATTTATTGTTGAATTAATTTGGGTATCACATGCTCAAAGCATTGGTGACATCTTTTTTTATGATTTGATTACCTCAAACCACAAGATTTCTGAGAAAGAAATAACATGCACAGCTTTCTTAATTAGGTATATTATTAACTTGTTCTTTGATATCATAATTTTTGCAGGAGCCACTGATGGCAAAGTGTCTTGTCCACCAGTCCAATGCAATACGGATAGAAACATTCACCCTATGTTGCTCTTCGTACATACTTAATGCAGGTATGGCTTTTAGATGTAAATAACCTAGTGTTTCTTACGCCTGAGATGCTATACGTCGCTAACGCAATTTTTAAATCTTGCTGTCTCATTCAGTAGAATGTTTGCATTAATTGCAGCAGCTTGCTTCCTGCAGATTTTTAAAATTTTTTTACCTATGATCTGCTGCACCTGCTTAAGCGGACGGTACTGCATATTGATATGCATGTGTTATAGAGGGATATTATTGTTGTTTAATTCATGATATTCCTGTTTTATTATCGGTATATTTTTACTTTTACCAGAATCCGTCAATGCTTTTCTGACCACGAAACTCCTTCGTAACGCAACGGGAAGAGCTTGCTATGTGGCCGGGAGGCTCCGCCAAGAGCGCGTAGAGCTGGGGACCCGATGACTCTGGCGGCATCGACCTTCAATTTACCTCGTTTTTCCAAATTTGAGTAACTGATGGCTGTCAGAACTGTACGTTGTACCAGAACGAAGATGCCAAAAACTTGCTGTGTTCCTTGCTATTGCTCCAACCACGAAGGTGCGATCGAAAAGGTGTCTAGTTTGACGAAGAACGGCAATGAAAAGGACGAATGGAAACGTGCGTGACAGGCAGCCGGTGGACTTAACTCGATTCTGAAAACCTGAGAGAGTGTGAGAAAGATTTCGATGCCACCGACTTTATTCGGACTGACTGCTCCGTAGTGAATGGAGAAAAATGTGCCTTAGTAATGCGAGAAGGCAAGTTGCCAGCCGGAGCTGTTTCTATCACAGCTTTCAAGTTTTTTTTTAGGTTCTCAGTTGTTTATTAGGCGCTTTGCTTCTTTTTCTTATTTCTATTTAGATTCATTCAAATTCAGCAAGGTATATTGTCTTTTTTTATTCACATCAGTTCGCTCCCCTTTATTTTTTTTTCAGTAGCTTGCTGCCTTCATACGCTGGCTTTGCACAGTGCTTTCCTACGCTAGAAAAAGTGTCATTCATAGCTGTCAGATTTGTGAGGTTATTTTCTAGTATTTTATTTCTCCTTATTTCAATTGTAGCATTCTTGCTTTGATTGCTGTAAATTAATGGCTCAACAGAATGAAGTTCCTAAACATACGCATTGATAATAATGTCTGGTGTTTTATGTCCCAAAATGACGACGTGATTATGAGAGAGGCCGTAGTGGAGGGCTCCTAAAAAATTTCGGCCATCTGGCGTTCTTTGACATCGCACAGTACACGGGCCTCTACCACTTTGCCTCCATCGAAATGCGACCACCACGGCCGAGATCGAACCCACGAACTTTGGGTCGGCAGCCGAGCACCCAAGCCGCTGCTCCACCGAGGCGGACTAAACATATGCACTGAAATAAGCAATCATAAAAAAAAAGTGTGGACTCTGTGGGAGTTGGCATTACCTCGTATTTGCACCTTTTAGAGTACTGTATTGCCCATGTCCCGTTTTTCACGTTCTGAATGAATCTAAAGCGCAAAAGAGCGTTGCTTGTGAACACATGTGCTTGTTTTTTCTAGAATAGAGAAACACAATCTGTCTCATTCAAAGAAGTCGGCCCTGAGCAGTCTACATCAATAAGTTTGTTGCATCACCGTGGTGCAAGCATAGTTCATATATATTATATAAGCTGGCTGTTTTAAGTAAATGTCTCTGTCAATTCTCGTTTTATTGTGAAATATTTTATATAACAGCTCTTCAAACTTAACTTTTTGCGTCGGGATGAGAGTGACTCCCAGTTTAAATTCCTCTTTCATTTCAGTACAACTGTGACTTTTTTTCATACTGACCCAAGACAAACCTGGCTGTGCTGTTCTGAATTTTTTTTTTCAGACTTCTGCTGTTTTTACTTTAGTACTAATCTGTTTTATGTTTTTTATGCATGCACTAACAAGAGATTTTCTTCATAGCATTTTACTGTGGATCTCCTTCTGTATTATGTTTACTTTTGGGTTTGCACTGTATTATTGTATTGTATTAAGAAATACATAAATAGCTGTAAGCATTCTTAAAACTTGTAACAAAATTATTTGTGAAAATTCATGTTCAACATGTTTGCAGTAATGTCATTTGCACAATTTGTTCATTAATGCTACAAACTGGTCTGTGCAAAAGCTTGTGTCATCATTTTAATGTGTTTAGAAATTCAGTTGTTAGGCAAACCTTACTGTGATCGCTTTTCGAGGCGCTAAGCTTTCCTTTTGAAACTTTGCCATGTAGCAAAAAGTAACTATTCCTATGGAGCGTCTACACTTACTTTGGAAGCCACTCGAAGCCCTTATGGTTTGCTTTTATATGTTCTATAGATTAAATTTTATACACACAAGTTAGACCTTAATAAATGTCACTCACGTGATGACTGATCTTCATTTTTTTCAACTTTCAGGAAAACCAGAAGCTGAAATGTCAAAGATAGTCCAATTTGTGATGGCCAACTTGAACGTCGACGACTCCTGGTTCCGGTCGAGGCTTCTTGTGCAACTCGAAAATGTCTTACTGGCTCTGCGAGAAAGCATCGTGTCAGAGTTCAACAAAGAAACCCGCCAAAAGAAAAGAGGCAGCAGAAAAAGCGCAGGACAAAGCCATTACACGTCAGCCTTCTGTAGGTATTGGCTTGCACGCCCATTAAGACATAGATCAGGAACTTTGTTGAAAGAGGTATCTTACTTCCAAAGTTATTCCTTTCCAAGTTTCTATGAAAAATAAAAAGTGAACCTTAAAATTTATGGTAGCACGTTCGTAAAGTTGCCTGATTCAGCTTTGATAACTTAATCTAATGGCTGTGGTGTTCTGCCGCTGAGCTCGAAATTTCGAGAAAAAAAGTAATTGTGCAGTTTTACACGCTTAAGCCACAATATGAAGATGAGGCAAGCCGTAGTGCTAGAATTCGTATCAACTTTGAACACCTGGGGTTCTTTAATGTGCACCTCGTAAAAACACACGAGTGCTCTTCTATTTTACCCCCATTGGGATGTAGTTGCTATGGCCGGGAGTCGTGCCGACGTACTCTAGTTTGGCAAGGTAAGCTTAAAGGTTGTGTCACTGATTCCTGGCGACAGCGACCACGCTTTGATGGGAGTCACTAGCAAAACTACTTATGGGTTCACATTTGGTTGCTCATTACAAAATTTCGCGTGACCGTAATTAATCTAGAGCCCCTCTGCTGAAGTTTTCATCAGAACTGGAAGTGCAGTTTCGAGACGTGAAAGGCTGCAATATTGTGTTTGCTCTGCAAGTTGGGAATGGAAATAATCAACCCGTGGGTTCGACTTTTATGATTTACACATAATTTTTCGCTGTCTTGGTTCATCGTTTAACTTTTCAAAAGTCGTTGCCAGAACCCTGGAGATGAACAGTTCTGCAAGTAACTTATGAAATTCTCTCAGCAAATGTACATCTTAAAGGACGACATCCCCACTGCAGAGGTTATAGAATCCTGAATGGTTTTCTTTGTGTAAAACTAATAGTGCACAGCGGTTTCTTTTTTCTATAAGGATGTTTCATGTTCTTGTTTTCTTAGTGTTTTTGCAAACTTTGTACATAATTGTTCAGAAAAAAATTGGCAAGTAGGGCCAGCAGGTTAGTAAGAAGAAAGGTTATTTACATAGACATCTTTTACAAGCGCCACATTCTGTAGAGCATGCCTTAGATAGCCGATGTTATTGACATCTTGCTTACATTTCATTTATCCGTAGGCTTCATCAAAGATATTGTGGTATTGGCTGTGGAAAACCTATTTTCTGGCGCGAATTACCAAAGAGCCATAACTTCATTGTCAGTCCTTGAATGTGTTGCAAACATTTTTCGAGTGGATCCATCTGGGAAACAAAGATCAACACACAAAAGAGGCAAGTGTGGTTCTAATTACTGCTGAAATGTGTCTCCTCGCTCGGTCGGTCATCGCACATTGATGATATGCCATCAGGCCATAGAAACCTTTTGTAGAACTAGTGTTGAAAGCATAATGGACTGATTGCTCAGGGCATTGTTCTTGTTAGTTACAGTACAAATGCATGGTATTATATGTCAGTTTAACACCAGTGTCTTGATGTCAGTTTAACACCAGTGTCTTCTATCCTTTTTGCTTGAAATTTGTAATATGAAAGAGTTTCTTTAGGTTGCTTTTAAGATTGCTTTCATGTGCTCTTAAGGGGGCAGACTGCTCTTTGGGACCAAAAAGTGACAAAAAAAATTCATTTTTTAAAATTGACAAATTTGGTTTCTGCAAGTATTTTTCTATCTCTCTGCAAATTTTCATGCACCAGGAAGTAGTAATTTTTTGTAATGTCATTTTAACTGTCCAGATTCTTGGTGCTGTTAACATGCAGAACCTGCAAAAAAAAATGGGGAACCGACTTTGAGGCTTCTTTAGAATTTGTCAGCACCTTTGTCTAAAGCTCTACTACCAATTTATGAGTGCCTTCATGAGGATTGCAAAACATGTGCACCATGATTGTTGCTTTTTGAAGAAACTGTGTGTTTTCAGTTTCTTTTTATTTTTCTCAAAAAAGTGAATTTGTGACTATTCAATATTGAGGCCTCAATATCTCTGCAGCTAGGGCAGGTACAACAATAATTCTCTTTGCAGTGCAAAACCTGTATGTGTGTAGAATGCAAGTATGGGAGCAGAATTTAGAGCACATGCCTTTTTAATTAATTACTTATCAAAATTGTAACACAATTCCTACTGCTTTTGAAAATGTATAGTTCATTTTGCTGCAAAATAACCAATAAAGGCCTAAAAACAAAAACATCTTCCATACTTTCACACCATAGTCATTAGTCTATGTTGCCATATTCTAAATATCACTTTTAATTAAGCACTTTTTTTTCTATAGTGGCCTTAAACAATAGGGGTTGAACTTAAGTTATCTCAGGAACAAAGTGAGTTACAGGAAAACTAATTAAATATTTGAAATCAGCAGAAAAAACTGCATAACCCTGTGCAGTTTTATCAAGATCACTGAATAAATAAACAAAAAATTTACCCCCTTAACATCTGTCTTTTAGAAATTTTGGAGAAGTTCTTTGCTTCTGAGACGAGCCGCTTTGAACTGGGACCAATGAAGAAGAGGATCAGGTCAGCTTTTCTCAAGGCTCTTTTTCATAACGTACTTGAGGTAAGGTAACCCATTTTGTTGTTCTTTTTAAATATATTTCTCAAAATTCCAGGATGTGGTTTGTGCTCTAGGTAGTGACTGTATTGCAGTGCTATTGGGGTGGTATTACAGAGATTCATTTTAGTTTCATTAACAAACCTAGGTGAAGTGACCCAAGTGTTGTATCGGCACCGAGCAAACCCCTTTTGCATGGTGTGGGTTATTGTCAACCAAGTCGAGACATGTACACAAAGAAGTGCAGCATAGAAGTCATCGCAGTGGCAATCTTCTATCGTTTTAATTTTTAAATGGATGAACTCTAATATAGTGCTCACTCAACAGATGCTTCTTATGGTCATTGGTCTCACATAGGAAGTAGCACTGTAGCAGTCCTTGTAATATGTGGGTAATCTTTGAACGCAAAGGGAAACGATCTAAACTATTGGCAGTTTTTGCGCTTCGCTCTGAAACTCTCTGTGCATTATGACAGGGCAATTTAATTGGGCCGTGCTTGAAATGTTTGCCTTGCGTTTACCAGTGCCAGGTGTTCAGTATTTATGGTGCATGCAAAATTTCCCGGCAAAATATTTTGCAATGTCAGAAACAGAGACCCTGTTGTAAGGGGCTTTTTAAATGACGTGGGGCTTTTTAAATCTCATTAGTCTTCAGCTGGCACAGTGGTAAGAAAGGGCAGTCAGGGATCGGCAGTACTATTCTGTATGTGCTTTTCAAAAGGTGCTGTTCGCGAGGTGCTCTTCTGACTCAAATCTTGATATAAAGAAGTTCGGATATAACGAATTATTGGCTATAACGAACTAAATGACCAGTAGCTTTGCCACAGATACAGTGTTACAAATAATCATGTATAACGAATTTTTGGTTATAACAAACTATTTTTGTGGCAGATGTCACTTTGTCATAACGAGTTTTGAGTGTAGTCAGACAGCCTGCTGAGTAGGGAACATAACAAGGGGGAACACAGTCATCTCGTTGCACAAGCCGAGGCCCTCGCTTTGTTCAGGTTCGCCTTTCAGCATTTCGGCTCCTGACCACTCATGGTTGCCCAGTGTTTGAAAGTGGCAGCAGCCTTCAGGATGTGCTGCAGGACACCGCCGACAAATACCTTGCTAGTCCGAGGCCCCAGGACAATGCTGTTGGTGCCCTACTTCTGCACCTTTACCTCACCAAGTAAGCACCTTGGCACTCGCCTACCCGTCGGGTTACTTGTCTGTGTTCTTTTTTACATTGTCTGACATTGCTTTGACCAACAAGTCTGTCATCTTTAGATGGCAGACTTGTTGGTCAAAATTGTTGCACGGATTTTATTGCACAGAGCATCGCTAGATGTCACTGCCACCAGTTTACTGCCATTCGTGTTTGCTGCACTAAAGTATCTCCAGACACAAATATGGGCAAATAAGCTAGCTAAACTTCCCTGATAACATTTCAATACTATATCAAAAATGAAATATTTGAAACTACAGAACTAGTTAGATGTAAAAATAATGCCTGATGTGTCTCATGAAAATATTCATTTGACCTAATTGATATTGTAGGAGGATGAAAAATATCTGAATTTAAAACGAATATAGGACAGAAATCAGAAATGAAAACTGGTGCATTTAATTCAGTGGCTATTTTGTGTTTCTGTTTTTCTTTATTCCAGCCTGAAAGAGGAGCCAAAGCAGCTTGCAGCAAAGCTAGAAGAAATCTGTAGCTTGGGTGAGAATTCCTTCTCGGAATTCCAGCGTGACCCAGTGTCTGCATCAGCGAGTTTTCCACTTCATGGTAAACATTGTTCATGTGCCTGTGTGTGTGTTTGTGTGTGTTTGAGAGAGTGTGAAGGTGGGGGAGGGGGCATTCAGTTGCCATTTGTGGAAGACCTTTACAAGAATTGGGACAGAAAGATAGGCAACCTGGTATGATGTATCCCACTCAGCACAATGTAAATTGTCCTCTTTCACAAACTTATTTGAAATCAAAGCAGGGCCAGATCCAGCGACTCATTTTAGGGGGAAGGGGGATGTCGCTTGATGTAACTCCGAAGGAGGAAGTTGGGGTCCTGACTCTTTTTGTATTTAGTAACACGAAAACCCCGTCATAGCATAAATACTGTCCCATCCATTTGTTCTAATTGGTGATATGATGGAGGTAGACAATAAGCACTGAAGAAAGTGGCTGGGGTGAAGGCAATCACCGCTACCCCTCCCACCTCTGTGTCCACCACTGATCTGAGGTCTTTTTTTTTTTTTTCTAATGGATTATGCATGATTGTGAAAGCGGTCTTTAGTAGACAACAGATGCCGAGCCAGAGGGACTATGCAAAATTGTACACGTTCGGAATTTATGTTGTACATTAGATCTTAATCTCATTGCAGGCTTGCTGTTGACGCTGGTCACCTGCCTGAGCGATGTGAAGTGCATATTGGCAGCCGTGCAGAGATGCAGCGCCGATGGGAAGAACAGAGACTTAATTTGCGGCATTCTCACCAGGGCGTTGTGTCTTGCAAGGAGCTCCCTCTTTCACTCCCTTTTTGTCATGGTGCCAAAGGAGAAGCAACGCGCGCTCGGTTAGTCCTTTCTGCTCTTTTTGGAAAGCAACGTTACCTCTGTTAGCTCTTTGCACGGCTTGCAACTGCTCTGCAATTCTAAGTTGTAACCACTGCGAGGTGACCTTTTCACCAACATACCAAAGCTGCTGCAGCCCCGGTGGCCCTGCAACATGCTGACAGTGGCTTGCCGAAAGAGGGTTTGAGCCAGTGTACCAAGGAATAAACGTAGAATTTCTAAATATGTCAGTTCGCTTTTGCAGTCATAAGATATACGAGATCCACATTTGCGGTCATACGATTTAATTACGGGTTACTGTGATCGTGTTAAATGCGTGAAATGCATTATTTTAGGGGCGTGCAGACATTTGAAATTTCTAATATATTTCTAATAATGCTTGCTATTTTATTTTAATTGCTGTGGAATTTGACTATACAAACTTCCCAAATACAAAACGGTAAACGTCCAATTGAAAGTGACCTTTAAAGTTTTTTTTTAAGTTTTTTTTAATAGGTTTCACCCCATTCCACTCTCGTATTGTGGCAAAGCTGCTTTTCAGGCATTGCTACAATCGCTAATGTATTGGCTCAAAAAATATGCTGGTTCCAACGTAGAGATAATAGATGTGGCTGACGTGAGGGCTCATCTAATGCTGTTTTAGGACTTGAAATGAAAGTCCAATAAATAGGATGGCAAAATTTTTTAGCGTTCAAAATTTTAGGTGTTCTTACATATCAACATCTAGGAGAGGCCGAGAAAATTTACTCTGCATCTTTGACTTTCATATGTACAGTGTTGTCGGCAACACCTTGGTTGCCACCAAATCGTACACATGGCCTCTGCATTGCCTGTGAAACACCACCCAACCAGCACTTCATCAGCCTAGCAAAAAGAAACATTTTCATGTTGCTATCTCATAAGAATATGCCTAGGAATACTAACTTTCTTTTTTGCAATTTTACCTCGAAGTATGTGAAAAATAATCTAGAAGTATTTGAGAAATACTCTAGCAATATTCGATCCACACTTCAACATTCGAATTCACTTTGCACCCAAAGATTTGCTATTTGCACAACTCTACATTACTTCCAAGGGACATCTGCTGGGAATGAAAAGAAAAGCTATTAGGTGATGAAACATATTATAAATAATCGTACTAGTGATATTCCTCTGTACTAAGGCCGGAGTGTCTTTTGCCAAGCTTCTGCGATTGTGCTCAGTTTGTTATAAACATTTGGCTGTTAACATTGAAGTTTTACTTTTACATTATATTTTTTATTATTGATATGGTGGCCATAAGTCGTTCCTCTGATATGCCTGTCGACATAGGTACCTAACATATCAGCTTATGTGTATTCTTCAGGTGCAATGTCTGCTAATTCAGCAGACAGAGTAGCACCTTCCTTCGAGGACACAAACCTGGCATTCACAGAACTCATTAGAGACCATGAGATGGCTGAAAGGATCAGATTCACACCAGAACAGCGGCAGCAAGTCGAGGAAAGACTCGCATCGTTCTGTTGGCACTGCATCAAGGTAAATATTGTGATAAAAGTGGCTTCTGGCTCCATTAAAAACTTGTGCACTCTATGATTCGTTTTCGTTTATTGATTTTATCATTTCAAAAGTCTTCGGTTGAGGCATCGCATGAGGGGGTGAGTTATCAAAAGGCTAACATAGAAGTTAGGATGGTTTCAATCAGCCGCTTGAATGCTTGTGAGTCAATGATAGTTGCAAGATCAGTGGGCAGGTATTGATGGAAGAAAAATTCAGTGCTAGGCAGAAGCGCTTGGCTGTCTCACATCACCCAAAAATTGTTTGCTCCACATGGCTCCCAAGTCTGCTGTATTTACCGGCTTTATGTATGTGCCACTCTAAGGTTAGCGTACTTCTTTTAATGAATGAGAGGTGGCGCAAGCGTCTTTGCTGGGGTGCTATTTTTACAGCTTGAATTAAAAAAAAGTACAAGTTTAGGGTAAGATTGAAGCTTGAAAAGATGAAAAATTTGTGAACAAGGGGTGTTGCTCGAGCCGACGTTTTTACAAGTGAACTTGTCTTCTTGAAGGCTGGAGCTGCAGCATTGAAGAATACGAGTCCGCTTGTTGAAACATCAGCTCCAGCGACGCCTTGTGTTCACAAATTTTTAATCGCTTTACAGAGTGGTTACTCAGACTCTAGGGGAGCCTTGTTCTATTTTTTAGCATGGGGATCAACATGCATGCTGTCATTTTTGTGTAATTGTTCCACATACAGCTTCCTGTTTCCTCGAACTTGCCTCCTCTGTCGAGCTGCATTTGCGAATGCATGGGTGGTTTTTTGTCAAAAGCAAACCCCGGTCACTTGTTGTCTTGGCTTGGTAAGTCGAGCTTCCTCGAGTCGGCAGCATGGTTCGTCTGTAGCAGCTAACTCGGCGTATTGGGGTATCTGCATCTCTACTCGCAGCACAAACAAAAGAATGAGTACTACGGAAAAACAATGCTACACAAGGAGTGACTCATTACTTGAGGTTATTTCCTCATGCAAATACCGCATAATACAGTCGCACGTGCCATTTTGTCAGCCACAGTTTGGAGAAACAAGAAACCAGTAAACTAGTAGCTTGTTAAGTTCTCTTATGGAATTGGCAGAATGAACTCAGCTCAACACTCTCGGCAGCTTATCTACTGAATCTCACCGATACCTATGAACCGGAAACCCAGAGGCTTATGAGAAGGGCTCAGCTTAAATTGGAGAAGACAGTGAGCCATGGAAAGAAAAATGACAGGTGTAACTTTAAGAGACAAGAAGAGAGTAGAGTGGGTCAGGGAGCAATTGGTTGTTGAGGACGCCGTAGTGAAAATCACAAAGAACGAATCGGCTTGGGCAAGGCACGTAGCACGAAGACAAGACAATTCGCTAAGAGTAATAGATTGGATTACTGTAGAACGCAAGTGTGCGAGGGGATTGGGTAAGAGGAGGTTAAGAAGTCTGCACGTATAACGTGGCAGCAGAAAGCACGAGACTGCTTACAGATGGAACATGGGAGGGGCCTTTGCTCTGCTGTGGGCGTAGTCAGGCTGACGATGTTCTGAATCTCGCTACTTGTTCTCTGTTTGTACTCTGCAAGATCCCTTGAGAAGACTTTTTTTATACTGTTTCATTGCAGAACTCGTGTTCTCTGTTGGACCTCGTGGTATCCATTTCACTGAAGGACAATGGAATGTCGTATTCACTGGATGGCAGGTCACTCCATGACATTGTGGATGCTCTGGTTGCAGTCATGACTGGATGCAGGCATCGAGTGAGTTAGTCTCTGATGACTGGTCATGTTTTTGCGGGGGAAGAAAATATTTTAAATAGCAGATGTGCATTGTTCACTGATTAAAGCATGACTTCATAACTTCAATTATATTAACTGGTATGCCCAATTGCTTGCGATGACCATGTCCTGTAGCTATGAGCCTGACCACTGAAGCTGATGTTGGCTCTGATGTAAGTGTAAAAGCCAGTATTACACCGATGGGACGCGAACTGAAGACAGTGGAAACAAAAGTATGGGCAAACACATCGATTTAGTGCTAAATCGATGTGTTTGATTTCGTTGGCACTGTGCACTAAAAGGACACATGACACACTCATCGTTACGGCATGTTACTGCATGAACTTTGGAATTTCAAATTTCATGTGTTTATTACAACTTCGCCCCTTCTAAAAGTGTGTTTGGTCAGTGGCATAGGTGTAAACATGGGAAGGGGAAAGGGGCACACCCTTAGTCACCTTAGAGGGGAGGGTGCAAAGTCAGCCTCATACATTGACATTATAGGGAGGGGGGGGGGGGCATTGTCCCTGTAGAGAAACCCTGCACATGCCTATGGTCATTGGGAATTCTGGGTTATTTAGTGTCATTCACATGAATCAGTGTTGCATATCTGTCTAGGGAGAAGATCTTAGATGAGTTGTTCTGAAAATAGTAGATGAAATGTTCATTACAGAACTGAAAGAAGATTATTAAAGCAAAATGTGGCTCAGTACAACTGCAGTTACAAGGCAGCACGTCGATCAGTTGATATTGTATTGTTTCCAACACATTGCAGTAGCAGCCTTGAGCACTGCCATTACTTCCAGAACTTCGAACTAAGCATAACCTAGACTTTGAAAGAAGAGAAAAGAATTTTCGCTCATTGCTGATTTTTTCTGCTATGCCAAAAAGAAAGTTTTCTCTGTCGTTCAAACCTGTTTTTGACTTTTTGTTTCCTTAGGGAGCCATTGAAAGCTGCTGTGAGTCCCTGAAGAGTCTTTGCCAAGTTCTTTCCAGCTGTGAAACCACAGAAATATCTGATATTCCATTCAACTTTGTAAAAAAGGTACGTCTTGAAAATAAGCAAGTGTGCTTGCAAGTGTTGCATTTATGTGAGTTTTCATTTCTTTTTCTATATCAGGAATCTTGGTGAAATAAGCAAATGATTACTGTTTACACTGCGATGGCCTTGCTTACACGAACTTCAACCAGTATTATGACTCATACTGATAATGAACTAAAAACAGCTGGAAGGGAAAGATGGGAACTTGGGATAAAGAAACCTGTGAACAGGGATATTGTGCTCGAGCCGATGTCCTGACAAGCGAACTTGTCGAAACAGTCATTAGGGGAAACTTCAAAAGCATGCACGACGAAGACGAAACACACTCGACAGGAAAAGCAGCAGTCCTGTTGTGTGTGTTCCGTCTTCATTGTTTTCACCCATCAAGTTTCCTGTTACGACGGACCAACTAGGTCAAATCAGGGTATTGTTGAAACAAGTGTCGACAAGTGGATGGTAACTTGAACAGTGTCTCACGCCTTTGGCACCTGCCTCCCGTCTTAATGGCCGTCAGCGAGGGTAATATCTAGTTTGCTAGCTTCATATTGTTACCTCACTTTGTAAAACTTGTGCCGAAACGCGGAGCTGTAAACAACCGTGGACCACAGCGTCAAGAGCACAGTAAAGAAAAATCGTGAAGTTGTAAGCAAAAATACTAAGTGTTGTTGACCTCATCCTGTTTTTGGAGTGCTTGCTCTCTGCTTGCTATAATAAAACAACCATAAACCATCCCAGTCAATGAGGCTTCTGTGACGAAGGTTTATGGTAATGAGTTTCAGGTCTGAATAAATTTCACTATAGTATTATTATACGGCAGTCTTGGAATGCCAGCCTTTATTACAGCCACACACTGCCGTTCACAAATGTTTGTTGTCTTCTGACTGCAGAAATAGGCCGGTTTTCTATCACAGATCACTTCGTTTGATGATAAAGTGATGCTTGCTTCACGTCATATTTGTGTAAACGTAGTGTCTCCTACAGCTTAAACAGTTTATTTCTTGGATTTTTCTTTTAAGGTAATTGTGACTTTACTATACTGTAGCACATGCTGTTCACTCTACGCTGCTCATTATGTTTTGTGTTGAGTTAAGCAACTTGTGCCCCGTCGAAAAAATTTCAGGCTTTGTCATCACTGACATCGAGGTCAAAATCCTCCTCTGTCACGAGGCGGTCAGCAGGTCTCCCTTTACTCATCAGAGCGCTCCTTGAGGGAGAAGCAAGAAATGTGAAGGTGAGTCCTGGGTGCAATCAAACATGCAAACGTATTTTCAAGAATAATGAATGCTTGCTGTGTTGAAATGTGTAAGAAGTTTTGTATTTCTTTGACAAATGTATAGATGAAACAAAAATTTTAAACAAACTATAGTTATTCTTTTGCTTTTTGTTGCCACTGGTAAGGTGTAGTCCATAGCAGCCTAAACTTCACCATAATGTGTTTTAAAAGGTGACAATGGGTTTTGTGTGAAGCTTCCCGGGCTAAACTTAGCATTTAAAGATGTTAAGCTAAAGGTAGTAAATACGTATTGCATTGGGCACAGCAGGGTCAAGTTAAATTGTGCAATTAATTACATTAAGTGACTACAGCCAAAGTTCATTCTTGCTGCTCCTAGTGTACTCCTTTCAGCGTAGCATGTCATGGACTGTGGACCACTTGAGCTCTGTCATCAGAGAGTGTGCAGAGCAGGGCGATAGCTCCGCGTGCACGGTGGATCTGCCGCAAGCTGAAGCTCTGCACATTTTGTGTGCCGTCGTTGGCTCCGCTTCTCTGACGGCTGCAGTGATGATGCACCTCGGACGTATCCTTTGGTTCTGCTTTGAAGGCTTGGCGTCACCTTTCTGGCTCGTGAGGAACGCGGCACACCAGCTGTATGGTAGGTTTCCTCCCAGCACTTTCACTAAGGTCATGCATGGCATTTGTGAAGTGGCAAGGTACTTGAAAGAAACTATAGCTGAGCCTCGTGCGTGTAATATTGCAAATCTGGGTGCTCATTCAGTTAAAAGTGCTGGGAGAAGATAGAAGGTAATTACTCGAACCATGGTGCTGAAGTGCTGAAAAAAACAGAAACATAGACAGAAGGGCTAGTGTTAGTGCCCATCCTCGTCGTATTTTTTATCCACGTCACTTCAGCATTTTGATCCCGATAATTGTTTCTAACCGACTAGCTCTAACATCCTTATTCCTAGATGTTGGGTCTAGGCAGGTAAAAGCATCATTTGAAGAAGTCGAGAACTGGACTACAGCTGTCTCTATCAAGGTGACCATGGCTTAATTCTTTAGAACAAAGACCTCAGGGAGTACAGTTGATCTACTGTATGGCCTAGCCGTTGACTTGGGAAGTTGCGGGACTTTTATGATGCCTGATTAGTAATTACATTGGGGGTTTGACCGACTGCAATAGATCATCGACATGTAGATCGTCGACACAGCTTTACCAGTTCGTTGAATCGGAATATGTTTCTTATCTACTCGCCTCTGTGCTTGGAACACTAGACGCAGTACGATAATGCACTATAAGTCAACAAATGTGGAAGAACACCGCTTCTGGGATTGTTGCCTTGAACAGTGATGTCATTCCTGTCCTCTGCTTGTTGCACTTATCAGTGTTCTTATCAGTGTATTGGTTTCCCCGTTGAATTTTGTTTAACTTTATTACACCAGAATACTGTAGACTTGCGATAATCCAAACTCTGATAATTCATATTTTTGGTTAATTTAAACAAAATTCAATTTTTTTTGGTTGGCTCCTTATTTTTTCATTGTATTTAAAAGCCTGTTAATTCAAACTCAATCATTTGGTTAATTCATACTTTTTGAGGTTATATATCGGAAAATATCTGCTGCTTTCCTACTGCTATTTAAAAATTTGTGTGCCCATGTAATCCTTACAGTCTAAAAATAAAAAATAAGCACATCAGGCATTCAAGAAAAAAGGCTTTGCTAGAAAACAAATGTTGTAAATGAAGCACACACAAGGTAAACCATGATGGTTCTCAACTGGTATAGAGAGCTTTGCGCTAAGGCACATATAGCAAAGATGCAGTTAGCAATTCACAATTTCTTTAAAAGGTCTGATCAGTAATAAATGGCCAATAAACTTGTGAACCTTACACACCTCTGCTTTTTGTTCATTGGGTGCAGTTAGGGTGTCACCTTGCCCAGAGCCATGTATCTGAGAACTCCTGATTATTCAAATTTCTTGATAATTCAAACAAAATTCAGAGGTTCCTTCGAGTTTGAATTAACGAGAGTCGACTGCCAGGGGGTGATTTATCTATAAGTTAAAGCTGTGGTAGGCTGCACGAAGAGCTTCAATCCTCCGTTTTCACAGAACCACGTAGCCCCACAAGCCAAAAATTAAATTATATAGCATTTTTAATTTTAAGATGCCAGCCGTTAGCGAGAAAAGCCATTGCATAGGCAGCGAGCAAATATAGCACTTGCTTGATTTCTGAAAATTTAAACACATTTTTTGAAAAACCCAGTATATTTTAACAACACGCTCATGAAAGAGGTATCATTCGCTTGTTTTCTTTGTTTTCTTTCACGTACAGCAGGCAAGAACTAGACCTAATTGTTATGAAGTTGAGATTAAGCACTTGTGATAACACCTTCATACTGTCCTTTTGATTTGACCTAGTGTGTCACAATTCGTGCTCTATTCTTTGTTCCGACTGTAGCATACTGATGAAGTTTGAATAATTGTGTAAATGCTAAGCCAAGGAGAGATGAACATTAGCATTTTGTTGTTAGTACTGCACCTCTACAACTCAAAAAATCATTAATTTGTGTATGCATATGTGCACAGTAATGATATTATTTGTTTGAAGTAATTCCCTTCTTCCACCCCCCCCCCCCTTTTTTTTTTCTAATGTCAGGTGCAACAGCACCACGAGTTCTGGGATTAAAAAAGACGCGAGAAGAATTTGTCGGGCACGACGCCATGACTGCATTGGACTTGTTTGCAAAGTTTCCGGACCTAAAAGACCTCTTTCTCAAGAAACTTGACGGCTCCAACGTAAACAACCATGACTTGTACTTCGTCCTTGACTTCCTATCAAGACTTAAACCACCTGCAATCGGCCAACAAGGAATGTGAGTTGCAGCAGTTGTCTGTTCCAAGTGGTATTCGTAGTTAATGCATGTTTTTGAGCCAGTTTGCAGCCATATTGCATCATATCATTGTAGATCATTGATCCTCACTAACACCATACTATCTGTCATGGCTCTCTTTGGCCACACTTCGAACTTATACCATTGAAAACAACATATCATATTCATCTTCTGTTGCTATGTGCACAGTGTAAGATATATAAACGCTTTAGGTGGGGATACTTCTCGGCTTGCATGCTAGGCGCGATTGACCTGATGAAGTAACTACGGTGCGCATTCGTTGGTTCGTCGATGGCAGCGGGCATCTATCAACAGGAAGACGCAGCTCAAAGACAGAAAACGCTTTCTGCACCGTTGCTGTTGCAACCGTACGTCCGCAAAACTTGTGGAGTTCAGTCAGACTCGCTCATAAAGTACCGTAATTACTCGAATCTAACGCGCACCTTTTTTCCGGTTAAGCGAGTTCATAAATCGCATGCGCGTTAGGATCGAGTACGAACAAAAAAATTACGGTCAATCTATTGCCATCGGCAAATCCAAAATGGCCGCCCTCTACGTGCGTCGGCATGGCGCGTCGGCCATTTCTGCCTATGTGTTTCCCATGTGCGGCACTTCGTACGTGTGCTGAGGAGTTCGTCATCTAGTAGTGCATTAGCATCGACGGCGTGGAAGGGCCGACTCCAAAAACTCGAGTGCACCACGATGCCGCTTTTAAAAGAAAAGTCATCGCGTGTACAGAAACGGACGGAAATCGGGCCGCATCGCAGTCGTTCGGAGTTCCCGAAACGTGCGTGCGGGACCGGCGGAAACAAAAGCAGAAGATTGTTGACAGCAAAGCTTCACGCAAAGGCTTCAGTGGACCACAGCAGGGTCGGTTTCCGCAAATTAAAGAGCTGCTCGGCGAGCATGTGCTTGAGCAGCGAGCGGCACAGCGGTCCGTGACGACAGAACTGCTCTAAGTGCGGGCTATGCAATTAGTCTTAGAAAAAGGTCTAATGCGGGGCCAGTTTAAAGCGAGCAGGTGCTGGCTAACTTTATGAAGAGGAAAGGCTTTTCTCTCCGAAGGGGAACATGCATATGCGAAAACTTTTGCGGAGGAGTACGATGAAAAGCTTCACAGTTTTCAGGTCCTAAACTTTCGTCCTCAACAACAGCTACCTGCTTGGGCAAATCGGGAATGCCGATCAGACGCCTCTTTACTTCGACATGCCTGGCACCACAACCGTCGAGAAGAAGGAGGCGAAGCAAGTTCGCGTGCTGACATCGCTTCACGGTAAAACTACAGTGACGACAATGCTCTGTTACACGTCAGATGGGCACATACTTCGCCCGTACCTCATATTTAAATGGAAGACGCTCCCGAAAGGAGTCGTTTTTTCGAGTGGTGTGATCGTGCGGGCCAGCGAGAAAAATGGGTGCGCGTTGCAATCGATGTCTTACGTTTTTTTTTTTTTTTTTCGCAACGGAAATCGGGTGCGCGTTACAATCGAGGGCGCGGTAGAATCGAGTAAATACGGTATATTTCGAGCTTTGGAGTCACTCGGACCAAGACTCACAAAAACTTTCTTCAGCCGGGCTCACTCGAAATTCAAGCTCACCATAGCATTACTCACCCTGACTCACCGAGATTCAGACTCGCGTCTCGAACTGAGTCTACATGCGTCCGAGTGAGTCGGCTAGTCAGTCCGACAGCCTAGAATTAGCTTCTTTGATCCTGGTGTCAATTCTCTTTAAGACCAATATCTCACGCAATCAGTGCTTTTCCTTGTGATGCTTGACTTAGTATCTTGACAAACGAGCTCAGAGTGCTTCCAAACCAGTAGGGTCATTTTTCTTGGAAGAGCTAAGAGCATAAATATAATAATCAAGAAATTTGCTATAAGAGCTGGGGAGTAGATATCAAGGCACCTTGCTACATGATTAACACCTCTAATCAATGAACATTGAAACTCTTATGAACGACACTGCTTTGAATACCTGTGAGTAGACGCGAGTATTAACATGAATCCAGTTAAAGCTCATAGCAATGCTGAAGATGACTAAATAGGACCTTAGGTCGGAAAAGCAAAAGAAAGTGGGACTAACACAGACTCACTCAAAAAATATCTTTTGCGCTTTGGACTCGCTCGGGCTCAACCAAAATTTTGCCGAGGCGATTTCACTCAGACTCATGAGTGAGTTCGCCAACCTATGACAGCAACCGACGGGGTCGAAGGCAACGCCAATGTCCACCGGATACGTATCCCGTTTCTACGTCCTTGACCAGATATAGATTTCCCAACAACAGAAAGCTTGATGCCTCTGCTTTCTTTTGTTTTCGCAGTTCTGGCCACGTTCTTTTCTGAATGTGCCAGATGCGCACCAGCTTACAAACTGTAACTTCTTCATATCGCTATGATTCTTGAACTGCAAGGAATCTCTTGCTACGTAAGAATGGGGGCATGGCAGGCCGCTGCGCAAGTTTTGAAATACGTATGTCATCTTTAGAGAAAGTAATCGTGCTAAGACAATTGACTGATTCTAGTTTAGAAAAGGCTGCAGATTCCAAATAACACAAAAAAATTATTTTTAAAAATATTTTTGTTTACCCTGTTCTTTTAAAAGCAAGAAAAAAAAGGATTAAAAACACTTAATATTAGAACTCAGGTTATTCTAACTCAACGTATCTATAGATTTCAGCGTAAATCAACAATAATTAGTTCATGATTTTAGTAATGGAGACTGGTGTCTAGCGCATTCATTGTTGTGGACTGATCTAATGCAATTGTGCTGAATTGAATGCTCCTGTGTATAAGTTCGAACATCAGTAAGCAGTGTTATGTGGCGCTTAGTTCAACATTCAAACCTCATTATACGAAACAGATATAACGAATTATTGGAGAAACACTCTCTTAATGAATACAGTGTTGTGAGTATATGTTCATAACGAATTTTCGGGTATAATGGAATGTTTTAGTGGCAGGTGTTCTTTGTGATAATGAGGTTTGAGTGTATGCTCAGAGTTCTAAATAAGTAAGGCAAGTTTGTTGTTGATGAAGTAGAGAGTGTGCTAACGTAGTTAAATATTTAAAAGTGTGTTTTATTGGTAAAGTACCAAGCAGTAGTGTAATAATTGATGTCGAAGGGTAGGAAAACATTGCAGAAGTTAATAAGTCACACTGTTACTTGTATGTATTTTGTTATTGCAGAAAATCTCTGGTGCCATTTCAACAATGCATACGCAACCACCTGTGCTGTCGTTCATGGAAGCTACGCCTGCTAGCCGCCAAGTGCGTGTCTTCTTTCTGCCGAAGAACGAAGAAAGAGGTTGTGCTTTTGCTAGGAAATGTCGCAACCCTCGAGGGCGCTCACCTTCACAACAGTGCCCACGGGCACCTTCATGCTGTCAATCGTCTCCTGAGGAACAACACTGTCTGGTTAGTGTCGACGCTTACTTTTTCTCTCAATTATACATGTAAAGGGACCTTAGTTACCAACGGACCGCTAAATGCTACCCATAAGAATAAAATGAATACTCATGCACTCAAAGCTCATTATAACAAAGTTGCACGTTACACGACAATAAGTTTGCCATATCCGAAAATTCATTGTATAGGTATGTTCCTAACACTGTATCTATTGCAAGACTATTTTTCATTTACTTCATTATAGCTGGGTCCGTTACATTGAGGTTTGAGTGCATAATAATATTAATTACTTTAGTGTCAGATTTATTTTACTCACCAAATTATCTAGATGAATATCGTACTCGCTTATTGTGAAAGAACAATTTAGGGCTAAATAGCACACATGATTTCATTTTTACCATCTTCAGTTTGGGTCGTATTGGCATAATTTTCACTTGAACACATAGATCAGAGCCAACATTATCTATACAGGCCAGATTTGTCGAGATATTATGTGATTAGCTCGAGTGATACCAGTCATTATACTAATAAATTTGATACACTCAAACAGCGATGTAACGAATGGAGATAAAACAAAATTCGGGTTATCACAAAGTAAATGAAAAACAGTGTTGAAATAGATATAATGTTAGGGATATATTTTTATAAGGGATTCTCAGATATAACGCACTTATTTTGTGTAAGATGTTTTTGTGTAAGATTTCATTATAAAGGTTTGAGTGTATCTCGTTTGAATCCGTGAGTACTGTTCGTCAACGCATTGGTTCGTGTATTGAGATTCATTGTAGATGACTTGACACACAGTGTAATTGGGTAAATAGGTTGTGACTTTTCTGTGCAGTGTGCCGGACATAGCCAAGTGGTTCCAAGAAAGTGGTAGCCTCAGCAGGTTGTCATGGACTTTGTCATCAAACTTTTTTGTGAGGATGGAGTTTTTGGACTTGCTGAATTTGCTTTCCGTTAATGGCGACAACACCGAGAGCCAAGAGAAGTTGCAAAAGTCATTCCTGTTGGACATTTCTGACACTGCCAGGCTTGAAAAGGCAAGATATCCCATTTTGTTCGCGCATTTAGTGGTTGTTGCATTACGCTGTTGAGCTTGAGAGTTTATTATAGACACCGCTGCATCTACACTGTAGTAAAATGCAGGAATACTGTATTTTCTCATGTATTACCCGCTCAAAATATACAAAAAATTTGGAGCTAAGGTGTGTGTGCAAGTTTAGTTGCGCAATTTGCCTTCATGTTAGTGCATTGATTTAATTAAAGGGAGGCAGCTGAACGGATATACCCTACGATTTTCGCATTTTGTATTTGGGGCATGAGTTATATACAGAGGCATGTTATACGTGAGGAAATATGGCAGTTTTGTGAAACTTTTTTGTAGTCTCCTACTTGTGCGTGTCTTACAATGATGTTGCTTTGACGAGCAAATTTCCATTGATTGAGATTTGCTTGATTGTCATAAAACGCCACCAAACAATGTAAATTGCAGATTACGCTGGTTTGTACAACTAAATGTGTCAAATTTCAATATCATGCAAATGTCATTAAACGCCACAAAAAAAAACACGAAATCGCACACCACAGCGTTTTGTACATTGAAGCGCATTTTTATCATAGCCAATCGTGCTGCAAGCTTAGTTTATCAGCGTCACGTGTGACAGGCTAGAATAGAAAGCACTCGAAATTTTAAATGTTTTAGATGTGCCTATTCTCCTCCGACCATAACACTTTCGTGCCTGCAGTTGCGCTTTGGCACAGTGCTCTGTGTGTTTGTGTTGTAGCATTTTATACAACCTTTATGAGTAAATTACCATCGCCATTGCATTGCAATCAATTGCAGCTGCCTGGAAGTATTGCATGGAGACAAAAGCAAACGGAATGGTTCCTGAAAAGAGCTGCGTGTCTGTGTCCCGCTGAAATAGTCGCCGTGGTTCAAAAGGGAAAGGAATGTGATGTTGTCATGGAAACTGCTCTCGAATTTCTCATTCCTCAAGCACTGCGACCAGACTGTGTAATCACGCCAGATTCATGGTGCGAAGTGGCAGTAAGTTCTTTTGCATTTTAATTTTGCATCATTACACTGTACTTAGTACTTCAACGGGTTGTTTATAAGCTGTGTGTAATGCCTTACAGTAGAGCCTGACTTGAGTCTCATTCAAGGAAGATTAATAAACGCAAGACAGACAGAACACACATAATGTGGCACAGATGCAGCACTCAATGTGTCTTTCTGTGTGTTTTGTCTTTTTTGTGCTATTTAATTTGTCTTAAGTATAAAACAACTCGCCAAAGCATTTGTTTTATTCAAGTCTCATACTATAAGTAGAACTCACCATTAACTAGAGCTAACAGGCGAGAAAGCCAAGGAAGGTATCGAACTCGAATTGAGACTATATAATGGTTTGAATTAGGTGGAGTTCCAACTGGCGAGCAGGCGCCAAAATGAGCAGACATCATGCCACACCGTGTGGAGAGAACGCGGACAAGCCACCTCTGGACCCACTCCTTCAAATTAGGTGATACTACTCGTTGTAGGCAGGTAAATTCGTGAATATAGCGCATGCTCTAATAGCAAACAGAATTTATTGATCAGCCAGAGATACGCCAGGAATGAGCAGCGACTTGCACTCTTGTGAGCACTGAGCCTTAATGCCAAAATATACACCGCATTTTGTGCTTCAGGACACGTTCATTTGCATGGCAAAGTTGACGCGATCGAAATTTAAGTTCTTTCTTTCTGAGTTGATTTAGAACAATAATGGAATTATTCAAGGGGACACGGCTAAAGGCAAACATTGCCTGGCTGGAGCGTACCGCCCATAGAGCCATAGCAGCAGACAGATGACATTTACAACTAGTATCAAGGCATAGACGGAAATCGATCACTACACTTTTTTTTACACAGATGAAAGTGATTAGTAATTTGCATGATCATTCCAGGTCGATTTCTGTGAGGAGGGACGAAAGCCAGGGGGCTCTTAGTTCAAATTAAACGAATTAACCGTTGTAGATAACGATGCATACGAATAATTAGGAGTTTTCCTCTTTTAATGCACATTCCTACTTCACGAAGTGAATTGGAGGATGACCGTCGCTGTAGCTTAGTTGGTATAGCATTGGACGCGTTATTCGATCCCTGCTAGCGGGAAGTTATCTTTTCGTCCACTTTTATTTCTTCGCATTTACACTACGATTACTTACTAAATATTACATCCTCTATACATTCCTTGGCTTGTCTGTTAATTCTAATTAATGGTGTGCCTAACAAGTAAAAAATAGCCCGTAAAATACCCCTTCTTTCCTTAATACTGCCGCCAGCACGTAGTGGGTTGGCAGCAAGAGCGGCTCTAAATCAGGAGGAAAAAAGAAGATCGCGTTCTTCTCTGCTCGAGAGCAAGCCACGACTGACGCATCGTCCTAGAGCTAGCTACCCGGTCGTTCAATAAATCCCCCAGTACTTGTGACTCATCGTGACAAACTGGTGGAGGTGCGGGGTAGCCTCACGGATGCTGCAGACCCCCCCAGGAAGCCGTAATACGAGTCCAGTGCCAGTCAACACTCCCGTGCATCGGACCAGCCGCCGAATCAGGGGATTGCCTCCGGAAGTCAACGATACTGCTCCCACCACGTCAACAAACATGACCAGCACTTCGGTACAGACCTTGGCAACCGGCACGGGAAGCACGTCGCCGAACCGCTATACGTTGGAAAGCCCACGGGCACCGCCAACGTTCCATGGTACGGAGCGCGAAGACGTTGAGGACTGGTTGGCGGACTTCGAGCGCGTAGCCAACTTGAATCAGTGGGACGACGCGGCGAAACTGGATCGTGTCTACTTCTATCTCGAAGACGGGGCTCGCACGTGGTATCAAAATCGGGAGGAGCAGCTGACGACGTGGCCCGAATTCTCTCGTAGACTTCTGTAGACATATGCCAGCACTGACCGCCAAGAAAGAGCTGAACGAGCTATTCTTGCCCGCGTCCAGTCGCCAAACGAAACTGTGACCGCGTACGTCGAAGACATGACGCGCCTCTTCCGACGGGCCGATTCAAGAATGACTGAGGACAAGAAGTTGCGTCACTTGATGCGCGGTGTCAAGGACCAGCTTTTTGCCGGCCTCGTGCGAAGTCCTCCGAAGACGGTCGCGGAGTTCTTGTCCGAGGCCGTGACAATGGAAAAAATGCTGCAGCAGCGATCCAACCAATACGACAGGCAAGTCAGTGGCATGTCTACTGCCGACATTTTCACCGCCACTAGAACCAACAACGACTGTCTACGTGAACTCATCCGTGATATAGTACGTGAAGAGTTACAAAAGGCTGGTGTAACACCTCATTCTACAGTCAACTCTATTGCAACTGTGATCAAGGATGAGCTGCACCAGGCCCTCCGGGACACCTTGCCTCATGATACAGCTGTGCCAGCTCCTGCTGAATACCGCCGTGAGACAACCTACGCAGAAGCCTTGAAACGCCCTGCTGCAACGCCGCCGCTATTCGTCCATCCTGTTCCTGCTGTTTCACTACAGTCAGCGCAGCACATACCGTACTACGAAGGCACGTACACGCCACCGCCCCTGCCCTTTGTCCCTGGTGCTTCTGTCGCCCATCGTTCAGTGCAACCAGTTCAGTACATCGACGATCGGCGCACGTCTCCTCGAAAGTCTGATGTTTGGCGCACACCTGATCGCCGGCCTCTGTGCTTTCACTGCGGAGAAGCTGATCACTTGTACCGCCAGTGCCCATATCGCCGTCTTGGGCTTCGCGGCTTCTCTGCGTACTCGCCGCCACCCCGTTACGGTCAGAGACCACGCGACATCCAAAACTACCTCTCCCAGCAGCATGCACCACCGTCTGCCGGGCGCCAGTCGCGCTCGCCATCACCGAGGCGATTTTCATCAACGCCCCAGCGGTATTCTACCGCACGATCTCCCAGCCCCCGCCGGGAAAACTAGCCGAAGCGACCTCTGGGGCGGGGTCGCTGAACGTCGAAGCGCTGAAGACCTCCTATTGACGCAGAACTGTACAGAAACTGGTCCGACATCACCTGCTGCTGCAAAGGATAGCCGGCTTTCACTCGACATAGCAGTAACAATTGATGGTTGTGCAGTTAATGCGTTAGTGGACACCGGCGCAGACTATTCCATACTGAGCGGGAAACTGACAACGCAGCTGAAGAAAGTAATCACACCATGGCATAACTCGCAGATTCGGACAGCTGGTGGCCATGTCGTTACTCCACTGGGTGCCTGCACAACTAGAGTACAGATTCAAGGGTACACATTCGTAGCAAGCTGCCTTGTTCTACGTGAATGCTCCCGTGACGTCATTCTGGGAGTTGATTTTCTACAGGAAAATGGAGCTATCATTGATCTGCAAGAGCGCCGCGTCACGTTCTCAGCCCAGCGAGCAATCAACGTGCAGGATGACGGAATGCGTGTCGACGTACTCCGTATTTCTGAACAGAGCGTGACGCTTCCTCCCCGAGCCAGTGTTCTAGTCGACGTAACATGCTGTGGTTTGAGCGATGGCGATGTGGTGGCCGAGACAAATTTAGAACACCTCCTGCAGCAAGGCATATGTGTAGCGAGAAGTGTAATACACGTTCGTGACGGCCGATCTGAATTGCTCGTTACCAACTTTAGCAACGAGCATCGACACCTTTTCCGTGGCACTTCGATAGCGTTTGCCCACGAAGTAGCAAACGTAACCAACTGTCTCACGTCAGAAGTAGTGGATAACGCAGACACATCAATGAGCAACATTGACATCAATCCTGATCTGTCCACCGATAACCAGACTGCGCTGCGAGCGCTCTTGTTCGAGTACAGGTCTTGCTTCGCAAGTTGCTCGAAGATCCGCCAGACGTCCATCACTCAACACAGGATCATCACGTACGAGGACGCACGCCCAATACACCAGCACCCCTACCGCGTGTCGGCTAAAGAACGTGAAGCGATACGTACGCAAGTTCGCGAGATGCTTGACGATGGCGTTATCGAACCATCCAACAGCCCGTGGTCATCTCCAGTCGTGCTTGTCAAAAAGAAGGACGGGTCGCTACGCTTCTGCGTCGATTACCGAAAGCTTAACAACGTGACCAAAAAGGATGTGTACCCGCTACCGCGTATCGACGATTCGCTAGATAGACTTCGTCGTGCCCATTATTTCACTTCTCTCGATCTCAAAAGCGGGTACTGGCAAATCGAGGTAGATCAGCGAGACCGCGAAAAGACAGCCTTCGTGACTCCAGACGGCCTATACCAATTTCGAGTACTCCCTTTCGGCTTGTGTTCAGCGCCGGCAACTTTCCAGCGAATGATGGACACTGTCCTCACAGGGCTCAAGTGGCAGACTTGTCTTGTCTACCTTGATGATGTGGTGGTCTTCTCTGCCACGTTCGAGCAGCACCTACAGCGCCTGCGCAGCGTGCTGGAGGCTATCCGATCGGCGGACCTCACTCTAAAGCCACAGAAGTGCCACTTCGGCTATGAAGAACTGAAATTTCTTGGACATGTAGTTAGCGCTGAAGGAGTCCGGCCCGATCCAGACAAGCTTGCCGCTGTTGCCGAATTACCAGCTCCTGTAGATAAGAAAGCCGTCCAGCGCTTCCTTGGTTTGTGCGCCTACTATCGCCGGTTCATTCATGGCTTTTCACAGATAGCAGAACCTCTGACTCGTCTCACAAGGGACGACACACCGTTTGTCTGGGAAAACGAGCAACAAGCAGCTTTTGATGAGCTGCGACAGCGCATGCAATCAGCGCCCGTTCTCGCTCATTTCGACGATGATGCTGACACGGAGGTCCATACCGACGCTAGTAACATTGGGCTCGGTGCAGTGCTCGTTCAGCGTCAAGAAGACATCGAAAGAGTGATAGCCTACGCCAGCCGCTCTCTATCGCGTGCTGAGGCGAATTATTCCACTACGGAGAAAGAGTGCCTCGCAGTCGTGTGGGCAATCACCAAGTTCCGCCCGTACCTTTATGGTCGTCCCTTCAAGATAGTGACGGACCACCACGCCCTCTGCTGGTTGGCAAGCCTGCGCGACCCTTCAGGACGGCTAGCACGGTGGAGCTTGCGGCTGCAGGAATTTGACGTCACCATCGTCCATAAGTCCGGCCGTAAGCATGAAGACGCTGACACACTGTCACGCGCGCCCGTTCATGTCGGCAGTCAGGAAGCAGAGGAAGACGAAGGCTTCCTGGGCGCCATTAGCTCATCAGACTTGAGTAAACGGCAGCGGGATGACGCAGAGATTCGTCCGATCATCGATCATTTAGAGGGCCAGGACACAATCATACCACGTTATTTATTCCGCTCGTTGCCGTCGTTCTGCCTTCGAGATGGTGTGCTGTACAAGAAGAACGCTCGTTCGAACAACCGTGCCTACCTCCTGGTGGTTCCTCGAGACATGCGAGACGACGTCCTCTTCGCTTGCCATGACGAACCCACATCCGGTCATCCGGGCTACTCACGAACACTTGCCAGAGTGAGTGAGAGGTACTATTGGCCAGGACTTTCGGCAAGCGTCAAGAAGTACGTGAAGAGCTGTCGGGAATGTCAGCGCCGAAAGCAACCATCTGTTAAGCCAGCTGGTTTGCTTCAGCTCAATGAAGCACCCTGCACGCCGTTCGACCAAGTCGGCATGGACATTCTCGGGCCTTTTCCTATGTCTGCGGACAGCAACAAATGGGTGATCGTCGCGACCGACTATTTGACACGCTACGCTGAAACCCAGGCGATCCCACGAGCCACGGCTTCTGAGGTAGCACAATTTTTCATGCGCCACATCGTGTTACGACACGGTGCTCCTTCCAGTGTAATAACGGACAGAGGGACGGCATTCACGGCGCAGCTTACGGACGAAGTTTTCAAACTGAGCAACACCAGACACCGAAGGACAACTGCGTACCACCCGCAAACAAACGGACTTACTGAACGACTGAATAAGACCCTCGCAGACATGATCTCAATGTACATCGACGTACAGCACAAAACATGGGACCGGATCTTGCCTTACGTGACCTTCGCGTATAATACCGCCGTGCAAGAGACCACGCGATTCACGCCATTTCGGCTTCTCTAGGGCCGCGAAGTGCAGACCATGCTAGACTCAATGCTACCGTGTCAGGACGAAGACGAGTTGGCAACAGACGCCGAAGAATTCGCAGAGCGTGCCGAGGAAGCCCGGCAGCTCGCGCGACTGCACATCGGCCAGCAACAGCAGACAGACGCACGACGCTATAATACCCGCCACAGAGAAGTGTTTTACAGCCCCGGAGATCAAGTTTGGGTGTTGGCGCCCGTCCGCCGCCGTGGCCTTAGTGAAAAGTTGCTGAGCCGGTACTTTGGCCCATATAAAGTGTTACGCCGCGTCAGTGACGTGAACTACGAAGTGGTTCCGGACTCAACACCCCATGCACGGAGCAGGACACGGCTGAGGCCGGACGTCGTTCATGTGTTGCGCATGAAGCCATTTATTGCGCGTTGTTCGTAACTTTTTCTTTACCGTACAGCGTTCTTTGTGTTTTTTTGTTTATTTTGTGAACTTACTTTCTCGTTCATTGACGTTTCCTATGTTGGCACGCTCTTCCATTTTTACTTTCACTTCATCCGAATTTCCATTTCTTTTTGGTACTTGTTGTTTTTTTTTCTTTTCGGAAGGGGGGATAATGCCGCCAGCACGTAGTGGGTTGGCAGCAAGAGCGGCTCTAAATCAGGAGGAAAAAAGAAGATCGCGTTCTTCTCTGCTCGAGAGCCAGCCACGACTGACGCATCGTCCTAGAGCTAGCTACCCGGTCGTTCAATAAATCCCCCAGTACTTGTGACTCATCGTGACAATACTATAAGTTGACAGAAAGTATTTTCAGCAGTTCAAGAATTAATAGCTTTGGTCAGTGGCCTTATTATAAACCTGCATGCACTGAGATTCTGATGTTGCGTAGCACATGTCACTACACTCACATTTTTGTGTGCTTTAGAAACAGCACCATTTGTCAAAAAAAAATTGTACACTATTTTGAAGGCAAGTTGGTGTCATGGTGTGGGGAAGCCTTCGATTTAGTGTTTTTTTTTTTGTTTTTTTTATAAGAGGTCTTTTCGCGACAATAACTTGGTCTCATATAATCTTAATGTACCATTCCAGGTAGCTCTTGTGACATTCTTGAATGGTATCTCAGGTCTGCCAGACCAATCTGCCGATGTCCTGGACTTGCTGGGGGTACTCTTGAATAAACGGGAAGTGGCTAACAAGTGTGTAAACCCCGCTTTGTTGGCAACGTTTCAACGCATCTCTGTTGAGAAATCGTCTGTAGCAGGCACTACAGTGAGAGCCCTGTCTCTGGTGGTGTGGTCGCACTGTTTGAAGCACTGTTTACAAAACCCTGACTGGTAAGTACTAAAACCTGCATTAGGTCATCACAGACATTGTCACCATATTACTGTTCTCATGTATGTCATTGTTACTGCGTCATTACTATTACTGTTCTAACTTCTGCTTTATAACATGACCGTCTTAAAATAACTGAAACCAAAGACATAAGACAACATTTTTTTATATTATTTTTTGCAAGCAATTGCTACACTTCAAAAATTTCATAATATGCTGAAAATTTCAGCTGAACCAATTTTGTAGCATTAGTTTACCTAGAGTCGGGGATATTGTTTGAGGCGTCTTGGCACAAGCAGGAACACAAAAATAGTTTACTGAAGTACCAGAAGGGAAAAATGCTGAGGAAATGCGCAATGCTTGGCCTCTTCCTTCTTTTTTTATGCACATAGTAATGACTTCATTCATCGGTGTTGGCACAGAAGTGCCCCAGTAATGCATGATAGGCAGTTGCGACGAGTGTCGTTTGTTCCATCGATTGGAGACCTTTAAAACTGAAAAGGTCGCTATCTGAGAGTGTTTGCTACACCCCAACCACTATATGTAATGTCTTTTTTTAACAGCATAGCTGTTTAAGCTGGCCGTAAGGGCTTTATCGGGCGGGTTGGTGCAAAACTTTATTGTGAAGGCTCGGGTTCCACGGAAAATCGCAGGTAGGTATGTGCCGCGAGAATTCGGTATGGCCCGCTAGACAGAAGAAACAGAGAGAAAGAAGACAAATAAAAATAAGTAAGGAGGAACAAAAAAGCCCACCATGTTGCGCTCTTACGTCAGGCTTGGCGCCACTAGTGTAAACCTGGCATAATTTTTTTCTCGTTTTTTTTATTCTATTTGTTGAGCATGCTTCTTAAGTTCACACTTCTTACTATTGGTAAACATTATTGACAATACCTTCTTATTTTCTTCTGTGCCTGTGTTTTCTTTGAGAGGAGAGGAGGGGTGGGCAGGTAAGCAAGAAATTGAGAACTAGTTTTGTGGTGATAGTATGTCTAGCTTGAGACCTGTTTTCACTTGTCCAGCTACTCGCCCGAAGTTGAACGAAGTGCTGAGTCGTGGACCTCGGCCATCACGTCTGCTGTGAGCAACCGAGAAAAGCTGGCAGCGACCGCGGACATCCGTCGGATGCACGCAGCACGTTCCCTTCGAGTTGCCGGCGATTCCGTGTTTGCTTGGGCTGCTTGCAAGTGCAAGCCACGAAAGTCAAAGCTTCTTCAAAGGTAATTTTGCATGAGATAATGCTTTTGCATCTCTCCACCCTGTGTGGGCTGTGTCAGTAACTACTTGGCATGCCAACATCCATATACTTGTTGTTTGTCCTCTATATTTTTTAACCAAAGTGTAAAGTCATTACATTCTACCAGTACTGACAGACAGAGCAAGTAGGTACTTAGAGCTTCACAAAACTCGACAAGCTAAAACAAATGCAGTGAGTGATGAAACAAGGAATCATGCGTGTATCGAGACATGGGAAGAAAATTATTATGATAATTATAAGATATACACGGTCACGCAGGAGTAGAGAGGGTTAAATTCGAGAGTAGTCAAAGCGGTCTGTTTGAACAACAGAACAAATAACAAGTGAACAGTCCAGAAAAACCAGGCAACCAGTTGGCAGGGTCAACTTGGTAAATTTGCAGGCATAGAGTGAAGTCGGCGAATCGTGCAGTGAATTGTGGATGCGTGGTATAGGCCTTTGTCTGACAATTGGTTACCTTAATATTGGCTTATGAAGTTATATCAATTTTTTGAAACAGAGGCAGTATGCGCATGCATGGAACACCATTTGCAGACTATCTGCGTGGACATGCATGACATGTTGTTAGTATTTATGTCCAGCTTGTTCAGCGCAACGCTAGCGCTTCTTCAAGACGAAGATCCCCAAGTTCGCTCTGAAGCTGCTGATGCCCTGCCACTTCGAAGTGCTGGACCACAGGTATTTATTTATTTTGTTTATTTACAGTTGAACCCTTTGATAAGAAACTTGCACTGAGGAGCAGCTCCTGTCTTTTATGCGAGGTGTCTCTTATCAGGGTACCACATTGACATTTTTTATCAATCTCTACTTTTATGTAGGCACACCGCTGTCTCTTATACCCTCAAATCAGTGTATATTATATTGGGGTTTTACCAGATTAACAAAATACTTTACATTCATAAATGGTTGTTTTATAAATGTAAGCAATGTAACTTATGAGTGACCGTATTAGTAGTTACTTACAAATTCTTAGCACTAATGGGCATACTTGGTACTTACAGTAAGCACTAATCAGGCCAGTTTTGGCTGCGTGATTCTGGAACACACACACATACCGTAACGAAGTATACTAGAACATACATTTACAGAGCTGAGCTTAGACCACATCGCTTTGTTTATGCTGTTTGCGTTCACATTTTTGTGTGTGTTTGTGTGTGCCTGCCAAACCTTCCACTCTTATCATTATAAAATTAGTTCTTGGATTCATTTTCAGGGATATTTAAGACTCAGTCATTCACACGGTTGGCAGCACAGACGGCACAGTATACTCTGACAAAATTCAGATCTAGATCATGATCTGCAACACTTAACAGTGTGTTAAAAATTGGTAAAAAGTGTTTTTTTTTGCATACTTTAGCACGCCTGTAAAATCTACATAATTTGAAGTTCACTGGTCAGTTGCTTTAGGTACACTCTGTGGAGTCTGAAGGTGGTAATCGCCACCACGCCCTTGGAGTGAACGAACACAGCAGACGCGGTCGGAACAAACCAAACACAAATTTATTTAACTACTTTTGATCTACGATATCGTCACCGGAATTAATATAACATCAACTATGATCCACACGCTAAACAATCTTACACATAATTACACAACTCTCGACAACATAACAAAGGCAAGGCGGCGTCGCTAACGCCTGACTCACCACAGTGCCCCCTGGCAGACGGTCTACGGTGCCGTTCACTGCGGGACACATTGCGAGAGACAACCATTCGCACCAAACGCCACCAGAGAAAAAGCCCAGCTTATTTCTCGCTCGCCGCCAGCGCTATACCATGATGATGATCATAGTGGTGATCAACGCTCGTGAACACAACGCCACCTACCGCCTGGTAGTTGTAACCCAAAATGCGGCGTTTGGCCGAGACACGTGCGCCACGCGGCGCAAACAACTATACAGGGGGTGTCAGCACCCCCACAACTGAAACTTTTGATATAACGAACCCTTATATAACGAAATATTGGTTTTAACGAAGTAAATAAAAACAGTCTTGTAATATATATATAGTGTCAGGAATGTACGTTTATAGCAAATCTTGGATATAACGTACTTACTTTTGTGTAATATGCAACTTTGTTATAATGAGGTTTGAGTGTATGTCATTGTGTTAAACAACAATATCCGCTAAAACATTTGCCACATTACTTCCGTGTGTATGCCTTTGTAGTGTGCATGTCTCGTTGATGTCCCTGTTGTTGTTTTTCAGTCACTTCCTGTCCAACCAAACATTGCAGCAGATGTAAGTACTATATTAGTTCTTTGTATATGCCTAAAAGCATGAGCCTGATCACATCTAAATGTCTCTTTGTTGAGCATGTTGCATTGAATTAAAAGAATAGTATGACCTATTATTAATACGATATCCAAGTATCGTCTAATGACGGTACTCTGCTGGGTAATGCACAGTCAAGCTGAATGCGGGAGCGCGTAGCTTCACGTGTTCAAAGATGGCTTATGGCTTCCACTAGCCCTTATTTCCGTTCCTAAACACGCTTCTCTCGCTTGGGTATGATCAGATATAAAAAAAATTATATTTGGTTTTTGAAATAAAAACAAGCTGAAGCCATGCACAAACAAGTTGGAACTCGCGAGGCCATGTGCTTCCGTGTTGCGAGTCATATTGAGCATGCCTGTACTACTCTGATGCAGCTTTTGTGGTGCCCGGTGCCTTTTTGCCGTTCTGTATTAGGAGTTGTTTCGTTTGCGCACTTGCTGGAACGATTCGATTTTGTGGCAGTCTGAGAGAAAGATTGGGGGTTCGAATGCATCCCCTCGGGAGTAGATGCAAACCACAGAAGAACGTCAGATTATCAAAGTAACGCGAAACCCTCCACTACAGTATCTTTTTAGGCCATTCGTTCATTTTGAGCGTTCCGTCATGTCGGAGTGTCAATTTTTTGTCGCTGTATTTGTATTTTCCCACTCTGATTCTTCTCTACTCACTGCTTTACATAGAAACAAGTGACTTAGAATGAATACATAAACACTCAGTTAGTGAGCAGATCTTTCTCATGCAGTCTTTCCCTTTAAGTTAAATGTGTTGTTGCTTGCAGAACAGAGTTTTGCATTCATCCATGGTACGCCGAAGACGTATGCCTTATTTGAAAAAAAAAAAAGTAGAAAGGAAGTATTATATGCATTGCCAACTGTCAACAGCTGTAATGGTGCTCAACTTGAACGTCCAACAACCTTGTTTGGCCAATGCAGAACCTCTTTAAAAAGCTGGTGCTCGCTTTCGAGGGTGACTCCGCACAGTTGGTCAAGTTCCTGTGGCGCGAGCTTTGCCGGAGCGGCCCATCCGCGCTGTGCGAATTCCAGCAGCTCGCAAAGCCCACGTGAGTCCTTCGACTTGCACCTATAATCTCTGCTTTCATGCTTCGACTTTTATACACTCGAACCTTGTTACGACGAAGTTGCATCCTACGCAGAATTAAGTTCGTTATATCCAAAAATTTGTTATAAATGTTTATTCCTTACACTATATCTTTTGCAAGACTATTTTTTATTTACGTTGTTATAATCGATGTTTTGTTATACCCAGGTTTGTTATATCAAGGTTGGAGTGTATTGCGTTGTGCTTGCTACTTTCACTTGTGTGCATTTCTGGCAATGCAGTTCAGTATATGGCACAAAAAAAAAAAAAACTAATGTCATTCGCTTGTTTTTGGCATGAAGCTAAAAAAAAATAAAGAAGCCTCCGGGATGGTGCAATTCAAACTTTTTTTTTATATATAATTCAAGTACCTCATTACAACGAAGTTGCCTCTTACACAAAAATAATTTTGTTATAAAGGCATATTTCTAACACTATTTAAAAACTGTTCATCACTTACTTTGTTATAACCGATAGTTCATTATATCCAAGTTCGTTATAAAGGTTTCAGTGTACTTTTGTTCACGTTGATTGCAATGTGCATGGCCTGTATCTATGCAAGCCAACACATTGGCATTGTTTTTCAAAATAACAAGTGCACTACTGCTACGACAGGTGCGTACAAACTGATAAAGCAACTGATAAGGCAAGCTGTGTAGACAGATGGCTGTTTAGAAAGATGTCTGCTGTCACTGCCAGTTTTTCTTGGTTGCTTGCGGCAGATGTGATGGCCGAGGTCCACAGCTCGGCACTTCGTTCAACTTCGAGTGAGTAGCTGGACAAGTAAAAACACGTCTCAAGCTAGATATGCTACCAGCACAAAACTACTTCCCAATTTCTTTTCTAAGCAATATTATTACATAGCTATAACCTTCCAGTTAAAATATCTGTTCCTTTATTATGCATTCTTTTGTTACACCCTGTAGCCAACCCTAAGTGCCGATTAACAGTGTTTTTTGTTCCAGTGTTGCGAGCCTCTTTGAGCAGGATGAAAGTGGTGTTTTTATGGAGCCGATGGTCGTCTCTCATATGCTTCATCGAGGCACTCAGGTGAGAGGGCATTTTCGTAAAGGAATTTTACAATGAATATGTTTATCATGCATTTGGTTTAGAAACGTGGGCTAGGCTTACTGTCATTTCATTGCTTTTTCACACCTGGAGTAATCAGAACAAAAAACATGTGACAGTGTACTGAAGAGTTGGTGTTTCTATTAAAATTAGACTAGATGCAGAATAGGGAAAAAAAAGGGGGGGGGGATAGAATTAACACAATTAAAAACAGCCACGTCTACGCTTGTAAGTAAATATGTGTTAGTTGCCAGTAACAAGCTGTCATCCAAAGATAAAATCGCGACTTTCAGAATCGTGTCTGCCCACACATGATATGAGGTCTCATGTTCTGTATTATCTGGTCCTTAACACTTCTGCACAACACGCAGAGTGACAAATGTTCCCGAGTTACAACACACGTCGGTTTGAAGTTTCGAACTTAAACTGTGGTATGAATCCAAATTCAGCTAGGTGTCAATGTGAGCTTTGTAAATTGCTTTGGAGCACTATGTGCCCGGATAGAGCGTATCTGCCTCACTTCAATGCCCCACAGGTGTTGTGGGTACGTAGTTGGTAAAATTTTGAAAGTTACTCGCAATTGTAAAATTTGCATTGCATTGAGGCACTGTATGCGCCTCTGTTTATCAGACTTTTGATTCAATTCATTTCTGGGGCTCTATGTGGCAGAAATCATTTCATGATTATGAGGTGCTAAGCAGTGGATTACTGTTTTTGACCAACTTGGCTTCCTTAATGTGAACTCAGATCAAGAGAAGAGTGCAGATTTCTCGCATTTTGTTTCCATTGGGTATGCGACTTTTAATTTGTTTGAAGATACGATGAAAAAATTGTTTTCTTAATTATTTATTAATCAATGAATCAATAAACAGGCTCTGTGAATTACTATTAACAAAAGATCAACCAAAAAGTTAATCTCTTGTTACAGATGGCACTCGAGGGAGCACTCCAAGGTAGCACAGACCTGATGAGCTTTCTCCTAGATGAAGCTTTGAGACTAGCTGACGAGCTTATGGCAGTGTCCCAAGCCATTGGTGAATTCACCCTGCTCACGGACAAACCCCTTGGTAAGTTATTGCCCCTCAAGCAGTTGTGGTCTTTGTTCGACTCAGAGGGCTTCGAAAATTTCGCTTGCTTTTCGGATGTAACCGCATGTGCCAGTGCCCGTGCGCTTATCAAAGTGCACACAGCTGGGTAGATTGGAAACTAGGCACTGGAAAATAGTAAATTTGAAGTTCGAAGCAAATTTTGATTTGGTTGAATAATTTCAAATCAATTACTTCAAACTGTATGTATAGCATAATATAAAAGAAAATAATATTTTTGTCATGGACTTAAGTAACTTGTACAGAATATTTAAGAATTGGGACTAGGAATGTTGAACAAATGTCACTTTTTTGCCTCGAAGTGAAAGCGAGATTGAATAGGAGCAGGACTTTAGTAACAGTGGGGTGCAAGTTACAAGTAATAATGTGTTATAATTTAGAGTTTATTATAATTAGGCTTGTAAGCCCTATACAACAAGCTCCGAAATTAAAAGAATAATAATCCTTAAATCCAGGGTACTCACATGCACATTTAACTTCCAAGTATGACTTCATGGCAGTGCAGATTTTTCCTGTGTAGGTGGTCTCACGGCATAATATTTTATGGTGCCACAAAACCATCTTAACAAGAGTGCTACATTACTTCAAATATACATTTTCTCGTTCATTTTAAATACTTTGAAATATTAAATCATTTGCATTTTTGTTGAAGCAAATTCAAATACTGTATTATTCATTCAAACATTTAAAGTGCTTCAATATTCGCTTATGCCTACATTAAGTGAGTCTACGAGCATATCAACAAATCGCACGTACACCTGCAGGCACAAACCTTGAGATCCTTGCGAGGCCCAAGCTGCACCACGCCATTGCGGTATTACGGGCTCGCGCAGATTTGGTCGAATGGGCTTGCGCGCACTTCATCGCGGAGCCAAGACCTGGTGCAACCGCTGAAACGTTGCGGCCAGGTAAGGAGGTCGGTGAGCTGTCACTGCTACCAAATGCAGCTTTTCAGCTTTCACACGTGAAAGCTTGCTTTGTAGAGCTCTGGACTCGGTTAACCTTTGAATAATAAAGTTGTGTACTGTAACATCTTTTCAGAAACTTTTTCTTTTTTTGCTGTGAAGCTGTCTTAGTCTACTCTGCGCTGTTGTCGTCGTAGTGTAGTATAGTCATCACACAAGTCACATGACCAGAGAGGTGAGAGTGTGGCTCATTCGAGAGAGAGAAATGTGATCACCGCACCCATAGTATATCTCTAGATTCCCTTTAGTGTATCTATAGGAAGATACACTAGAGGGAACTCTGGTGCGAGTGTCTATTTGCAACTCCAAAAAATACTCCGTCTGTTAGTAACACTGGTAGAAAAAAACAGTGTTACCAGCAGACACTGAACAGGGTCAACGCGGCACTTTTGCTTGGAGCTGTGCTGAAGTTTCTTGATTGCGGAGTGAGATCGCGCTGCTTCGTAAGGTAGCTGGCCGTGCACCACCCCATTTTCATCGGCATGAAGGATTTTACTCCCCAAAGAGCGGAAATAGTGGCGCTGTGCGCGCAAACATAGAGTTTCTTTGGCAAACCGCATGACATTTACTTCCAAGTTGAAGAGCCTGCCTTGCGAGCCCGGGGTTGAAGAAGGCAACTGCTCATGTGTAGTTGGGCCTCGCCAAAAAGTGCTAGCACTTTTGCGCTGCGTTGCTACACTGCAACAGGCAAGGCCTTAACAGTTTTCGAGGTACCTATAAAATGCGACTTGTGCTGCCGATTGCATGTATTCTATCGAGTTCTGCTGTCCCGTCAAAAGCAGAATACACGTGTCATTTACTTGATTACAGAAAAGAGCTATGCGATGGCCAGTCTATCTTGAGATAAGGCTAGTCATAATTTCAGTTTTTTATAGGAGTGACCCTTTCTTTTTGTTTGCCGATCCATGTTATTAAGTTCCTAATGAATGAGGTCGTGTGTTTCCAAACACTCGCTTGTTTGTGTTGGCAGTAGTTGATATTCAAAACAGATATATTCATGCACACTAGGAATGCATGGGCATTATTTAAGGTATATACACACACAACATAAATACCTACGCGCATGCGTGACCATTGCATGCGCGTTTGTGTGCGTGTATATACACACATACGAAATCAAAAATGTTCGGGGCGAAAGATTGCAGCGGAGCACTACAGCTTCCACAGAAAAATGAGCATATACTAAAAATACAGTCACACACGTAATGTAACAAATTTCTTAAAGCGCTTGTGTATATAAACGAAACTATACTCTGTGCTTAGGGATACACGAATATTGATAAGAATGCACACAAGCTAAATAATCGTGTACTCACCAAGGAGAATCAAGTTGTCTTGAGCGATTAGAACCAACTACTGAAGTGTCTTTCACCAAGCTTTTGCCCAATGCGTAAGTTCCTGATTTGCGCTGTTTTTCATCATGCGTCGTCTGCATTCTTTGGGGAGTGACAGAGCGATACGTTTTCATCTTTGCCACGCATTGCAGCACATTGCAATGGTCCTTGGACATCACTTTCTTTTTTTGGGGGCTCGTGTGGCGGCATGACAAAAAGAAAGTTGTAGTGGAGCATACGCACCAACGCGTATGCGCCTTCGGAAGACAATGAAAAGCCCGTGCTCTGATTGCGCGAGAACCTGTGCCGCCTTTGCCAGACTTGCTGTTCGCCCATTTTCCGTCGCGACCTCGTTGCGACTCCTCTGTTCGAATAAACATCATCGCATTTGGTGGAGGTGCTGGGTAACGAGCAGTCGATGGGTGGCGATCCGAGTCGGAGTGCCTCTGTTCATATGCAGACGTGGTGGTCTGCTGCGGTGCGTAGGTAGGAGCTCCGAAGTATGCGTGCGCAGGTGTGGGACGGCAGCGGCAGAAGCGTGCAATGTGGCCAGCGATGCCACACGCCAAGCAGATGGGACGATTGTCTCGGGTGCGTTACTCATTAGATGGACGGAAAAAGCGAGGTGGGGGCCTGTAAACTGGAGGCGAGGCCAGAGGAGGTGGAGCCGATAAGGTGGCTGGATGCGGTGGGGGCTGCGCGACCACAGCTGCGTAGCTGAGAGGTGAAGGTGTCATCACAAGAGACGGTGTTCTTCCGGATCCCGATAAGCTTCGAGCTGTCGCTGACTTTCCTTTGCCCACACCATTGAAAGCCCTAAGAAGTTTCATCGGTCTCTGCTCCTACTTTCGTCGCTTCGTGCGCAACTTCGCATCCATCATCGCACCTCTCACGAGTCTGCTTTCCAACAGCAAAGGCATATCTGCATGGTCACCTGCATGTGACGACGCATTTCGCCAGCTGCGCCGCCTGCTGACCTCACCACCTATTCTTCGTCACTTCGACCCTGCTGCGGCCACAGAAATTCACACCGATGCAAGTGGCATCGGTCTTGGTGCAGTTTTGGCACAATGGAGGTCATCCAAGCTATCCTCGCTGAATGCAACATTATCCACCGGAAATCTACCGCATACCATCCACAGACAAATGGTCTTACTGAGCGGTTCAACCGCACACTTGGCGACATGCTGAGGATGTACACCTCCTCCGACCACACTAACTGGGACGCTGTATTGCCCTTTGTTACCTTCGCGTATAACACCACGACGCAAGCGACTACCGGTTTTTCCCCGTTCTTTCTATTGTACGGCCGCGAACCTTCCCACCCACTCGACACTATACTACCGTATCGCCCTGATGCATCTGAGTGCTCCCCGCTTTCGGAAGTTGCCAGATACGCTGAAGACTGCCGTCAGTTGGCTCGGTCTCTGACAAATGAGGCCCAAGGTCTACAAAAGACTCGACACGACGACGCTCACCGCATAGCTCCTACATTTTGTGCTGGCTCCCTTGTGTGGCTTTGGGTGTCCCCGCACGTTCCTGGCCTGTCTTCTAAACTTCTGGCCCGGTACCATGGTCCCTACCGTGTCATTGACGCGACTTCCCCGGTGAATTACGTCATAGAGCCATTAACACAATCACCAGATTTGCGCCGTCGAAGACGCGAGACCGTACACGTCGACCGTCTCAAGCCCTACTACGACCCACTCATTGTGCCTACTCCCTGAGTCGCCAGGATGGCTACCCTTCACCCCGGGGGGGTATTGTAGTGGAGCATACGCACCAACACGTATGCGCCTTCGGAAGACAACGAAAAGCCCGTGCTCTGATTGCGCGAGAACCTGTGCCGCCTTTGCCATACTTGCTGTTCGCCCATTTTCCATCGCGACCTCGTTGCGACTCCTCTGTTCGAATAAACATCATCGCAAAGTAATTATGCGGCCGCTTCTCAGCGCACGCAACATGGCAACGTATCTCCTTTCGAAGTTGAACCCGTTAGCGCCGCTTCCATGCGCAGCCTCTAGGTGGCGAGCGCTAAGTTGGAGTCGCAAATGGGAACTCCAACGCACGGCGCTTCAGCGATCATGTGAATGATGGGTAGTGCATAGATTTGTGTAATCTTCGTACTTTCGGCTCTATTCGGCTTCACGTGGCTTGGAGCTGCTTTGTCCCGAAACAACAATCGGCATATGTTCAGCAGTTGCACTTCTATTTAGGCTCACTGATTGAAATTGGGTCACGAAGTTCACTAACAGTCCGATCTTTTATTTGTAACCAAACCAAAACACAACAATAAACAAAGCCACAAGTGCGTTTGAAGCCCGCAAGCATGAAGACTAGGCAAATTTGTGTACCACCCATTATTCCTTGATGCCCATGCATTCGTAGTGTGCATGCATATATCTGTTTTTAATATCAACTACTGCCAACACGATCAAGCGAGTGTTCGGAAATTAACCAGAGTCCCCTCTGGTTAATTTTAGAAAACTGTATGAGTGAAAAGACTTGGGGAACAGGGGAAAGGGAAGAAGGCATAGAGATTTACCTCAAAGAGGAAGTGTGGATGAAGGGGTACGAGAGTCGTGGCAGCAGCTGAACACTGCAAGCGTGTCCATTCATGTCAACCACAGCGGCAGTGCTTGTAACACTGCTTGCATTCCAATGCAAACATGATGGCAAGACGCGTATTGGCGACTGGGTTGATTGAATAGGCCACAGTCACACTGGAATGTTGCACAGGGTCTACATGGCTAAACCTGAGGATAAATCCTCAGAGAAAGCTACTTCAAAACTTCGAAGTAAAATTTAATGCCCAATGAAAGAGGTGGCAGAATCGCTGACCGATGGTTTTCACGGTCTGGAACTGGCTATATTTTTTTATTAGTTAATAAATGATATGCGATATTACAGCTTCACTGACGGAGCCACACATATTGTGTGCTGTCCAGATGACAGCCTACAATAGAAGAGAACCATCGATGATTGTTCTGAAAGCAATATCTAAAGAACCGAGTGAAACCTTGATCAAAGCAGCACCTTTTTTGCCGATTTTGGTGTATTGTTCAGCAACTTTTTTCCTCGACGGTTCTTCATATAAATGCAAGAATCACAGGGCCCCTTATGCATTCACCTTAGATGACTCAAAGGCAAAAGCCATATTCTTTTTCTTATCCATCTACGTATTGATGCTGCCCTGCCACCAACCAAAGGCCTTCTGCACTTAACGGAGTTTAGCAGTGCCTTTAGGATGGGGAGCATCTTACCTTGTTTTTTTTTTTGCATAGCCTCCGTGATCAGCCCACTTTTGACCAAGCACTGATGTGATGACATCACCATGTGTTATGAAGTCGGGTTCGATGGCATCCCACCGCTGCGAGCACTGTTAGGTTTTCCTGTTTGTTGCAATGGTAGCGGTAGCCAAAAGCGGTGAGCAGTCGAACGGACTTCGCTGAAGCCTTCGCCCAGAGGCGGAATAGGAAGGCAATAATAGTGGAAACAGCAACAGGTAGCAATGTTTACTGTAGCAGGTTATCATTTGTACAAAGCCGGCCAGCACGACGAAGTCGGCTGGAGCAAAATCCCTCAAACATGGGGCCGGCATGGCCTTAAATAACGTTTTTGGTCTTTTCTGCGAGACCAGTTCCACGGTGTCTGGAGGAGAAGGTGAAGCATTCCACGGAACGGCTCGGTGGCTCGGCGAAGGAGACGACACTTTGCCTGGAACTGCGCGGTGCCGCCTTCCGAGTGGAAGGTGGCGCTGGGAGGGGGGGATAGTTCGCCTGAACTGCACTCGTATTCGTAAAAAGCGCTCTCGAACGAGGATCATGCCTGTGGAAGTGATGTCATGATAACGTCACAGATTTTGGCCAACCCGCCATGGTGGTCTAGGGGCTAAGGCAGTCGGCTGCTGACCCAGCATATCGCCGCATCGAATCCCAGCCACGGTGGCCGCATTTTCAATGGAGGCGAAAATGCTTGAGGCCCATTGTGCTAGATTTAGGTGCACATTAAAGAGCCCCAGGCAGTCGAAATTTCCGGAGCCCTCCACTGCGGCGTCTCTCATAATGATATGGTGGTTTGGGGACGCTAAATCCGAACAATTAATATTATTACAAATTTTCGCCATCTGTGACATTATGATGACATCATATGGTGACGTTACCATGTGATGATGATTTTTAGAATCACTCATGTTGGCGCCAACACTGCTGATATGAGACACTTCAATTCTCACGATTGATGAAGCAGCTAAGGCTTTTTTTTTTTGCCTTGCTAACAAAAGACTCAGTCATACGATACAAGCGGTAAAGCACCTTTTATTGCTTGCCACAACGTACAAAAATAGCGTCTGCATTGCATGCTGGGACGGGATGGGCGTCTACGCTATAAACACATGCTGCAAATGGCTGTCAAGCCAACTATTACAGTGATAGCTGCCTGAGAGGTGCCCGAAAAATAATTTCTCGATTCAGACGCGGAGAAAACCCTGCTCGTACAATGAAGGCTCGACATCTTTTAGAGCTAAGCTAAGCCGACTTAAAGCGAAGCAGAGTGCGCTCCACTAAACGAAGGTGCGACAGTTCGAAAAAGCCAAAAGCCGTATTTGTATGGTACAGCCTAACAGCACACGCGGACAGTAAGGTTGTAAGTGCTGAAAGCTGAGACTTGCTTTTTTTTTTTTTCACAACACCGAAATGCAAGTCGTGCAGGAAAGTTAGTGCATGAAATATGGAGTACAGTACAGTCAAGAGTGGCAGGACATAATAGTTACAGCACAGCTCCTACCTTCTGTGACACAATTGTTAAAAGGAAACCACGCTTTTGTCGTTTGAGATGAATGCACAAGCTAGATTCCATCTGGCAACCTTATCCGCATTTTGGCTGAACATATTTCAACAAACTGTTAAGTGTAATACCTCATAGTGCATGTCAATTAAATTGCCAAACTGTAAATATTATGCCCATCTGAACACACATACACACACATTGGTTGGGCTCTTATCATATAATGCAGACACCGGGACGTTGAACAAGATTCCATTAGATGTAAAAAAAAAAGCGATTGTATAAATCTTGTAGATACAGCATGAAGATTCTGAACGATCATATTTTATCACAGCCTAAGCAGTAAGAATAAAAGTGTAAAAGAAAAACAACATATAAGTAAACTCGCAGCTGCATAGAAGCTTGCGAAAATGACCATGTTCCCTCCTGGTTACGCGCTGGGCTCTTTGCGTGCTCCTAGTAATTAAAACTATTACTAAGCTGAATTGTGAATTAGTTGGCCTTGCCTACAACCTGCATCGACAGTTAATACGTCTGTGTGATCTAAAAATGCTAAATTGTGCTCTTTCGTCGTGCAAACTTGCACATACAACAAAAATGCGTCCTCCGTAAAGAAATTTATGTTCCTTAAAAGGGCCATGACGCTATTGCTGATCATCGTAATCGAGAGCTGAGGAACCATTGTTCTTACACCAGTACCCAGCCATGTAGTACGCATTCTACACTTGAAATCCCTAAAAATTTATATGGCGCACTCGAGCCCTTAATGGCTTGTGCAGTTTTGATAAATGCAAAGCTGGGTGGCTTGCTTTGAAACGTTCAGAATTTGTACGAACGCCAGGTGTTAAAGTGTTTTTGTTGCGCACCTCTTTTGCATCCAGCGGTGCGATTACGTTGGGGCTACAGACATTTCTGTAGCACAAAATACAGCACCGACCAGCAAATGCCTACGGAAAGCAATCTCGGAGTGACTACCAAGAGATGTGTATGGAAGCGCGAATATGCGCGGACATTGGGAACGCAAAGAGTGCCACATTTTCTGACGCGTCAGCGTTGCTGGAAAGCTGAGCGGTGCAAATGCGATATAAAAATTTGCACGTGCAATATTTTGCTTATTTCAGCAGTTTCTGTGTCATAGCCCCTTTAAGACTAATTAGGTCAAAGTCTTGATATGTTTCTTCTACACCTTGTATTACTTTTTACAATCAGTAACTCTTAATTAAGGAACAAGATTTTTGTGAGAAGTAGGAAAAAAGCGAAAAAAAAAGTGACAAAGAGCTCTAGATGCATGACACCAACGAATTGCACCGATTGAGCTGTCTAATGGGGGTAGTGCATATGCTTGCGTAAAGTAGTAGCACCTCTGCTTCAAGGTACTCATTTACAGAGATGTGCATGTATATATTAAAGATCTCTATTTTACAAAAGCCAAGCAATTGCACTGCCGGGCGGCCAAGAATCTTCAGGACGTAGCAAAGACGACTTGCTTCACTGCAAGACGCATCCGCTTTCCGTCTTCGGGTCGGACAGTGGAATGGGAAGAGGTCTTCTCCTGCACTGCCGGGAGATCACCTTCGGCCTTGACGGCTGCCTTCTGTTGTTACCGTACGTGGAAAAGAAAAAGGGGTGGTTTTTCAGTGACTTGCATGCATTTGTGTTAGGCACAATATTAAAAGAGCACCGACACGAAATTTCGAAGGCAAGATAACAAGCGAGACATAGTTTATGTGAACATGTTAGTAAATACCAAGGGCAGATATAGGCTAGAACATATCTGAAATCAATTTTAAGGTGCACGTCGCGCGACTAAGTTGATGCAAGAGCTCCTCGCGACACCAAAATCAACGCAGGGGCAATGTAAATAAACCTATGTCACGAGTTTGTGTTGGCTGGTTGTTCGCACACGCCTTGGGCTTGCACTACATTTTATTTTCTCCTCCGTGCCTGCGGCTTCGCATGTGCTGGCTGTCAGTGCGGCGCCTACTTGCACGCGACGCCCATTTCACAGTTTTGCATGGTCACATGGCCAGCTGTGTTTACCCTGCTACCCGGAACTGCTCTTTCCTAGCTCGGTGCTCTCCGAAGCTGAAACTGAGCGCTCTGAAAACATCTCTAAATAAATGAATGTGGCACACTAGTGCAAACGAGGTTTCCAGCCGTGATAAGCGGGTCATAAGCTACCTATTGCAAGCAAAGAAAAATAACATGCAACTTCTTTGTGTCAGTGCTCCTTTGAGAGAAATGTGAAGGTGTGATGTGATGAAAAGGCACTGAAAAAGGAATGTCGCTGGAGCCAATGTTCTGACTGGAGGACTTTGTGGAGAAGTCCCCTTGTTAAAATGTTGGCTCTAAAAAATTTTTTCGAGAATCGCAATGCATATAAATATACGGGCTTTCTCGTCTGCATTCTGTGCATTGATTGTGTAATGAAGAACCGTAAGCATTAAAGATGCAGCAGACTATCGCTGATACGATTTTCAAGACGGAGTGAAAATATTCAGCATCAGAAGTTTCATACAATCAAAGGAGTAGCAAAGTCGATTTTCAGACCGCAATATATGCACACCACATTTATTTCCCACGAAGGAACTCTCGCAAGTCTTTCTGGCAGTCACGTGAAGGGAGCAATAGGAAACAGTGCAGCTCGTGTCACCCGCTCAACGTGGACAGGTCTTCTGAGCATCTGAATTTTGGTCAATTGGGACGCGATAAAATTCAGCCGGGTAATTTCGTGAATTCTTATCAGCTGTGTTAGCATCGACGGGATTCTACGGTACCGTACCTAACTTAAAACTCATTGCACACACCTCAGAGAGGAAAGCGAAAGTAAAGTACCAGATCATTTCAGCATTCAAAATTCTCTTGAAAAGCCTAGTGTCACTTACTTCACGATACTAGGTTCATTATAAGAAGAGGAAAATGGATGGCAGAGATCATCTTGAATTTCACGTCGAAAACTTAAGGGTGGTACGTCAGCATGCAGACACACATTTTCGAGTATTCTCTTGCATTTTGGCAACATCGCTAGACAAAAGTTCTGGAAAATTGCCATGGCAGGCGTCCTCTTTCTTATCGATAGAAAATTAGGCACGGCCTAGCAGACATACAATCAAAATCTATGACATTGAAGTGAGCAGGCGCCGGAATGTCAAGACAATGTCAGCACCACGAATACGAGAGAGGCTTGCCGGTGATCTGCTTAGCATGTTAACCCAGACGAACACAATGAAAACACGAACAAAGGGTGTGACAGATACAGAAGATACAGGGCACTGAGCAAATGAAAGCAGGTTTACAGAATCTGCCTTGATAGCCAAACAGAGCAGCTACAACAGCTGCATTCGTTGCACTGAGTGTTTATCAGATGGCTAGGTTCCAAACAGTATACAGTGATAGGTGACTGAAATCTGATAAAGTGTGTGGCTGCTGGCATCGAGCGTGACGATCGGACAGAAGCATTTATGACGCATAGTGACCGTGTTCTGGTAGAGTCCTTCCAGTCTGCTGTTCTCAGTGGGTCCGGCAAAATGCTGCAAGCCTTCGCGACACACAGTCTGCCAGCTTCCAACCACATTGAGCGGGGCGAAACATCAGCACAGCGTTTTGAAGACATGGTAAGCAGCACTCTGCCAGCACTACAAAGAACCACAAACTGAAGAGCTGTCTGGCAGATGCAGTCTCCGTGCATCACAAATGCTTTTACCCTCGCGGGCAGCAGCACACGTGCTTCAAACATCACATTTCAGTCACCGAGTACTATACACCGTTGAGAAGGCTAGGAAGTAATATTTCTTTGCACGTGCGGAGTACCACAGAGTGAACATGAAACTTGCCGAGTTTGCAGGGTCGGGAGTGCCAGTGGTCTGTACGTAAAAAGCCGCGTAGACAATCGGCGTCCAGGCCTTGTCGTGAGCAGGCATCTGAAATTCCTCGGGACTCACCAGGCCATACGTAGCTCGCAGCTCCAGTTCAGGTGCGTCCTTGGGCACCTTTTGGTGGAATCTGCAAAGACATGGTGCCAGCAGCACAATTTATTAAGGCGGAAAGCCTTAGATGCCTTATCATGCGTGAAAATTCACTGCTGACGTCGACACAAGTGATGCAAAAAATGAAGATCATGAGACGAGTTTATCATGACATCACATATCACCGAAATATGTGACGTCGTCATGAAACATCCACGAGACATCACGTGATAACATGATAACCACGTGACGATCACATGACATTGTCATATGATCAACGGTGGGCTGATCACAGAGGCAGTGCAACACAAGGTGAAATGCAAAAAGCTTTCAATGCCTCTGATACTGTAATGCAAAGTTGAAATAAATGCAGAAAGACTGGAAAAAAAAAAAAGATGTCTTCGGCCATCATTTCAGGTGATTCAGACAGATCATGTTTGACAACGTTGGATGGTACAAACTTTCCTCATGGCATGTTTTCTTCCGACATTTCTGTGACACGTATAAACAAGTTTGTAATGTGTAATGGCTTTTTTTTTCTAAACTGCGCATGAACTGACAAAGTTGGAAGCTGTGTGCTGAAATCCTGTGAAAGTTCCACTGAATTCTCGGTGCAGGTCTGTCATTGCATGATTCAAGGATTTCCATAGCACAGCAACAAGACTTGGGGTTAATTTAAGAGACTCGAGGTAATTCAATCTGTACTTGAGTAACTAAGTACAGTTTCCGATAGCACTCCCAGTAAAGTGTAGTTTCTTAGGTTCGATGGCCAAGGGTTATAGCAGGTGCAACACTGCACTTACATTTACAAGATGTTTTTTGCATTTCATTAGGTGAAGTGATGCATTTTATAGTGTTTCAATATATGTGCAAAGCGCAGTGCAGTTCTATACAGAAATTATGTTTTGCAATGACATCAAATTTCCACAGTCGGGCAACAATTACAAGTGGTTGTTGTGCCAAACAAGCCGTTATTAATCGTATATGGATTGAGTGAGTTGAATGAATATGTTAGCAAGTACAAGCACTTATTGTACCAAACAAGCTGTTATTATTATATGAATTGAATGTGATGGAATGAATGTGTTTGTAAATTGTGCTGGTGTAATTTCAATATTACTGCTATTATAATACTTATACTAATGGCTTAAATCTGCGTTATGCAAATCAAGGAAGCTGCGCAACGGTGTGAATGTCACATTAAACAGCTCGGCTGTTTGCTCTAGAATAAACTTGTGCTAAAATAAGTCTTGCTGCTCTGTCACTGAAATGAACAATTTTTTTTTAAAGAAGTTTATCATACTCAAGGAAAAACATTATAATATGGGTTGAAAAGGAGTATGGGCCAGCTACTCATTTTTTTATTATTCAACATAATTTTTTAACCATGATTCACTTTCAGCTATTCCAGCAACTCGAAAATTTTTTTTTCTCTGAAATTTCAATGCACATGACAAGAAGAGTATACAAAACAGCTTAGGCATAAGTTCTCACTTTTGAAGGCAGCATTGTGTCAATACACAGGTGCATTGAATAAAGCATTGGAGACAACACAAAACTCAATTTTCTAAAGATTACATGTCTTGTATTAGTACTTCACGTCTAACATAATGCACAGACATTTCTTTCTGCATGCACATAGCACGGCTTGAATCGCACTTGTCTGGAGTGGCCTGGCAGCCAGTTCAGCTGCTGTGTTTTGCAAACATCTGCAAAGATGCGTGCGGAAAGGATACCAAACATAGTCTTACCGCGTGCTACATTCTTGTCCTATGATTCAAGCACAAATGGGGGCTTGTAACTAACGCTTGGAGACAGCCGTGGAGAGCGTCAACGTCCACGGCCGCACACTAGACCACTCTAGACAAGTGTGATTCGGACTGCGCATGTGAAAAGAAATGTTTTGGGCTCTCTGGCCACAATGCTATGACAGTTTCGAGAAGGCCTCGTTCGCTTACATGAAACCGTTCTCCCGCTCGCACTTGTCGAGGGTCCGCTTGACCAGAGGCGCAAGCTTGCGGAAGAAGAGGTGCTGGTCGATCTTAGCTGCAGAGCCGGGCCCCTTCATGGTGCTGTACTGCCTGCAGATCTGCACGGCGTCTTGGTAGCCTGCAATGGCATTGAGATTAGCATGTCGGCTGCCTCTATGCACTGTGTTTATCAGAAGAAGCGACAGAGTTGGCACACAATCAACTTCATTCTCTTACACTTGTGGCTTTCCTGCAGGGCTCTGATCGCATCTCCACACTTCTCCTGCGCCAACAGGTTTTCTCCCGCGTAGCAGTAGGCCTGTGAGACAAGAGCGTTCAAAGCAAGCACTTAGCACTCATCTGTAACAAGAAAAACACGGGCAAACTCTCAGCACGTCAACTCTTGCAGGCTTAAAAAGCAATCTTAAAGCAAAACGTTAAGCGCAGATTCGGGAAGCGGATGCCTTCACACAAAGTGTTTCATTTAAAATACAACTGAGTGCGTCATGGAAAATCCGTGAAAAATTGCTGCTTTTGATACCAAACTGAGGGGAGAATACAGAAAGAAAGTGTCGCAGTGCACGCTTGCTGATTCGTGCATGGCAAGGGCATGACCTAGAATGCATTGCACCCGATTTGAACTCTCAATATAAGGGAGCGCTCAAACACCCCAGATGTGGCGTGCTTAGACGTACGTTGCCATGACAATCATTAGGTGCGTGCTTTGCTTACCTGAATGTTACCCTAAGAACGCTAACAAGTTAATTATTCTATTTCCAATCATATGGCCTCACCAGGATAGTTTTGGTGATAGGTGATACTACTCATTTGAAGCAAAATTGAACCAACATGTACTTTTGGCGCAGCTTGTCTTTAACCGAAGGTTGCTTGGTATGCTTAACACAACTGAGATTTTGCACTGAGTAACATACAAACAGTCTAAATTTCACAGACGAAACAGAACAGCGAACTATTTGACAGGAAAAGAAGAACTGCACAAAACACCGGGCAAATCTCATGTTCTCTATCCTGAATTGGAGGGAGTTTTTTTTCCGTCTTCTATTGTCCTTGCCTACTCAGCTAATTTGAACCTGAAACACAAACATTGCACAAGGTTGCATTCGTTGAACTCACATAGGAGAGATAAAAAACAGCCTTGAGAATAAGAAACTTCCTCCAACGTCCAAACTTGGATGCTTCGAGGCTCGCGAGAGAGTCCGCTGTAAAAAAAGAAATATTGCCTCATCAAATAAGAAGACATGCTGACTCAGTCTTCCTACCAACTTCCAGCCCCCGAGAAACAAAAAATGCAGCATTAACGACACTGATAGCAATGTTCCTGACCTCGAGTACTCAACTAATGTATTAGTAAGAGACATATCAGTGGCAATCGTGCACAACCTTTTATAACTAGAAATATGGCAATGCCTCCTTGGGCGTCGCAGATTGTGAAGGCTTCCTCCCACTGCATTTATAAACCTTTCTTACAGAAATCGATCGTAATTGGGCTGAAAAGTAGTAAGAAACCAAGCATGGCATGTTTCAGAAACTTTCATTGAGCCAACCTTGCCATTTGCTCTGAAGTCCTTGTATCACATTTAAATATTTCAGCATCTCGGCTTATTTTCACTCTATATGAACCGAATGGTACTTTAGCCTTCATTTGATTTTCTCATGATCAATCTGTGATCATGACATTAGCAACATCAGGCTTCCTAGAGAATGACATTTAGTCTAACTTGATATAGTGTTCATCCCGAAAAACAGAACACTTGTAGGGGCTGTTCAAAGCAAATGGGATGACCAGCGTCACTTATGTTGTCAGTCTTACCCGCAGACGTGTACATCTTCGACGTCTCATGGGCCAGAGCAGAAATGAGGCCAGGGGCGTGCTTCATCTCAATGGCTCGGCCAATCGTCACTGCAAACAACACCATCAAAAAGGCGCCATATTTTAGCCTCAGCCAAATCTTAAAGGCCTAGCGCTGCTTGTGCCTTTGATGCAACAAAGTTATGTAGCCACCGCAGCAACAATGATGATCATTTTTGGGGTTTTATGTCCCGAAACCGCGATATGATCATGGGAGACATGATAGCAGAGGGCTTCGAAAGCTTCGACCACCAGGGTTTTGAACGTGTAATATAAATCTGAGCACATGGGCCTCAGGCATTTTATCAAAAAGCACATGCTGCAGCTGGGATTCAATCCCATGACCTCCGGGCCAGCAGTCAGGCACCAAAGCCACAGTAATAACACAGAATGAATTGGTGTACTTTTGGCAGCATGATGCATGGTGTTTTGAAACTGATACTCGCTTGTAGAATAAAAACTGGAGTTAATTATCTAGGGTAATGTAATTCTTAGCAGTATATTCTCCCGCCGAGATTTAGAGGGCTGTGCCGACACCTTTAGGTAAATTTTGGCACTGTCAACACTCCTTTATCAACACCTTGCATACTACGGTGCATCTGAAGACGAGTAACTGGCAAGCAATGAAAATTTCCATTGTGACCACAAGAAATTCACGAGCCATTATCTTATCAGCAAAATGAGGGCAAGTAGATCTTGGCATGTGCATGCCTGATGTGCTAATCTCCTTTTTGCTTCTGGCACATTGTGCAATGCTTCTTCCCTACTTTATCCTTCCTCCATTCCCGGCATTGGGCCATCATCCACCTGTTTAGTATCGCAACACCTCTGTTGATACAGGCAAAAAAAGATGCATGCATATTTAGGCAACAATGAAATTACAAGTCATATTAATAACCTCGATAAAAGGTTAGATCGCCATATAAGAAACAACTGATAGACGACATGTCCGTGATCGAGAGTATAAATAGTTGAAAAACAGCACACACGAATACCACATGTGACCAGCGCACCTTGGATGACCCTATTTCTTTGCACTCCCTGGTGCCTGGTTTTTCTGAGGTCATACCAACAACGCAGACTATACATGGTGGCAACAAAAGCTTCGCTTTGACGAATTCTAGTGAAATATGCGCGTAGCAGCACCTTCCTGTGCTTCTGCAGTGCACTGGTTGATGTAGGCGGATGCCACTCGCGAGTCCATGTCGGATCCCGGTACCGGTTGCTCCCTCAACTGTCCGACGTACTTGTTCTGTGAAAAAAAAAAAAAAAAAAAGAGAGAAAGAGAGAAAGGAAATGTACTCCAAACGACACTACTCTTCACAAGTACTCTGCAGAATAGTTTTGTTCTTCATATGCACAAGCTCGTCTTAGCATTTGTGATCACAAACACGTCAAGGTTCTTGTACAGGTTAGGAGCAAATGTTAGTCACCTTCATCGCGCAGAAGTAGCCAGCAGCTTTCCTGAGACACGTGTGGACGTCCTTTGCTTCATCCATGCTGATGCTGGAACGAGTGCATCTAATGTCTAAGCTTGTCAACACCAAAAAAAAACTCTTACATTTGAACGCTAAAGAGACACTAAAGAGACAAACTACTTCTGTTGTCTGTACAATACCCTTCTACAATGCCAAAAGCACCACCCTTGATATGAGAAGACATTTGGTAAGCAACAACAGAGACATCAAAAGACAGTACAGCCCGTGTCGCCACCTTGAGGCTGCCACACGAACTCATTGTGGCGTAGACTTCGAGGGCACCTGCCAGGGCTTACATAATTATGTATTGGTAAAAATGAATTAAGTTGGGTTCTAAGAGGGCCAGAGGTACAACACGGCAAGTTTTAAAAAATTTTATTGGGCCAGTGCGGCCAAACTACAAACAACAGACTGAAATCTGACGTCACAATGATGCTCAAGTGTTCACATTTCGGAGAGAAGTTAAAGAAGAAAACTTTGACGCTCATTTTTTTCTCCTCCAGTAAGGAACCTATGATGTTGACGTTAATGACTATTAATAGAGTCCTCAATGGACATTTATCAGTCTATACTGATTTATTCCTTAGATTTAGTGTCCGTTTAATGAATTCGAAGAAGCTCGGAAATCGGCACAAAAAGGGCAGGCTTACTCCTCCTTGGCGGCAATGGCCGACGCATGCTTCATGTGCCAGATCCCCACATTCTGGCAGATCGAGACCAGCTCAAAGACTGTGTCTGACTGCACACTGCAAGGAAAGAGACAACACAATCGTGCAACACACCAACATCTCATAAACATAAAAATTTTAAAAGCACTGGTGTAATGTCAACACAAGTATAATTTTCATACATGACACTTGCAAAAAGTGCGCATTTGATAACAGAGAGGTTTAGCATGTCCAGTATTGCAGTAAGCATCACAGCTTTTGCGTACTACAAAAGTACTACAAGTTACTGGACACTTGTTGTGACAGCTTGCCAGGCTTTGTTAACCACAATTATACTATTGGTTTTTTGTTAAGCAAGTGTCATTACAGAAATGTTTTCAAAGCAACATGTGTGCATACATGCTAAAGCTGATAATCCACACTTACAGCAAAGTTGGATGCACTATGCTGTCGCAATATTAGCAGTGTTCGTTTGGTTGGGTTCAATGCTGCTAGGTGGTGACACTGCCCCACCCACTCGCGTTCATGAGCCTAGTAACTTCGCAGTACGCATAAGTTTGTGAATAAATTGTAATGCAACATGTAGTTGAGCTAGAGTTATGTAAAAGCCACTGCTTTGCTTTGAACTACATTTGCACCCGCTATTTTATGATGTCCTAATTTTCCAAATGTTCACAAAATGAGCCCACTTTCTGATTCGCCTATGGCTCAACTTGAATACAACAAGCCTGGTCGTGTCAAATGCCAGGAAACACCGACCGATACTCATCTGACTGCATCATAACAAACTGCACACCAAAAATACCAAACCTGCAGTGTCAGCTGCTAGTGCTTCTTTATTATTCTTTTTTACTTGTAAGTTGCCAATACTGTAAAAAACAGATAAGCACACACCTACAAAACAATATCGCTTTTACATGGTGTTGAGCCACTAGTGAGGCTATATTATACAAGTGCCACTGAGACCTGTCTAATACAAGTTCTTGGAGCTTTTCTGGACATTGCCTAAGGTCTCGAGAATACAATCTAATCATCCTGTACACAGCTGGCCTTGTTTTTTCACTATCGCTAGTATCAGCTTCAGTGTTCATTAGAACACCATATAAGCCTGAGGCCCATGAACTTTACTAGATTTAGGTGCACATTGAAGAACACCTACATGGTCGAAATTTCCGGTGCCCTGCACTACAACGTCCCTCGTATTTATTTCATAGTTGTAGAATGTAAAATCTCAACAATTGTAAAAACTCACAGAGGTGTCTGTCCCAGCATGGTCTGAGTCCAGCGAAACCTTGTGGTGTATCTCAGCTTGCTCTCACCCCCCTTCTCATCAGGGGCCAAGATCATGCCAGCAAAGAGCGCCAGGTAAGTGTTCAGGGCCGTTTCGATTGTGCCGATGTCATTCAGAGGGTCTGTCAGCAAGTCGAGGAGGTGGTTCCTCGCCAAACGAAGGTCACTGCAGTCGTGATAGCATTGCATATTCACCAGTCCAAACGTTTAAATGGTAAGGAGGACTCGCATTAAAAAAAAAAGCTAGTTCAGCAGGCTAGCAATGCAAACTAGCTTTAACTTCTTAACTGCTTTGCTTATTGAGTTTTTTTTTTGCCTAAAAAGTTTTTTTTTTCCTTTTACTTCATATTAGATATTTCGCTTGTAAGAAGCATGCTTTGATGAAAGAAAAACTGAAGCGCATATTAAGTCAAGTTAGCATAATGAAGTTTATTGTCATCTAAGCCGAAGAAAACATTCAGAAGCGGTAATACTTTAACGTTTTTCACGATTCGCAAAATTATGTCCACGTCTTGAAACCGGTGAGCATAACACGTCAAGTAATCAACGTAAACTTCCGTATCTGAATAAAGAGTGCCTGAAGAGCTTAACGATGACAAAGGGCTTCTTTTCCACAACGATGCACAAGCAACACACGCATTGCCTACATAAACATTTTTTGAAACGTAAGTCACGAAAACAATGTAAAATAGTGGTTAAAATAAAAAGAATTGCCAAGCAAGTTCTGCGATCTGTGAAGCAACACACAAACTATAGCTTAGTGGTTACGGTGGCTCGGTGGTTATGGTAACAGACTTCTAGCCCAAAGGTTGCGGGATCAAATCCCGGCCGTGAAAACCCCAACTTGATGACGATTGAGGTCTATGTATTCAGATTCATGTGCACGTTAAAGAACACCAGATGACTGAAATTTTAGAACCACGGCGTCCCTCATAATCACATGATGGTTTTTGCGATGTAAAACCTCGAATATTATTACTATTCTCCACATCCCACGCTTTCAACCCCCACCCCCTCCTTTTATTTTTCACAATTTCATTCTTGTGAATGGACACTACATTGCGCGTGCAACTAGAAACAAAATTTGGATATTTCACACAAGCAGCCTGTAAGCTGGGATCACTTCCTTCAAACACCTTCACTCGATACCACTGCTGATACATTCAGTACTACCGCTTCTGAATGTTTTCTTCGGCGTAGATGACAATGCTATAGCAGAACTGCTTTTATTTAAGAATTTGTACGTTCATTTTCGAGCTCGTCTATCAGTGTAACCTGGGTGTAGGACAGGTGGTTATTCATGACTGGCAAAGGTAACCGCCGAGTTAGGAACACGAAGCGGTTCTCGTTCTCTGTCCCGTGTGGTTTTTCCGGTGACGTTTGTTGGTCACTGTACAGCCCGCAGTCTAGTTTCGGTCTCAAAACTAACTCAAAACTGCCTCGTCTGAGACTCGGTCGTTCCACCTAACATCGACGCCGAGCTGGTGATTACGTTCAAACCGCTCGCCGAGTTGCCAAACTAGCGACATAGTGTCGCAAAACGCACTGCCGATTGCACAGTGGTCAATCAACTGTTCAATCCATCGCGTGGGTTTCAAGGTCGATTAACGACGATCACAAGCTGAAATAAACCAGACTGGGGAGGAGGCGATGGCCGAACTAAACCTGGAATAGAGGCTAATTTCCAAGGCCGATAGCTCGACCAGGCCGTTGTCACAGCAAGTGAGCTCCCTAATCGCCAGTTTGCTATTACTTCGTTGCCGACAGCGGCTCTCAGTAGGCCGCAATACGAACAGCACCTATCGCCAATGATTGTTCACGCATAATGATAGTTCACGTAATGATAGTTCACGCAGTGTCGCGCCTGACGCGCTTGCGCCACTTGCTTATCGGAGCGTTCATTTGGTGCGGCCGGCATTGGAATCCGCGTCACCTCGCCTCGAAGACGACATCGTTTTCTAGAAATCGAGCACGTTCAGAGATATCGGAGGTTCGACCACGATCGAGCACAGATGATCTGAAGCACCGGATGCACAGCGACGAGAGCTAACCTGCAGAGCTTCAGAGCTTGGCTGTCCATGGCAAGCATCTTGAGATCGAAGTTGACGACGCCTGTGGCCTTTAGAGGGTTTCGATGAACCAGTACGCCATGGTGGCTCCGGAAAATGTCCGGGGTGCAAATTATAGCAGCGATTCAACACGAAGGATGTTTCACCCGCACAAACCAAAACAACTCTACACCCGACGTAGGCGTCATCACACGTCTATCGTAGATATGAAAAAAAAAAAAACTAAAGTTCTTCTTAAAACTCCAATCTTATCTTGCGTTAGTTGCGACGAACATTTATGCACATACGTAATTTTTTTCCTTTTTGTAAAAATGATTTTACAATGCTAATAAACTAAATTTATTAGTACACTGGCGCTTCCTAGTGGTGTTGCTTTAGTTACGGAATCTTTCCGTTCTTCCATTCAATGCTTTTTTTTTTACGGTCAGCTGTGGTGTTTGACGTAGTACCATGCCGCGGAATTTCACGCTCTCCTGCGGCACGCGACCGTTAAAGTGAGCTGAATGTAACATGGTCAATGATTACCGCACACTCATTTCTCTCCACTTTGTTGATGAGGTGCACAATCAATCGTGAAACCTGGTTTAAGCAGTTCGTCTCTCAAAAGCTCGCATCTTACCTGCGTAGTGCATTTACGCCTGACTTTCGCGTTTTCCGACACGCAATAGCTGCGTGAGACTTCTCGTGCCACTTGAAATCCCCGAATAAATTGATTTCCTTCCATTATTTGAACGCCCTGCATCACCTGGCTTCGCTGAATACGTGAATGCATCGGAGAACACCATTTTGCATCGCTCATTTTGTAGTTTTTTATAGGAAGCTTCTTCAAGGCGTTCCCGAAAGCCTCACAATCGAGCGTCTGTGCCTAGGGGTAGACTAAATTGTCCCCGCGTTCAGTTTCGAGGCACGGGCGACGCATGTAAACAACAAAACGTGCGTGCGAACCTCGAAAGAAATGAATCAGCTGTTGCAGCGCTTGCGTGACGTCAACGACTTCAAATTTCGCGCCAACCTTGGCTTCACGAGGAAAGCCCCCGTTGTGCTTTGGCAATTTTCAAAATGGCGTTGTATTCACCCAGTAGGTGAGGTGAGCGATTGGTAAGTTTTTTCCTCGTCATCGGACTCTGTGGACGCGTTCGTCGGCTATTGTTTGGCTTCGTGAACTTTTTCCGGATCGCGCACGCCGGCGCGTGCTTCGCAAAAGTGCTCGGCCGCACTGTGCAATATTTGGATGCATTTTTCGCCGTGGTTTTGTTACTCTTTCGAAGCCTAAATCCAGGCTAGCACAGTGGGCATCTTTCCGAGATACGTGCTAAGCCTAAAAAGCCTGTGCATACTTAACCCTAAAACAATTTAAATTTTTCGCCTGGCGGCCTGCATCGGCGGAGCGGCCGGACAGACCGGGCGAGCATCGTGTTTTCCGTGACGTTCCGTGTCAATGTGGTGAGACCCGGAGGCCAGGCTTTTGTGTTGAGCCGTGGTCGGTCCTGCAGGAGACCAGCGACCGGGATGTGATCGGCGGCGCGACAGTTCCAGCGACGAAGAGCGGAGAAGCGGCGCTCGACGTCGTGAGCAACGACGACCATGGCGGATACAAGAAGACGCGTCAAGTTGTATGCCTTGAACGCCGATCGTCAGTGGGATGACCGCGGCACCGGACATGTGTCGTCTTCGTACGTCGAGCGGCTCAAGGCTATGTCCCTTCTCGTGCGGGCCGAGTCTGACGGTGAGTGCAACCCCCCCTCCTCTTGACCTGTGATGCTCGCGGTCCAGACGTCACTCGCGCGTTTCGTCCTGCACGTTCTAAACAGCGTTGCTACGTCGCGCGCCTTTCACGGTCTCTTCAATACGTCAACAAGACGGCCTAAAAACGGGGCTTCCCTATTGTTTACATTCCTGGGGATCGTCTGCCGCCTTCCCCCCCCCCCCCCCCCTTCTCCGTCGTAGCACGAAGTTTTGCGTTCGCGAGGCGATCAAAATAACGTTGTTTGGGCTTCGCGAACGTATTTATTTGTGCGTGTGCACTCACTAGCCGTGTCGTGTTTGTTTCTACATCTGTTTCTTTCCTTACACTGATTTGTTCTGAACCAACGCTCGTTTGATATCTTTATGTTCAACCTCTCCCCCCCCCCCCCCCTATCTTTCCACCCGTTTTTACTTATTGATTCGTCCCGCCCGTGGAGCACGCCAAAATCGGCGCTGATGCGATGTTAAAACAGCTCGCTTCTTCATTGCGTCCCCACGGGTGCTGGAAGATTGTGACGTTTCGTGAAAAGACTGAACTTGATGGCGTCGCACGACAAAGATCGGTGTGATTACCTCGTATGACTGATTCGCCCTCCGCTCTCTTGCCTTAATTTTTTTTTTCTTTGCAGGCTCGTTACTCTTGGAATCAAAAATACAGCAGGACACCGCCTACCAGAAGCAACAGGTAAGCGAGATTCGTGCATGACGCAACTTGTTTAGCTGCGACCCCCTACACGAAAAGGTGCTCCAGATTTGGAGCAAATATAATATGCACACTCAACTGCGGGCTACGATTCAGTAGCCTGTTAATATATTGATTGATGATTTGATTGATGATTGATTTGTGGGGTTTAACATCCCAAAACCACTATATGACTATGAGAGACGCCGTAGTGGAGGACTCCGGAAATTTTCACCACCTGGGGTTCTTTAACGTGCACCCAAAATCTGAGCACACGGCCCTACGACATTTCCGCCTCCATCATGTTAGTATATTGTCTGTTATTCACTCATTGAAGTTACTCAGCAGATTGATCAATGTTACTGCAAACCCTCTTTTTTTTCCCCCATCAGAGCTGCCTTAAAAGTGTGTGTTCTAGTAGTTGGGGTGACACCTACATTAATTGAATGATCAGACGTGTCATCACAATCACATGGAAGTTCTTCATAAAGGTCAGATCTATTAGGCAACATTGATAGCCTTTCATAACGCTGAACTGATGCCATTGACTTCAGTAAGCATTAAGTGAGGCTGCGTAATATGCTTCGGTAATCCGCATCTTATGCGCTTTGTTTTCATGTTTAGCGCTTTGACTCATCATTCATTATCATTTAACTAGGGAACAGCATACCACTAGGCCTTGGGAATTTGTGCATATGTTAGCTCTGCTAGGCCCTGTTTTTTAAGATTAGGCTAAACTTGACTCTCTCTCGTTCACACATTCACTCTTGCAGGTACACGGTTTAATGTGTTAGTGGATCATCAGTGTGTCCAAAGGGAGGCAGCTTTTCGCGGCGTTTATTGAACTCTGGCACTAGGTGTCGATTAGTAGCTTGATCAACAGATCAAATAACATCTTCCGAGAGCGAGTGGCATCCACGAGCAATGCGTGGTAGACAGACCGACTAGAGAGGGTGGCCAGCTCACCGATTTGAGTGCTGGCAGCCTGTTTTACCTTTACCTTATTATGGTTGATGGCTTTCTGTAGTTCATGAGTATATTTAGCTTATTATTGTTCCTATTGATAGCCCTTGCACATGTGCGTCATCGTTTTTACCTAATGGGCTCTTTTACAAACAGTCATTATTAAGCACTCTTTGGGAGGTGTGGTCGGGAGTATGTGCTTGTGGGAATCGGGAAATCTCATTTTCGAAATGACCTGTGAACCACTAGGCACAGCCGCAAATTCTAGTAAGCTGTGCCTTGCTTATTTGAGCTGTTTTGTTGTTGCGTGCGTCACTGAAACGGCATTGCATCCCAAACTCCACTTTCATAACCACCGTGTCGTAACGCCGTGCAGTGCGGATAACTGCTTTCCTTTCACCTTTTGGCGTCAATGCCAGACTGCTTGACGCCGTCGCCTTGGTTTGCACATATGAAGGCGTTTCGCCATGTCTGCCCCTCTCGCTGATAAGACTACCTTGGTCTATGGTTGTGGCTGCCAGTGTTTGCCAGGTTGTCAGGGTGTTTTTCTAGATAATGGGGGTGGGGCTTTCCTCTAGCCTGCACTGCTGTCCGTTCTGTACCTCTGTACAGGTCTGTTATCTCGCATTGACAACTCCTCTTTTTCACTACCTGTTCCTCCGTTTTCCTTGCCTTTCTTGTCTGGGAATGATTACAACCTGCCTTCCTTACAATAGCTGCAAGCACTGAAAGAGGAGGGGGGAGGGGGGTGTCTCAACCACAAACATTTGAATAGACCATGGCCTGTGGTGTGTTTGTAGTTTCCCTACAAACAAATGCTTACTTCCACCTGCTGCAGTTGCACACTTCGCCTGCATGCTATGCCATTTATGACGGAGCACGTCGTGCTATTCACTCGCTCCACTCAATTCATGTTTCGGTTAACAGTTGTGATCCGTCGACTCGCAACTTGTCTGGCTGTGTGAAGTGATAATGCACTGCCTTTTGAGACACATTTTCATAGGAGTAGTGTGGCTTTAAAGATGTGTATCGGTTTTTGTTTATTTCTTCCTTTTTTCTTTCTTCTAATGATACTTCATACCATAGTGGTGTGGCAGCATGGTTATCGCAAAAACTTGAACAGTGTGCTTAAATTGCAAGAGTGCAAAACTGAGTGCTTTAAGCCTCCGCGTGAAACCTCAAGTTCTGGCGTCGTTTATGTTTCTCTTGCTTCGTGTTTTGCCAATGTGGCAGCATGCACGGTGCAGGAAGTGACAATTTTCCGCATGTAAAGCCCTAAAATAAAAATTTTCGAAGCTTTGGAAGCTTGATAGCAGCTTAATTCTTTGAGCTGCACACGGCAAGTAGTTAGACATGGTGGCGAGTTCAACAACTTCACAGGCATATAATAGAATCGCTCTCCACGAGATAGCATCAAGCTGTTGATTGTTACGAGAAGCCTCTGTTCTGCAGTGGACATACAGTAAACTGATTATGATGATGCAGATTAATGACTCATAAGATAAGCATCAGAGGATGCCTTTATTTTTTAATTTTCTAATTTGCATCCAGTGACAGTTTCGAGGAAAACCAAAGGACATGCTTTCACTTTACGTGCCGTTATGAAAGGGCTTCTGTGCTGCTGGCAACCAATGAAAAAGATTGTGGAGTCCTGGAAACTCTTCAAATAACTATGCACAAGCTTTTTGTACCCTTCTTTATGCACTTGAGCAACCTAAATGCCTAGATAAACTTTTTCCCTTTGCCATACAGCATGCTCATTTGGAGATGCAATATAAACTCTCACGGGCAGCGCTCGTGAATTTGGTTGCAGTCTTTCTTGCGGTATTGTGATGATTACGCCTTCAATTAACTGTGTGCGGGATTTTTTTTTCTTTTTTTTTTTACAGGAGACGTTGATCGTGTGGTCGGAAGGCGACAATTACGACCTAGCACTGAGCTTTCAGGAGAAGGCAGGCTGCGACGAAATATGGGAAAAGATCTGCCAGGTATGCTTTCAAGCTCTCTTTGCAAAACTCTAGCTTCTGTTATCGCTAACAAATCTTTTATGGAAGCACTCAGGTGGCATGTCCCTCACAGTCTAAGTGCATGGTTGAAATTACAGAAAGTGAATATATTTCATAAGAATTTATTGTATGAGAAAGTAAGGCACACAAGCATAGCATCATTTCTTTTCTTGTGCATTTGTATTTACATTGCTTACTATGAAAACGTGCTTTTATTATACTTTTATTTCGGGATGCACTGAACAAACTACAACAAGTGTGTATGCACAAGGGTAATGAGAACCAACAGGCAACAATGCAAAAGAAAGTATAAAGGGTGTTATTCGAAGCAACCACTAAGACAAATGTGTGGAAAGAAAAGTGGACGGAAAGGACTACGGCAGGTATCTTAGAACAATATTCGTTCAGCGAACAGGGAGTAGCAGAGAAACGCAGAAGACAGAGGTTGAACCACACAGTACGAGCGCTAACAACTGGTTTATTTTCACATTCGAAAGACCCATTTATGCATTTAAGGTGCACATGTCAACGAGATTATCGCTACAGTACAAGTAGCCCGCGATTCATTTATAATCAAGGCACTTCTGTAGGGACTGATCAGTGGCTGATACACTGATCTGCATTCCTCGCTTCAGAAATTTTACACATAGTGGATGCTGGGAAACAACGCTTACTTTATCGAACAATGGTTGGCATTTGCACGAATCACAATGTGATGCTAAATGGGGCTTTTTCAAGGAACTTCTATGTTCTCTGAGGCATACATTCACGCATCAGCCAGTTTTGGCCAATGTACGTGCGACAATATGGGAGGGGGGTATGTTATATACCACTCCTGTTGAGCACATGCTGCTCGTACTGTCGTTATACTATTGTTGATATGTGCACTTTTATGTAATGTGTCCTTCGAAACTTGAAAATAAACCAGTTGTTAGTGAGCACTCGTGCTGTGTGGTTCCTCCTCAGTCTTTTGCGTGCTCCCGCACTCCAAATTCAATGAACGAGTATGAACTTCACACATGCTGGTTGATAACAATAATTTTCTGTTCGCTGTTCACGGGCAAGCGATCGACCCACAACAACTTCGTTGTTAAAAATATCGCCTGTTCAATGCTGCTCTTTTCCTCCTTCTTTGCTCAGGTGCAGGGCAAGGACCCTTCAGTGGACATCACCCAGGACGTGGTCGAGTCCGAGGACGAGCACCTCGAGGAAGTGGGGGACGGCATGCCCCCTGTGGAGCTTCCCCCGTGCGAGACCCAGCGGCTGGGCGAGTTGGCCAGCCTGGTGCAGAGCTGCCTGCCCTCGCCCGTGCGACGGGACAAGCTGGCCACCGCCCTGGAGGAGCAGGACTACATACGGCGCCTGCTGCCCGTCTTCCACACCTGCGAGGACCTCGACTACCGGGAGGTACTGTCGTCTGTCGCAGCCCGTTGCGACTAATTGAGTCAATGGCCTCATGAGACACGAACGCGGCTGTCATTGTCAATGCGAGCGACGCAAGAAAAGAACGTAATCTTTGGTAGCGTCAGCTTATGATGTCCCAGATCATCAAAAATAATGATGTCTTCATCACATGACATCGCCGCTTGGTAATAGGTAACGTATGTTTGCTTTTTCCGTTTACAGGGTTTGTACCAACTTTACGACATCTTCAAGGGCATCTTCTTATTGAACAAGAATGCACTGTTCGACGCTATGTTTGCCGAGGACGCCATCCTAGACGTCGTCGGCATTCTAGAGTATGAACCAGGGTGTCCTGCAGGCCAGAGGCGGCGGCATAGAGACTACCTTCGGCAGGTTGGTCTACCTAGACCCTCTTGGCAGGATTGCTTCTCAGCCTTGCCCTCCTTTTTTCGTTGCCCAATTTTTTTAAAGGAATCACTGTTTTTTAAATTAACTCACACTACAATTTCTACGAGGAAATTTATCTTTCTGATCAAAGCATTTCACTTTTGTCTTTGTTGATGCAATCAACAGAACTTTGGCCTACAGTGTACCTGGGAAAGCAGTCTTAGAAGTTTTTGTAGTTCTGTCGTCGGTAAAGGTCAGCGTAGGCATTCGATAGTCTTAAACTGCTGGTGATTTTATAGTGAAGCTGGTTTAGACTACCCTGTTTATTAATATACCACATTTACTCGAATGTAACACGATCACGATTGTAACACGAGGGGTGACTTCCATTGTGTCCTGGAAGTAAAAATTGATATTTCGGTACTTGATCTTAGCTTGAGAGTCAACTTTAGATATAAGAATTGAGAAATGGCTCGCATCAGTTCGAGTAAATGTAGTAGTAGTAGTCACACTGGTCATGTGACCAGATGAGTAAATAAAAATAAAGAATTAAGGAAACGAAATGATCATAATACAGGGCTGCTAAATGATGGTGATGGCCTATGAAATGGTGATGTTCAAGAATATGATGGTGGTGCTTGAGCTCAGAATAATTTGATAGCATTTGTCACGATGGTGCTCAAGAATATGATGGGGGTCTAGAGACGATGGGAACGACGGTGATCGAGCTCAGATTGTGAGCACACATTCCAAGCGTAGCGGCGAATGATGATACTCGAAATGATGACGATGATGCTCGAAATTATGGTGATGGTATGGTGATCATGACTACAATGCCTAAAATGTGTAGACATGCATATTCTAAATCTAGTGACGAATTTTTGACACTACGAGGTCTCGCTAGCTGACCACGTTCACAAGCGTGCTTAGAGCGCGACTGTCCGACCGTTTTCGCGGCGCGGAACTAGCTACAAATGTTTTCTTTGTTCCAGTCGTCTTTCTTTACTGACCTTTTGACGCTCGCATTGGGGCCTGCATGTGGTGCAGGTGTCACGATTTCGGGAGGTGATCCCTCTGGGGAACCCCGAGCTGCTGGCCAAGATCCACCAGACGTACCGGGTGCAGTACATCCAGGATGTGGTGCTGCCCACACCATCAGTCTTTGAGGAAAACATGCTCTCCACACTCTCATCATTCATCTTCTTCAACAAGGCCGACATTGTCTCTATGCTTCAGGCGAGTGGTGCTTGGTGATGCACGTGTGACAATCAGTCTAGTCTGGGTGGCTTTGTAGGGCTTCTGCCTAGTTTTCCGTTGAATAGAGAGAGCAAAAGGGGGGGGGGGGGATGCATTTAAACTTTGCTACTGTAATGAAATGAAATGGGTTGCGACAGGGTAAATATGCTATTTAGGAGGCCTCCATAGTGATGTATTATTTGAGGCCTCCACGCTTATGTATTATTGCATTGCTATATGCCTCAAATGGACACAAAAGAAAAACAATGGCTTGGTTTAGATTGAAGGATGGAAGTTTCATTTTTAAATTTTGTGCCGGAATCTCTGCGCAGGAAGTCCAAATTCCAAAATGTATTCTTCGTATTTTTACGACATTGGCTTTATGAAGTTTGTATACTAGGTGTATAGCATCTTTAGATGACAGTGTATTGATTTTTATCGCTTGAAAGCTACGTAGGACCTGGTGAATGCCTTCAGGATCTGATATCACAGTGTTTGCTGTGGGAATCTCAAGATGGCGTCCCCACCTGTATTTTCTTTGCACCCATTTTCTCGCTCACCACGCGTCGTGCCGTGGTAAGAGTGGTGTTTTTAGGATTGTGAAGTTGCACTTTCGCACTGATATGCGAAAAATCGTTTTGCTTTTTAATGTCCCTTCAAAAAAGTAAATTGCCTCATACTTTCTATTTTTTTAGTTTGTATATAATAGTGCTCTTATGAAATGGCACACCTGTTGTTGAGGGGACATGCTATTCGAAAAACGATTTCCTTTAAGGGGGGAGGTGGCATTGAAAACAAACTTTATTTGCTGACCTACAGCAATGAAATTTGGCATGCATACTCATAAGTGTCTCGAATGGGGAAATATGCAGTTTCATCATGATAGCTTCAGTTGTTCTCAAGTTACATAATGCTACACGATCCAATTACATGGTCTGCTCGTGGAAAGCCTAGCGCTGCAACAAAACATGCCAGGAAGCTGCGAATGGTGTTGATCTCTACTCAAAAGAAAGCTACAGGGTATGGCATTCTCAGAAATTTTTCATAAGTTCTTTTTTTTTTTAGAGATCATCATGGCTGCCGACACACATTGTCAGAAACAGTGGCACGGACAAATCATCGTCTAGAAAAATAACAGGGCCTTAAAAATAAATTGAAGATTGTATACCCACAAGCAGTGTTCAGGGATTCAGGGAAAAAAAAAAAAACAGAATCAAAATCTGTTCAGTCATTCCCGTGCTACTCTTTCCACGAGCAATGCACAATGTCCAAAACACACTTGTGAGAAAAAGCCTGTCGAAGTTTTCGACAGGCTTTTTTCAATGAACTTTTTTGTTTCTCGTTGGATATTGATGAAAATTGGCAGACACTTAAAATGACCTCGCAGTGCTTCCACAAAAATTTTGAAGCGATACCACAAATACTTTACGAGAAACAAATTATTTCTTCATTGATCCATGTGGAGCGGCTGAGCATAATGTCAAAAAAAAAAAAAAAACAGTGCTGAGAAAGCTGCGTTTAAAGTTTCAACTTTTCTTCACGTCTCTAAAAATTGTGATCTCAGGTTTGTCTTGTGATATTTGACTTCTTTTCATGATTTACAAAGAACAAGTATGGATTTCAAACCAAGTTTTCTTTGTATGAAAGAGTGGTGTGATAGGTATGACAGAAAAGATTGTAATTGAATAAAACCATATACTGAAATTATTACACATACTTTTTTGTGCTGAAGTTGTAATTAGCATAATTAAGTACTTGATTACAAATATTCACTGACCTTTTCTTTATTTGGAGAGAGGTTAATTGCATCAGAAAAATGGATCACACCATGACGGCCTATGCCTTCTTTCTAAATAACAAAGTTATAGGCAGAAGACTGGTGGCACGGGATTTTCTAGCATTATAATTAATGACACGAAACGGGCATATAAAAATTCGTGCCCCTGATTCATACATGCTCTTTCGCCGCTCTAGCCGTGAAACGCATCATCATACAGTCCGTTGCAGAAACTCTAATCTACAGCAATTCATTAACCTCGGAACATTCATCGACGTTCGTGGCGATATCAAGCACGGCTCCAAGCACGACTGAATCGCATCACAAAAGCTTATTGACAGCACTCCATATAACCGTGGGGTGCGCGGCCGCGTGGACAGTGCAGCCGGCGCGTAATGCACTTGCCGGCGGCGTTCGATGACGATGCGCAAAATGTGAAACTACGAAGACGAAAAATCGGCACGCACTGCACTTGGCATCAGCATTTTCGAATGACGACGGGCAAAACTGCTAGCCGCTGTTCCGAGCGATCCTTGGCAGTGAAGGGTGGGGTGACGAGCTTGACTGTGTTGTCCGCTGACGATGCGTAAAATGCCCGTACGTGATTCAGAGGAGCTAGCGAGTGATGTGCTACATTCCTTGCGAAGAAGCACGTCGCCAAGAGTGCGCTTGCGCGTCGTTCGTTTCTGCCCGCAGTCTCGCTGTCAGTGGAGTTGGGGCTAAAGACCACTCCGATGAACCGCGGCGCTTGTAGACCGCGCTCCCACTCTTAGTAACCTGATCACGCATCTGCTTACTGCTCCTAACTAAAGCGTAGTTATATCTTAAGTGATTATCAAGCCGTGAACACGTCACGAAGTGGCGATTTTCTAGAGCCATGTCCTCATGACGCACAAGCAGCAGACGACGATCTCCCGGAGCGAGCATCGGGCCAATGGCGAGGCGAGCTGAGGCAACATGGCGGTCACGGCCAATCAAGGGCCTCAAAACGACCCTCAAACATTTGCTTTTTGCTCGCTTGTTGTTAAAGGGAGGAGCCAGCTGAAGCGGGAAAGTTAAACACAGAGAAATGCTCTTTCCGATGAGCCCAAGAAGCCGGCTCCCAGCCAAAGCATCGCGAAGCTATAATTTTTTGAAAATCACCGTTTTCTCGCCATTTCCAGAAAAAGTTTTGCTACCTACCGTATAAACCGGAATATAGGTCGAAATTTTTTCAATAAAATAATAAGCTAAGGTCGCCCCTCGTCTTATAAAGCGGTGTCTAGCCGAAAGTGCGACGCTGTCTGGCAACATATGGCTTGCATGTGCTTGTGAAGCCAGACGCGGCCATATCCACATCCAAATCCAATCGCAGTCTGTTATCTTTGTGTTGGTGATTTGCTTCCAATCTGTTCAGAGTTTTCGCTCCGCTTGACATTGCGCTGCATTTTTTGTGGCCTTTTTTTTTCGTTCACTGAATATGTCTAGCGGTGCGAGGAGGCAGTACTCAACTGCTTTTAAACTAGATGTTGTTAAGTTCGCAGAAGCGAACGGAAATATGGCTGCTCAGCGCCGCTTTGGTGTATCAGAAAAAAGCGTGCGCTATTGGAGGGCGCAGAAAGGGAAGCTGCAGATGTGCAGTCCTCGAAAAATGACGTTTCGTGGACAAAGTGCCGTTCATCCGCAGCTGAAGGATAAGCTAGCGGACTTTGTGCGGAAAGTTCGTGCGCGCTCGCTGCCAGTGACCGTGGATACCATTCGCAAGAAAGCCGTGGAACTCGCTCGGGAAGCTGGGCTCACGAGAGAAGAGTTTCGTGCACCAAACTCTTGGGTGCGTCGATTCATGCGAGGCAAAGGATTTTCTCTCCAGCGGCGCGTCAAAAGTTGCCGGAGGAGTTCGAGGACAAGCTCATAAACTTTTAGCACTTCGTAAACTGGCTTCGGGAGCAGAACGACTACATGATGGGGCAGATTGGCAACGCCGATGAGACCCCCGTGTGGTTTGACATGCCTTCGTCGACCACGATCATGCAGCACGGCACCAAGGATGTGAAGCTGCTGTTCACTGGCAACGAGCACTCGCGCTTCACCGTCATGCTGGCATGCACGGCAGATGGTTGAAAGCTTCCGCCCTTCGTCATTTTCAAACGCAAGACAATGCGATGGTGTGACAGTTGGTGCGACAATGCGACAGTTGCGATGGTGGTAGAAGGGAGCTCCGACGATCGGGACGGGGTGCGCCCAATTCGCAAATAAATGTGGTTCAGCAGTTTTGGGTTGTTTTTCTTTTTTTTTTTTTTTTTCGGGAACCTGAACTTGGGGGGGTCGACCTACATTCCCACTTGACCTATAGTCCGGTTTATACGGTAGGTGGGTGAAACGAATTTTCCGAAGCAATTCTGCGCGGTTTTCAGTATAGATATTTTGAACCAGATAGAAAAAGGGTTCCAGAAACTGAAAACTTCAGTTTAAAAAAATCGATTTTTTTGCCATTTTTCGCGATCCCAAAGCCGCGTTCCCCCTTAATAGGAGTGTGAACTTAACAAAAATTGGTATGCCAATAGAGTTTTTTCCTCCTCTTTTCAAACACAGTCGAGCCCATATATCACGGCCCCACTTAAAAAACGAACAATATTTGTGTGACTGTGGAAAGGCACAAAATCCCACTTACAACAAACGTCCCCGAGTGCCGTTGATCGTTGATCACCGATCAGGCATCGGCGAGGTGCCCATACATTCTTATTGTTAAATGTCGACCCTGCCTCCGCGCCCCTCTAGTTGCCTCTCTCCCCGACCACTTTTTGTTACGCACCCCTCCGTCCTTTGTCCCCCCGCTACTCTGAGCACCCCGCATCGCCAGACGAGGCCAGTGTTTTCACACTGCCACCAATCTTTGAAGACCGGTCGGCCATCTCCCGTGTTTTTGATCGCTGGTACTGTCGTTGGCGTTGCCGACCTGGAGTGACCAGACCATTTGCCAACATCCTCAGCCACCAACTGTATCCAATTAGTCTGCGTCTAGTGCACGCGCGTACGCTATCCCACCGACTCTGCTGATAATTCGAGATTCGTTTCATGTTTAGGACTTCTTCTCGCTCACTTCGCACTCGGCCCATCATGCCTTCCGCGCGCGTGAGGAAGCGGGAAAACGGCTGGTAATTTGCACGGAACGAATCGCGAAATATCGAAGTCCGTGAGGCCACGCAAACCGGCCGGCGCAACGAAATGACTTTTTGCCCACGGCTGCCAATTCTTCAAACACTGCCGCGGGCACCGATTCAGGCGGCCATGCACTCTTTCCAAGTATTTCTATGTGCGAGTTTCGCGGACCTTTCAAGCAAGCTACCTCCTGCCTCCTTCCCGTGTGTTTTGGTTTTCAAGGTCGCCCTCTCGCCGCATCCTCATCTCTCCTTATCGCAACTCCTTGCCCTTCTCTCGCAAGTCTGCTCTCTTCTCTTGATCACAACCCCTTCCCCTGTCTCCACCGCTTCGCGACGCCAGAGAACACCTACCAGTCTACGACGCCCGCCATGCTGGCTCGAATTAGTTTTGTTTTTTGACTGGAAACGGGCCCAGAGCTTTCAGTTTTGTTTTCTGACTGGAAACGGGCCCAGAGCTGTGTTCCACGCGTTCCGGCATGTGTGTCGCCTGTGCGCGTCTTGCTCACTCTAGGTGTGTGTGTGTAATCAGGATGGCAGACAGGAGGACTAACACGCTTTTTTTTTTCCTGCCGCTCAACAAAACGTCGAAAATGTCACCGCTTGGCTTGAGCGTCATCCGCGCATTAGGTGCCGCGTTGCGTAGCGCTTGCTCATAGAAGTTGACCACCTGGCAGCCAACTTTTCGCTTCAGACGTTTCGTGTATTCAGCTGTGGAGATGGTGAATATTTCGTGGGCGGCAGTGACAGCTACATGCGCGCGAAACTGTTTTCGCGAGGCCGACTTCGTTGACGTCGGGCCCGATGCCGAGCTTGAAGCTTCCGAACAGGACCACTGCGGCAGCGATTTGTGGCAGCGCGTCGCCGATTCTGACCTGGGAGAGCAGGTGGGACATCTGTTGCGATGGTTTAATTACGGCCGATAATGCCGACACTGCGGAACCTTGCACGGATTAGGGCATTGTGAACGAAGTACGTGGCGAGAGTGACTTGGAGAAATCTGATTGCAAGAGCAATGAAACTTTAGAGTCAGTGCCTTATGCAGCTTATGCCATGGGCCCCGGCGAACGAGCGCACTGTTGTTTTAAATGAACTCAAGACCGCCCTTATCGCTTCTGCTATTCGAAACGCCTACATCACGGACTTTTTGGGGCAAAAAAAGTTTGTGTTTTCACTCGCAACTTTTTTTAAAAGCTGTGTTTCATTTACTACGAACTTTGGGATACAGTGAACGGATGCCGCGTCACGCTCAGGTTCGTTATAAGCGGGCTCGACTGTATGTCATTTATTTTCATGTAAGTTATTTGTTTTTTTTTTCAAAGAAAGCGACAGCAGCGCCATTGCTGTGCGGGCTATGGGAGGGGGCCGCTCCTCATTGCAGCGACCGCGCGCGCTTACCCAACTGACAGTTGCTAAAAACGTTGGGCTGGACGCAACTTTCCCAACCGACGGCATGCGGCGCTGCAACGGGGAGCAGCGTGTGGTCAAAGATGTTCAATATCAGCGCAAATTCACGAAATTTCGAGCCATTGCAATGCCTTCATGCACGTTTTTTTTTTTTTTGCATTTTGCTGTTTGAATTTAGTTCTGATATTTTTACAAATAAAAAAGGTTTGAGGATTACAATGCAATAAAAACCAGAAATATGAGAAATCTCACAAAAGATGCGTTTTTTCGACTTGCATCTCTCTGTAAAAGACCGTTTTAAGTACATCACCTTGGCTGTCGGCTGCTGTGGCTTGTGTTAACCGGGGTAATCATATACTGAGAGAAAGTACGTAAATCTGAGACCTGTGGTTTGAGGGGGCGTTTCACGAACTGTAGATCCTTGCATACAATTCGCACACTGAACAGCAAATCTTTTTTCTAAAAGATTTCTGCCTATTGCTGTGAAAGCTAGCTTACTCGCGCAGCTGTGAATCGCCTCCGTGAAGCTGCCTTGCGTGCCTAAAGTTTTTAGGTGCGTGCGTGCGCACGAGCGGGAGAGACAGCAGGCTCTGTCTGACAAAATACAGTCGTTTGTGCTTTGGCTGCGAGTAGCAGACTGACAATTTCAAAGGTAACAGCAAAGCTGTACACCGTAGTATACACTCAAACTTCACTATAACAAAGTTGAATCTTACACTGAAATAAGTTTGTTATATCCAAAAATTTGTTATAAAGTGTTTTTTCTAGCAGTATAATAATTGCAAAATTATTTTTTATTTTCTTCGTTATATTGAGGTTTGAGTGTGATGCCTTCAGCCCCGCTTCTCCCACTCCCTGTGGCTATCTTTCAATTTCTGGTTGCCTTACAATTTTTACGTTTAATGTAAGCAAGGCGCCTAACTTTCAGTGTATCTTCTCGGGCTCCATTATTCGTCACTATAATTGTGGCTCATGAAAATGTAGCCGTCTCAATTCTTTTGCCTAGTTCTTGTTTCCGAGTTTTGGAATGCGATTGCTTTGTAGAAGTGTTTTCACGTGAGGTTGATGTGGGCTGTTCGTGTTTGTTTACGTGATCGCAGGAGGACGAAAAGTTCCTAAGCGAACTTTTTGCCCAGCTGACGGACGAGGCGACCGACGATGACAAGCGACGAGACCTTGTGCTTTTCCTCAAGGAGTTTTGTACATTTTCACAAACGCTACAGCCACAGTGTAGAGAATCATTTTTTAAGGTACGTTCTCCATTTATTTTTTGTGTGTGTATTCAGCTTGCTCGTGTAAATGTTGAAAGCAGTTTGTTGATCTTTGTTTGTTTTCCTGATAACCTTCAAGTCATGCGAGGCAGGTAACCTGAACTTGATCAACTAAATAGTCTTTGACTTCGCTGTGTTTAAACCGCCACCTTTTGTAACATATCCACACAAAATTTCATTACAGGCAGAGTATAAATAATGGTGGTAGGCTCTGTCAATTATATCTTTTACTCTTTCAAAATGTCATTGATAGACAAGCCTTTGGTTTAACAGGAGGTGATTGATTGTACTTTTTTCTTCTTCTTGCAGACGCTATCAAGTTTAGGTATTCTACAAGCATTGGAAATTACTTTGGTAAGTGAAGCTTTCCTGCTTATTTTTTTCATGATCTCGTATTTGGTGCATGCCGAAACAAAGTTACAGAATTTTTTAATATTGTTTTGGCACAGTGTTGTCAAATTGTTATTTTCCCCATTGTGAAGCAATCAGTGTTGATGCAAGTTGTCAAGATTAATTCAAACAGTGTGAAAGTGGACAACGGTGATGAAGGAAAATAGCAATTACAGTCGAGCCCGCTTATAACGAACCCGAGCGTGATGCGGCATCCGTTCGCTGTATCCCAAAGTTCGTAGTAAATGAAACACAGCTTTTAAAAAAAGTTGCTAGTGAAAACAAACTTTTTTTGCCCCAAAAAGTTCGTGATGCACGTGTTTCAAAGAACAGAAGTGATAAGGGTGGTCTCGAGTTCATTTAAGGGGGGACGCGGCACTTCGGGACCGAAAATCAGCCAAAAAATCGAGTTTTCGCGGACCTTCTTTTCGCGTTCCCGACATCATTGCGCACCTATTTACAAAATTTCATAGCGGAATACCATCAACTTTTATCGTTATTCAACTTTAAAAAACCGAAAACGGGCGTCCTGCCCTTTAAATTGAGGGCGAATAGCGCAGGTTTCGGCTCTACGATACGCGGGAACTACGCGCTCGATCGGCGCCATTTTGGTCTTGTTTGAAAGAACGCGTTTTCAGCTGTTTTTTTTTATTCAGTAAGCAACATTGAGCGTTTCCCCGGCTCAAAAAACGGGGCCTCAAAGACGAAGAGCCGCGCTCACTGCCATTGGCTAAACGGCGCACGTGACTGAAATGGCGCTTTCCGGTTGGCTGGAAGCTCGCGGCTTGCGCCTGCATACGCGACCCGACGCCATTTTGAAAGGGTTACCGCTGTGACGCCTCGAAATCGGCAGAGCACTCTGAAGCTTCTGATCGTATCGCCATGCCTGGAAACGCAAAAAAGTATCGGACCGTGCACGCATTTGGTCGCAGGAAACGCAAAGGTCGTGGGAGAAAGTCTACGAAGTCATCAGAGCCCTTGGTTGACTCCGACGAACGATGTGTCGACGCTCCGCGGCCGTTCAGCGATGGTGCGACCGAGCGCGTTGCCTCCGACGACGATGACGGTGAAGCGAACTCCGGACGACTACGAATCGACGCCAAGGTGGTGACAAACGCCGAAGTTGAAGAAAATCATGCCCGGGAGAAAGCGACGCTCGACCGGCTTTCATCGGCGCCAGCAACTGCACGGAAAATTGACTTTTTCACCGCGAGTTGTAGCGAGGCAACCGCACAGGACTCGGACCACGCTGCTCCTTATCTGCTTATGCATCTAGATATCCTAAACGCGATAATGGGTGCCTTGTGTTGCAAAGCCTGCCACGGACCGGCTACGATCGTCAGAGGGGATCGGGACTACGGACTTGCCGTGAAAGTGCTAGTGCAGTGTGAAAGGTGCGGCGAGATCGCGAATGAATGGACTTCGCCCCGCGCGAACGGCACGAAAACGTGCAATCCGTTTGAAGTAAATCTTCTCGCTTCGAGGGCGATGGTGGCTACCGTCAACGGCCAAACGAAAATGAACGATATTTTCGCAACAATGGGCATCTCACACCGCGGTATGCACCACAAGACGTTTCAGCGGCATTTGAAGAACACGCTGGCACCCGCTGCAACGCGAGCGGCTGAGTCCGCTATGAGCGAATGTGCGGAAAAGGTTAGAACAATTTATGATGACTTGTGCTTCGGCCACCGGGGCAATATTGCCGTTAGCTACGACGGCACGTGGAAGACGCGAGGCCATTCTTCCCACATCGGCGTGGGCACAGTTATCGAATTATTTAGTGGCTACGTGTTGGACTACGTCGTTCTTTCCAACTTTTGCCTAGGCTGCGAGGTGGGCCCAAAGCCTAGTAGTGAGGGCTATCAAGAATGGAAGGCTAACCACAAATGCCAAAAAAATACGAACAGCAAAGCGGGGCAAATGGAAGTGGAGGCGGCTCTAATTCTATTTCAGAGGTCGCTTGAACGCCATGACCTGCGCTACACAACTATGCTGTCTGATGGAGACTCTAGGACATTTTGCGCCATACAAGACGCCAAGGTGTATGGTTACATTGACGTGCAGAAGGGAGACTGTATTAATCATGTACAGAAACGGATGGGCACCGCATTGAGAAACCTGGTGCAGAAACAAAAGTGCGATGGGAAAAGAGGCCTTGGTGGGAAAGGCAGGCTCACAGGTGAGCTGATCACTAGGCTGAGCACATATTATGGCCGGGCTCTGAAATCGCATGAAGGTGACGTGGGCGAGATGCAAAAGGCTGTGATGGCCACATACCGCCACGTCACCTCCACTGATGAATGCTCGGACCACAGTCTGTGCCCAGCTGGTGAAACTTCATGGTGTCGGCACAATGCCGCAAAAGCAAAGGGTGAGCCCGACCCCAGGCATGCCTACAATCTACCGAAAGACGTGGCAGAGGCATTACTACCGGTTTATACCCGGCTTTCGGAAAGAGCCCTGCTTCAGAGGTGCGAACGCGGCAAAACGCAGAACTCCAACAAGAGCCTACATTCGGTAATCTGGAGTTTGGCCCCCAAGGAGCACCATGCGTCCCTGTTCGCTGTTGAAGCAGCTGTTGCAGAAGCAGTGCTGCTCTTCAACACGGGCAATTTGAATTCTGCAACGGCAATCTTAGGTGAAATGGACATGAATGCGACAAGTACTGGTGCCACGAGAGCGAGAGAAAAAGACCACCGTCGCAGCATTGTCTCCAACAAGAAAAGAACAGCCTCATTGGAACTCCGGAAGCTAGTGAAGAGGAGGCATGAGCACTGAATGCATTCAGACTATGCTTCTGGTGCGTTTTGAGGTTGTCTTGTTGCATCTTCTGCAATAAAAATGTGTGCCCACGTTTTTTGTCGATTTCTCAAAACGACAATTTTCATGTGCTTCCCGTTATGCCGGAGCAATATCTCTTGTCCTATCTGGGTTATCATTACGATTTCTTTTTTGTTTCGAAGATAAATGCAGGGGATGTGTCGTAAAGTAAGTTTTATTGTAATAATTTTTGGAGAAAATTCTCTAAATGGATCTTTTGTTTCAAGTGTAGATGGGGAAATTTTTCATGTCATATTCAACATCCCACAACTTTGCTTCGAAATAGCCCAGAACAATGATTTATACTTTATTGCACACTGTGAACATACCGAATTGGTTCTATAGGTTGCACATCAATATCCAAGTTACAGTTAATTAGCTAATTAGGCCTTAATTGAAAAAGTCGCAGTTCATTATATCTTTAAAACTAATTGTCACAGCAAAAAAAGAATTAGATTTTTTGAAATCAGCAGTAAAATCTACATAGGCTCTCCAAATTTGACTGAGGTACTCGCAAAAATAAAAGAGTTTTTGGAAGGTGTTGCATCCCCCCTTAAAACGGCAGGGTGCTCGTTCGCCGAGGCCCGTGGCATAAGCTGCATGAGGCACTGACTTCAAAGTTTCGTCGTTCTCGCAATCCGATTCCTCCAAATCGCTCTCGCTACGTACTTCATTCACTATGCCCTAATCCGTGCGTGGTTCCGCAGTGTCGGCATCATCATTGGCCGTAACTAAACCATCGCAACAGATGTCCCACCCGCTCTCCCAGGTCGGAGTCGACGACACGCGGCCACAAATCGTTGCCGCAGTGGTCCTGTTTGGAAGCTTCAGGCTCAGCCTCGGCGCCGACAGTTTCGAGCGCATGTAGCCGTCACCGCCGCCCACGAAATATTCACAATCTCCACACCTGAATACCGGGACGCCCGAAGCGGCAAGTTGGCTGTCAGGTGGTCAACATCTATGCGCAAGCGCTCCGCAACGCGGCACCTAATGCGCGGATTACGCTCAAGCCAAGCGGTCACGCTTTCGGCGTTTTGTTGAGCGGCAGGAAAAAAAAGCGTGCTAGTCCTCCTGCCTGCCATCTTGATTACACACGCACACCAAGAGCGAGCAAGACGCACACGCGCGACACACATGCCAGAACGCGTGGAACAACTCTGGGCCCGTTTCGAGTCAGAAAACGAAACTAATTCGAGCAAGCGTGGCAGGCGTCGCGGAGCGGTGGGGACAGGCGAAGGGGTTGTGATCAAAAGAAGAGAGCAGACTTGCGAGAGAAGGGCAAGGAGTTGCGATAAAGAGAAGGGAGGATACGGCAGGAGGGTGACCTTGAAAACCAAAACACACCGAAAGGAGGCAGGTTGGGTAGCTTGCTTGAAAGGTCCGCGAAACTCGCACGTAGAAAAACTTGGAAAGAGTGCATGGCTGCCTGAATCGGTGCACGCGGCGATGTTCGAAGAATCAGCGGATGGGATCGCAAACTCGTTTTGTTGCACCGGCGGGTATGTATGGCCTCACGAACTTCGATATTTCTCGAATCATTCCATGCATACTAACAGCCGTTTTCGCGCTGCCGCACGTGCGCAGAAGGCTAGCTGAGTCAAGTGCGAAGTGAACGAGAACACGTCCTAAACACGAAACGAATCGCAAATTATCAGAGTCGGTGAGGTAGCGTATGCGCAGGCACTAGACGCAGACTATCGGATACAGTCGGTCGCCGACGATGCTGGCAAATGGTCTGGGCACTCCAGGCCGGCGGTGTCAACGACAGTACCAACGATCAAAAACGGGGTAAATGGGGCCGATGCTTGATCGGTGGTCGAAATTGGTTTCCCGGGAAGTCGGCAGACCGCTGACTCCGTTCGCTGTAACCGATGCAGCGGCGCTCGGAGACGTTTATTGTAAGTGCGATTTTGTGCCATTGAACCAATGTATATTTTCACGGTCACGCAGATATTGTTTGTTTTAAGCGAAAGTTCGTTTTAAGTGGGGCCGTTGTATGTGGGCTCAACTGTAATTCATTTTGCAATGGAAAGCTGTAAGTGTGTAGAATGCAAGTATGGGAGCAAAATTAAGAGCACAAGCCTTTTTAATTAATTACTCATCAAAATTATAACACAATTCCAACTTCTTTTGAAAACGGATAGTTCATTTTGCTGTAAAATAACCAAGAAAGGCTTAAAAACAAAAACTTACATACTTTCAATCTGTAGTCATTAGTCTATGTTGGCATATTTTAAATATAACTTTTAATTAAGCACTTTTTTTTTTTCCTATGGTGGCCTTAAACAATAGGGGGTAAACTTATCTCAGGAACAAGATAAGTTACACGAAAACTAGTTAAATATTTGAAATGAGCAAAAATCCTGCATAATCCTGTGCAGTTTGATCAAGATCACTGATGAAATAAACAAAAAAATGTCTTAAGACCAGTATGTCCCCTAAATACATTAGCATGTTTAAGTGAACTCTTACTATACAACATGCTCTCACCAACCTGCACTTATTTATGCGTGTGCAGGGCATGGAGGACATAGTGATCAAAACGGCCTCCATCGACATCCTCTCCTACTTAGTGGACTACAGTCCGTCCATGGTGCGCGAGTACGCATTCCAGCAGTCCAACGTGCAGGACGACGTGAGTGCCGTTTATCCACTGTCGACATGTGCACCTTCTGCACAGTGGTGTTGAATTTCAGACTTTTCACGCAAACGTAGTGTAGCATTCAGTTCTTGGAAACCTCTCCTACCTTCCCAATTGGAGCAAATGAGCGTGCAGTTTACATTCAGTTCTGAGAATCTGATGGAGCACTGAGGTAGCGTAAAAAGTATAACACTCTCTCAACTTCACCTCAGTGCCTATGACTCTCAAGTTTGGGGGGTCACCAGATGGTCAAAATTTCCAGAACCCTCTCAACTGTAGCAGCTCTCATAATCATATTGTGGTTTGGGGGATGTAAAACCTCAGGGAATATTATATTACTATATCACAAAATGCTTGAAACTGTCATTACCACAAATTTGTAAATGCCGGGATGTGTGCGTGCTGTTGTTCAATACAAAAGCTGCGTCTTGTCATGGTTTTCTCATCGTATGTCTCTCATGCAGGATCAACTACTGATCAACATCATCATTGAACAGATGATCTGTGATCCAGACCCAGGTGCGTACAAAAATCTCCTCATGATCTGTTTCGAGGGGTACCAAAGAGAAGATAATAAATTACTTCAAATTGCCGAAGTATTTGTTTATAAAACTGTGTACATTAATTTCACAGTAATCAGTTGGTTGCTGGAAAAGAAAATCAAGCCAGTGCATTGTTTGGTTTATTGCTGCAATATACTGTATTTACTCACATAATGAACCCACCCCCACCTTGATCCACGAAAAGGGGGGGGGGGGGGAATTTTTAGATGTATCTGTTCACTTTATTTCAGTATGATAGCCAGTACTGTTAATGATTGAAACAACGTTAAATCAAGCCATTATATGACAAAATAACAATGCAATGAGAACAAAAGACAGTATACAATCATGCTAAACAGTTGCGAGCATGGACGACGTCAATTAAAAATTGAAAGTCACGCCTTGTACAGCAAAGCGCCATCTGTCGAATGCAGGAGAAACCTTTTTGCTGCTCGCGTCCAAAATGGTGCTCGCGATGCTTCATGGAACACGCCGCGCGCTCCCCATCTTGGACCTACTCAAAGCACAACCGCACCGACGGCGCGGTGTGCATCCGCAACGTCTGTGTGCCGCCATCCGACGCTGTGTTTTCATTGTTGGGTTTGTCGTTGTGAACCTAGTTGGGACACCTGCTGCGCAGGGCACGTTCGGCCGGTGCGCTAGCTACACGGCTGGTTACTGACAGCATGCGCTGGAGAATTGGAACCGAGTGGCTGGACGACACTTCGGCGTCGATCCATGCACTTTCACTACGGGATGAAACAAAAAGAGCGTCGGACTAAAAAAAAATTTGTTGCACATTTCACAGGTCAAAACAAGCAAAGTCGTCACCCTGAAATTTTCGCTGTTATAACTCTCATGACTTTTTTTTTCCGCGTAACGAACCCTCCCCCTAAATTGGCATCAACTTTTCTGAAAAAAAAGGTGGGTTCATTACGCGAGTAAATACGGTAGGTGCAGATACCTCAGTGTGACGTGATTTTTTGTCATATTCTCGTATTTCAGCTGTTGTAACTCTGTAACTTTGCGATTCAGGTCCAAGTTTAATGTATTCAACTGGTCTTTACAGTTCGAGATGCGCATGATCCTGGTAGCCTGAAAAATATTTTTAAAAATCTCTGCTCTCACTTATGAACCAAAAATAACTAGTAGCACACGAGTGATAAAATAATTTAATAAATCACCATATTACAATGTTTATAATGTAATTCATTGATTTAATACTAAAAATAATGCGATGGTACAAGGCATCATTCTGTAACCAAAGTTCGAAATTTCCTATACCTAACTCAAATAAATGCTATGCCTCAGCAGGGCGAAAAAAATACTGCCCAGCAAATTGGGGCAACAGTGCAAGCACATCTGTGATTTCACACACGACATCTTGAGCCCACCAGGTTGGCAGTGTATGCAGTGTTGCCCCGGCACTTGGAAATATGGCAGCAGATTTTGTCGTAGAATATCAGTTGAAATCTGTATGTTTTAAACTTTAGTCTTTACACTTAGTTTTTGCATCACAAATTCAACGCTGGTATTAGCAATATACAGTAGAGTACTATAGCTTTCATGAAGCAGTGAAAATAATGACTCCGAGATTGCTGGTGTCCCAAAGGTGTCAAGTTTCTTTTTCTGCTATTCAGTTGTCCGAGTTGTTTGTGTGGAAAAATGCACTCGCTAACGCCTTCCAAGTAATTATTTCTCTAAGTAATTTGAGTGAGCTGGTGGCTTCCCCTCTTCTCTCTTTTATCACCTCATCAAATCTAACTCGACACTGAAAAAGTAGCAGTTTTTGCGGTCATTTCTTACAGAAAGTCAGTAGATTTGGACACCAGCAAAAAAACGCCAAATATGAGCTATCGCAGAAGGACTGCCTCTTTTTTCTACCTAGTGGTTGCTGACGAACCTCGAAGAATTGGTAATACCAGTTGTAATCACTAGGAACAGAATGGTTAAATGTGGCAACAGCTATTACATGCCTTAGTATGTAATGCAGTCCAGCCACATTGATGAGAATTCAGCTAAACCCAAGCAGATGCTGTCATCCCTTGCAGTCCCTGTAAATTCTTTATTTTACTTGCTTGCTGACACGGAAGCTTCGAGGCACTGTCACCGTCTTGTCCTACATTTATAGTGTTGATTGCAGCAGCTCAGGCGGAGGGCTCATGCTGTGTTGCTTTCTTTTTCTTCCTCCCCGACATTCTTGCAGACCTAGGTGGTGCGGTGCAACTTTCAGGCATCTTGCGGTTATTGCTTGACCCCGAGAACATGCTTTCCCTCGACACTGTGAGTTCTTCTACGCATCTTCATAAGCCGTTTCGTTCGACGAATTCGATGATAGACTTACGTACGCTTTTTACCTGGAAAGCAAAGATTGCTTAGCCCAGTTGAACCTGACAAACCATGCTATTACAATGTGCAGAATTGCCATTTAGGCACTAAAAAACTTGCTGCAAGGCTATAGTACTACTTTTTGATTCCTTAGAGCTTAGTTGCAGGTGGCTCAGCAATGAAGGTGATGACTCATTAGTTACTGTACTAATTAAACCACAAATATGTTGTTCATACTATGATTAACTCTGCATGCCTGCAAGTGCATGGGAACAATTTTCGCTAATTTTGCTTAACTTAAACTAGCAATAGCCTGTACATGGCTGAGCAGAGCATCCTTAAATTTAAGAACGAGTAGAAGTATCAGACAGTTGAACCCCTTTACGAGAGACACTGATGTAACATGGGTATAAGAGACATCCACGTGCTTATTAAAGTAGGGGTTCATAAGAAAATGCATTTAGGGTGCCTGGCTGACACCTTCTATATAAACAAAAATTGCTTCCCAGTGTACTTCTTATAAAGGAGTTAAACTGTATATTTAATTGCAAATGTAGTGTGTAGAAATTTGTAGCTGTCGAAGGAGCATATTTCTTTTTGTGCATCCCTGCTGTTGGCTACGTAATTTTCAAAAGTTTTTTGAGAATAAGGGCAAGGGAATATTGCAGTACATGGTGTGCTTTCTTGAAAATGTTCCCTGCGGGGACAAGTGTTAATCCTTCTTTTGTTTTCTGATACAGCATTGAAATGTGTAAGCTGCCCCTTCTTGCCTACACTTTGTCATTAAAGTTGCACCAGAGAACTAAAGCTTGTTTTGCTTTTTGTAAGCGTGCAGCAGGTACACTACTCAAGGGTTGAAGCAGAGCAATTTAGGGCCAAGTAAGGTGCACAACTTTTATTCCTATAACCCTCAGTTCATTTCATATTAGCGCAATTTTGACTCATATACTTGGAACAGAGCCAACATTACTTTTTAGAGAGACAAGATTTGTCATGACATGATTTGGTTATCTCGAGCAGTTGCCTACACCAGTGTTCATACTAAAAAATTTGACGTCACATTTGAATCTGTGAGTGCTGTGCACTGAAAACAGCAGCACCGTAGAGGAAGTGCCGTTTGCTCTTACAAATGCTCTGTTTCAATGGCACTATTCTCTCGGAAGTGCTTTCCTTGTAAAAATGGTGATGTCTTTCTTTTCTCCTCCATTTTGCCCCATCCTGTCCAGAAGTCTGAGTTTCTGAACTTCTTCTACAAGCACTGTATGCATGTGCTAATAGCTCCAGTACTTGCCAATACCACCGGTGATGCGCCAAGCAAAGGTACGCATCTCTTCAACTCCGTTCTCGACCTTTCCAAGTGGCCGTTGACTCATTCTGTTTAGATTTCACTGCTCCTCTGTCACTGTGTTGCAAGTGTTCAGTGTTTTGTTTTCATATCTTAGTGCAGTCAATTTTCGTGCCGTGTGTGACGCAAATCGTAATTAATGATGCTTCACCGAAAGTCGAGATGACAACAGCTAAGGCCGGACATCAGTGAAAGAAAGGACTGAGTGCACAGACTCCCATTCGTGGCACAGGGCATTACATAGATCCCTTACAAACGCAGAAAACACAAAGGCAATGCAGCCAGACCACAGGAAGCATGGAATGGAAGAACCTATAAATAAGCAACACAACAGCTCTAAAGTAGAGTACGCAGATCTTAGACACGTCACTTTTGCTGACTACATTGCCGTATGAGTACCATGTGAGATCTCCGATGCTTCTTTTCTCTTGTGCTCTGCTGGGGGAAAAAAACATTCCAAACCCCCCCCCCCAGATCGTTCTCTCCTGAGCTCCGAAAGCTTGCATAGTTTAGCTGAAAAAGTTGGATGCAACTGTGGTTGCACTTGTGGCATCAGATGACTTCCTTTCTCCTACTCGCAGAGACTAGCCAAACGGCGCAGCTGCTGAGCCTGATAGTAGAGCTGCTGTCGTTTTGCGTGGAGCACCACTCGTACCACATCAAGAACTACGTACTGCACAAGGACCTGCTTCGAAGGGTGCTCGTCCTCATGCGCTCCAAGTGGGTTCCCCATCCTCTCTCTTGGCTTGTTGTTTGTTGCCTGTGCTGATAGCTGAGGGGAAAATGACATTTCTGTAGATAACATCGTATTTTCTTGCATATAACCTGATGTGGCACATAATTTGCACCTGTAACTACGGTCAGGTCCCGATTATTTGAAGTCGCTTAATTGGAATTTTGTAATTAGAATTGAAAGTCCACTAGTGGGTGGGGGTGGGGGGGTCCTATCAATTTTGCATGCACACCTCTAGGAAAAAAAAGATGCTCAATAATTTTAAGGGGGGATGTGGGGATAATTTGTAACTTTTTGTTTCTTGGCCTAGGTTCATGAAATTTGGTATACACACTAAAAATCACATTAAAGAGATGAATGCAAATTTTCACAAAGATATCTTTACTAGTTCTCATTTTATAAAAAATTGAATTTGTCGCTCGTGGAGAGTCTGGCACAGCAAGGAAACTTGCTTAAGTGCTGGAACAACTTTTAATGTATGTGTACATATTGCTTGTAGCCGAAGACAGTGCCAGGTTTTTTTGTTTTTTTTTAATGCCCTAACAATATTCTGCTGAAGATTATTTGCATATGCATGTGCTTCATCAAGTCCTGCCTTTCAGTAATTCTGAAATTTGAAAAAGAATGCAAGCCTAAACTAATATTTGAAGACTGCCTTCAGTTATGGCAGTCTACGAGTTACAATAAAACAAACAGAATGAAAATCGGTCCGGCCATAGTCGCGCAATGCTTTCCACGAGCAAGGTGGATGGCAAAAAAAAACATCACAGAAAATGGCTTTTAAAGTTTTGCAGATGTTGCACCATTATTAAAATGCCCCAGGACTATCGTCTTTGGCATCTCTGTGAAGAGGCATCTTCTTAGACCTCTGTCTCTTGGTTTCACATTTACGCACTTTTTTGAGACGCAGGCAGTCTTTTTCTTGAGCCCTCTGGGGGGCATCCATAGAACCAGGATGCACACCCAATGTAACACACATTTCCGATTACATACACACGCATCCTGAATTATATTTCATTACTGCCTCGTTTACCGCTGTCTCTACAGCAAAAAAGGAGGCATGTTGTGCCTTGAATAGTAGAGACCAAATCACAGAATGCAAGCTCTCAGCTGCATTCTGTTTTCCCTCCTTTACACCGCTCAAGCAGCTGTGTGTCTGCAAGGCGTTCATACACTGGCAACAGCGCTTTGGCAACTCTGCTGGAAAGCTTGTACTTGTGGACTGGTTGTGCATGTCCTTGTGCCTCTGCAACTCTGTGTGTACACTAGCTTGTAGGACCAAGGGGGCATAGCTCATGGTGAGGACCGTGCGAATAGTCGCGAACGCTCGATGCTTGCACCTCCACCGCTCCCGCTGATACGTAGCGAGTCTTCAAGTGCGTCTGAATGGTGCGATATTCGTTTGACGACACGTAGGTTTTCGAACCACTGGCACACGATGAATCAAAGTTCTCGTCGACAGCGCGAGGAACGCTCCCTGATAAGAGGCGCGCTTCTGCAGGCTTTGCCGGCGGACCTTTGATCCCAGCGGCTGTCGGTGATTTCATCTCGGCGCTCCGTCGATGGCGTTGAGCAACTTGAAGCGAGCGCACTTGGTGAATCATCGTTCACGTCGAAGCTTGTTGACGGACGAAGATCGCTCGTAGATAACGGGCGACCTTTCATCCGAACGGTAGTCGGCGATTCCATGTCGGCTATGCGAGCGAGCGCGAGCGCCTGCGCGTTGAGGGTCGTTGTACTCGGGGAAGCATCGGATCCTTCCTTCGTTGCCCGTGTTCCATGACGATCACCAGACGACGCGTTATCGATGTTGTCACAGTGCGACTGTTAGATTCACCACTGGGTTCTTGGTGGTGACGAGGTGCAGGGCAACTTGGTATGTCATTCACGTGTCCCGTTGATTCCAGAACAGTTGTTGGATATTCTGCTGCTTCTGCTAACCACCGTCTTTTTTTCGTCGTAGGAGGCTTTCGCTTTCGTTTTCCAAATGTATGAGTTGTCGAAAACTTCTTTTTGAACGAGCGAGATTCCATAACGGCGTGCATGCAACAAGTGTCAAAAAGCAGGCACGAAACGTGGTTTTCGATGCAGACGACCGCTGCAGCTCCTCCTCTATTGTCACAGCACCCAATGCGGAGCCTCCTTGCAGCGCGCCAGCCAATCGGAGGCTTTATTTCATAAAACGGCCCTCGGATTGCTCGTATAACCACGTGCTTTTCTTTGCTTTATGCGCGTTTCTTCTTTGCCGGTGACGTTTGGATTGTGTGAAAGCGGGAAGGCGAAGCGTCGACGTTTCGAAGGATACCAAGATGGCGGCGATCAGGTGGCGCGAGTGGTGAACACTTGCTTTGTGAACATCGGGTGTTTTTGTGCGATTTTGAGCCTCTTTCTCGCCAATCGCGCTGACAAACTTTTTTGGGGAGGGCATTTCAGGATGGTTTTCAGCCAAATCGGTTTGGTACGGCATAGAATAGGCACCGCAGATGCCGAAATGAGTGATTACCAAACGTCGATTTTTCTTTTTCGCGATATAATCCCCGTGTCCCCCCCTTAAGTTAAAAGTGCATAAGGTTGGTTAACTAGAAGTTATGTTTCAGCCGAGAGCCTGAAGGTTACTATAGTTTTTCAGTAAAATGGGGAATTTTTCATGTGCCCAAGAACTTGTTGTTGGGCTAGTTAGTAGAACATTTCAAAAAACTAATTTGAGTGCAAACACATCATACATTCACACACACACACACACCCAGGCGCGTCAAACATGCACAGCGCTGTGCGTGTTTGATGCTTGGATATATGTGTGCGTGAATGTGTGGTGTGTTTACACTCAAATGAGATTTTTTTTTCATGTGCCAAGACAGCTGTCAAACCACGCTATTGTTGCCACTGCCCGCTGGGCCACGGTTCGTGAAGCAGCCTTCTTGTTCAGAACGCGGGGGCATCGCATTGATCGCATCAGCTAACTAGGTTTTTCGTTGTGATGTGTCGAGTGCTTCAGTCGCTTTTGGGTTGAAGTCTGGTTAATTTAGAACAGCGTGACTAGACAATGGTGGAAAAGAACGCTCAAACACACACACAGCGCTTTGTGAACCTTGCCTGGGTTGGTCAAGGTTCTGTTCCTTCACGCACAGTTGCACTGCTCAAGCTCAGCATAATAAACCAACTAGACCACCAACGCACTGAGAGTTGATTCTGCACGTGTTTCCATGGCTGATTTTGAGTGTTGTGGGGGCAACGTCTGATAATGGCTACTCCCGGCCCCTACCGAATGCTTGACCTGGCAACGAAAGTTGAAAGTCTTGATTGACCAGGAAGGCACGGCCATGCAACATATTGCACGAAAGTACAGCGTTGTCTACTCGCTCTCAAATTTCCATACAGGTGAACTCCACGATGGTAGTTTTGGGGCCGCTCAGTGACTTTCGTTTTGGAAAATTCGTTGCCATGGGCAGCAGCGTCCATACATGTCATGCACCAATGAACTGAAAAATTGTGCAGATGGTTCGGCTAATGGACAACGACATAGAAACGAACCGCCGCCGGGGACTGTTGATTTCGCGGCGGTTCTTGCTCTTGCGCTGTGGTTTTTATGCTTTGTCCAAGAAGACAATGCTGAATAAGCACTATGACATGTAGTGCTTGGAAAACTTGCTAGCTGCAGCCAGGTGTGGCAAGAGAAGGTGACGGACTATTTTCTCTGAAAACTGTCAGGTTCGAAACAGTAACAGTGCAATTTCTTGTTGATTTTATTCAAGTAGAAGTTCGTTTAATTCGAAGTTTATTGCGGCTCTCGTGAACTTTGTATTGATGGGAGTCGACTGTATACACCGCAGAAGAAATAACAATCCGTATTTTTCACCTTTCTTTGCTGCCGTATACCATTTTAGTAGGAGGGCAGAGCTTTGCAGGGTGGCCTGGAACAACTGGGCTCTCCAAAAGCATTCGAGATTGGAGACCCAGCCGCAGTGTTTTGCGACTTCCCCTCCAGGGGATGGGTGTGACACCACCAGAAAAGCAGAATAAGATTTCTGCGTATTGCCATGAAGCCGTCTTCCTTGGGGTGCTGTGTTGCCAACTCGCTCACTAAACGCTCTACGTAGCTCAAGGTCTTAACAAACCAGAAGACTGATCCCTCGGACCCGGTTTTCCATGGTGAGGCACTGACTGTCATAAGTATCTTTAAAAATGGAATGCATGTCTACCCTTCGCTCAGTGGAAAATTCAAGAGAGCATAGGCCGCGATCTTACGACACATTCAAACTTACTCTTTTCGTAGCCCACACTGACTGCCGCTTAGTACAGGCGAATCGCTTACAGAAGGGGATAGCACGCCCACAAAGTGCTGCAAACATGCGCTAAACTGACCCTGTCCTTGTCCTGCACAGGTTTACGTTCCTGGTGCTGTGCGCACTGCGCTTCATGCGGCGCATTGTGGGCCTGAAGGACGAGTTCTACAACCGCTACATCATCAACGGGAACCTCTTCGGGCCTGTGGTTGACGCCTTCCGCCAAAACAATGGTCGCTACAACCTCCTGGACTCGGCCGTGCTCGAGCTGTTCGAGTTCATCCGAGTGGTGAGTGTAGATGGGGAAGTGTTCTGGCACATCCTGCATTGAACTATTCTTGGTTACAACCTAAGAAAAAATAGCAGCATTGCCCACAGAATGTGCGGCGCGCTTGCCCCTTTTTTACCTGTGAGAAACGGCCGTGCTAGCTGGTTCCCATTACAGTGAAATCTAGGTATAACGAACATCAGGGGACCACGGAAATTTGTTCGTTGTTATGAAAGGTCATTATAGTGAAAGCTCGAAAATTAACTATAAATACTTATTTTTCACTGACCAAAACGACTTGCCTTTACAGCTGTGGGTCCTTGAACTCAGTTTTAACGAGAAGAAAAACAAATGCACAAGTAAACGCCAAAAAAATGCTTGTTTGCTTCGAACAAGTCTTTTTTTTTTTTTTTAACACGAGCAGCACAAACTTTGCAGCGCGAAGTGCTCCAGCTCATCCACATTCCTGTGGTGCGATTCGGTTCTTTGGTCACAACAACCTGCTTTTTGCCTTCCAGTTGCCAAAAAATATTCATTTTCTTGCTTAGCGAAAACTGCTTCCGATTCTTTGTCGCAAGCAAAGATGAACTCATTTGTAGTATCACCGCAGCACGAACGCTGACTTGCTTTGCGGACGCGATAAGTAATCACCGAAAAGAGATGAACACGACTGAAAAAACAAGGCCTCCAAAGAAAAAACCCGAAGCGTCACAGCTGTCATCACCTCTTTCAAAGAAAAAAAAGGGGGGGGGGGGGGGCTAAAAAAGGATTTCTCGTGTTTCATTTTCTGCTCTCTCGCTGTCTTAGGTTTTCCGTGCCCATGCTTCCTGCTCCGCAACTTCCACTCTGTCTCGCTGACCTTGCCCTCCCTTGTAGCCCTCGCCCCTGTGCCCACTTGTAAACCTGCGGCATGGTCTTTCTCATCCAGTGGCCATGCCTGCAGCGTCGGCGTTTCAACATAAAAAAAAAAGAAAGACACGCTTTCGGTTTTTTTTTTCCTCCACTTCGTTGCGCGTCTTCCGAGAAGCAAGGCGTCCGTTCGCTGTGTCATGTGCTTGCGTACCGGTCTGGTGGTCGCGATGAATTTCAGAACATAAGTTCGTAGTACTGAGGCGTTGTTAATATAATGCACAACTAAATTAATGCTCGTTATTCTGAAAAGTTCGGTATTCTGAAGTACGTAGTAGTGAAATAATTTTACATTGAAACTATTAGCAGTTGGGGCGAGATTGTTTTATAAGTTCGTTAATCTGAAAAGTTTGTTAATGTGGGGTTCGTTCTACCGAGTTTTCACTGTACAGCTGTAAGTACTTTTTCTCTGTTAAAGTGGGCTTATGCAAGGCTCGTCATTTTTACTTAAAGCATTATGTTTAGCTCAGCCAGGATGCAAGTTTTCACGGCGAAATTTATCAGACCGTTCCAGTTTGCTGCTTAAAAGCAAGGACACAAAAATGTGTCTATGTGAGAGTCATTTATCTGAAACACAGTGGCAGTTATGAACCGTGAAAACTTGGCCAAGTTGGTGCGACATAATTGAACATAAGAACAGCTCGGACTAAGACTGATTAAAAATAACACTCGCATCGCTCTTTCGACAAAGATTTAACAGCTATTAAAATCCTTCTTGAAAGTCAGCTCTGGGTGTGCTATGTTTGTTAGTCCTTGTCTGGTGTGCTGTTCTTATACTCAATTATTCAAGGACAGGGAGACTTTGCAAACATGACTCGGGACCTATTGGATGAAGCACTCATGCGATTTCTCTGGGGGAGGGAAAGCATATGCTGTGGGAAGAGCTGACCTTTTTTTTTTAGGTCGTAACCGAGCATGGCACATCGCAGAAAGATGAAACCGTGCATTGATGCAGTGTGTGTTGAGTTCTCACTATGTTGAGAAGTTATCGCGATGATAATGACAAGACTGCATGTAGCTTGGGTGTGGTATTCCGTGAACAAAAAGCATAAGCTAGCTTCAGTTGCCCGCTCATCATTGTCGTGCAGGACGACGTGAAGTCCCTGTGCCTACACGTGGTAGAACGTTACGGCAAAGTCCTCGACAAGGTGGACTACGTTCAGACTTTCAAGTCTCTGCGGCTCCGCTATGAACAGCATCAAGAAAGGCTTCGTGAACGGGGGCCTTCCCTGGAAGGCAGCATCCTCCGTGGAGCGGGCGGTGGTGGCGGGGTCATGCCCGGAGCGGCCCTGAGTCCAGCTGTGGTGGGAGCGGGCGCCCTCGGGGCGGCAGCCCGGTTCCGGCGCGACCCACGGCAGCTTGAAGAGGACGAGGAGATGTGGTTCAACGAAGAGGAGGAAGAAGAAGAAGAGCTGGAAGGGCCCCCTGGAGCAGTGGCACCGGCCGACAGTTTCAGCCGTCGCCTGGATGCTGAGTTCGACCAGCTGGGAAAGATTCTCGACAAGAAAGGTAAATTTTTTGTTTGTTGTCAAGTCAGAAATATAAAAATAAATCGGCCCAAAGAATCTTGCAAAAAGCTAGTTGCTACATTGTGAGTGTTTTTAGTGCAAGCAAAACAGCAGAAAAACACATACCGTATTTACTCGATTCTACCACGCCCTCGATTGTAACGCGCACCTAGTTTCCATGACGGGGAAAAAAAAAAGACATCAATTGTAACTTGCCCCCGTTTTCCGCGACAGAAGAGGAAAGAAAAACAAAAAAAGTCCATAGGAGTCAACCTTCGGGCATTGAGAACAAAGGTTTTGATGCACTGAAGTTTCAAAAGATAAAACACAAAGTAAAACAGCCGGCCGTGCGGCTACAACTGTGACCACTACGGCGGCGTTACGAGTCGCGTCCTCGTCACTGTCGGACAACTCCTTATCGCTGTCAACGGCCCAAAGCATCTCATCCTCGGGACCATCCATGGCATTCGAGACGCCACATTTCTTGAATGCCTTGATGACCATGGCTGATGGTATTGCACATCACGCGTCCTTCACCCACGCAGCGAAGTCTTGCAGAGAGGCACGCTTCATCCTGTTGCCTGGCGTGAAATCATGTCGTCCATTGATCGGCCAGTCGGTGTAAAGCTCCCGAATTTCGTTTTACACCAACTTGTTCAGGCCACGACCTTCTCTGTGGTTCAGGCAGACATCTAGCGGTTGAAGTTGTGACCTCATGCCGCCAGGTATTACTACGAGGTCCGTATTGCACGCAGCGAGCTTGTCCTTGATCTGCTGGTCGAGATAGCACCTGAACGCGTCGAGCACGAGCATTGCTCGCAGGCCCAAATCGGCGCCAGGCCGCTTCCCCCAGACGTGATGGATCCAATGGGAGACCAGGTCCGTCGTCATCCAACCTTTCTCGTTGGCCTGCACGATCACACCACTCGGGAAACGACTCCTTTCGGAAGCGTCTTTCGCTTAAATATCAGGTACGGGGGAAGCTTGTGACCATCTGACGTGCAACAGAGCATTGCCGTCACTCTAGTTTTTTCGTGGCCCGATGTCAGCACGCGAACTTGCTTCTCCCCCCTTCTTCTCCACGGTTGTGGTGCCAGGCGTGTCAAAGTTAAGAGGCGTCTGATCGGCATTCCCGATTTGCCCAAGCAGGTAGCTGTTGTTGTTTTGCAAGTTTACGACGAACCTCTGAAAACTGTGAAGCTTTTCTTCGTACTTTTCCGGCAATTTTTGGCACATGCCCGTTCGCCTTCGGAGGGAAAAGCCTTTCCTCTTCATAAAGTTAGCTCAGCCAGCACCTGCTCGCTTTGAACTGGCTCCGCGTTAGCCCTTTTTCTAAAGCTAACTGCATAGTCCACACTTGGAGCAGTTCTGTCGTCACGGGTCACTGTGCCACTCGCTGCTCAAGCACATACTCAGCGAGCAGCTCTTCAATTTGCGGAAACCGACCCTGCTGTGGTCCACTGAAGCCTTTACGTGTAGCTTTGCTGTCGACAATCTTCTTTTGTTTCCGCCAGTCCTGCACGCACGTTTCGGGAACGCCGAACGGCCGCGCTGCGGCTCGATTTCTATCCGTTTCTGCGCACGCGATCACTTTTTTTTTAAAAGCGGTATTTGGTGCACTCGTCGAGTCTTTGGAGTCAGCCCTTCCATGCCTTCGATTCTAATCTACTACAAGATGACGAACTCCTCAGCACATGTACGAAGTGCCGCACATGCTAAACACAATGACAGAAATGGCTGACGCGCCATGCTGACGCAAGTAGTAGGGGAAATGCCGATGGCAATAAAATGATAGTTTTTTTTTTTTTTTTTGCACTCGATTCTAACGCGCATGCAATTTATGAACTCAGTTAAACTTAAGGCCACCGGGTCGCGCAGGCGGCCCGATTCAAAGGGTATAGCCCGATCGCCATCACTATCGCCCATGTGTGCCCGTGCTACCCGTGCTTGCTGCGGTCTTCTCGCATTGCCTTTGTTTCGTGTCGGTCGTTGCGCAGGTTATACGAGCGTGCAGCATAGTGCCTTTACACTTCCAGCATAGTGCCTTTACAGTTCGTCGCAGACTGCGATGAACTGAACACTGTCATGGAGACTGTTGGTGCCAGTGGAATCGCGTACAGTGACTACGCTTCTGTTGACGACGCCGTTGTCACCTCCGTGATGTTATCCGTCGACGACATCGTGGCTGAGTGCGCCGATCCGTGCGCCAGTGACGAGGAAGTTGAAGAGGAGGTGGAGCGGATACCGGAGCCAACGTCCTCATCGGCCATAGAGGCAATGGATTTATTCCGAAGATATGTGCGCACCAGTGACCATGGCGAGAGCCACATGGCACTACAGGTGCTTGAAAAATGCCTTGTGCTTGTCGTGCGCGAGAAGATGTGCCAGGCAACGCTGCATGATTTTTTCAAGTGAAAGAATTAAAATAAAACTATGTGCAGTTCACCACTACTCGTATTTCTCAATTTTTCGCGTTTCTCGGCTCTTGCGTTTGTGGCTCCTACGGTGTTTTTTTTTTTTTTTTTTTCCCGGTCCCGTGAAAAACGTATCAGCGGAGTTCTACTGTATTTTCCTTAACGCATGACCGAGAATTGTGACCTGCGACCTCTCTCTGCAGCACGCCACGTTACACAGCTTCATTAGGACGCTTACGTTCTTCAGCACACTAAAGCGAGCTATTTATGTAAACTATTTATTGCTGATGGTAAATGGTGCTCGTGCGTTTACCTTGTGAGAGGGCAAGTTTGTGTGTACTGTGCTTTCACCACAAAGCTTGCATTGAAGCTATAGATGACATTGCTCGCTGCAGCTGCTGTACAGTAAAACCCCGTTAAATTCGGACTTCCCAAGACCGGAGAGAATGTCCAAATTAACCGAGGGTACGAATTATCGCGAGTACGAACAAAACACTTGAAGAATGTCTCCTACACCACCAGACCTTTATTTCTTAAAGTCTGTGATCGCGGTTTGCTTCACGGACTCGATGTGCGACGAAGTCACAATTTTGCGAAGTTCCTGCAGGTGGCTTAGTCCACACACACTGTCCAAAAAAGCATGCATATGTCCCCCAAAACAGCCAACGCATGCACAGCCTCTGTCATAGTGTGGCGTGGATGCTCGTCAGCATTACTTATGTCCTCGTCAACCGATTCCCCTTCGCTGTCCTGAGACTTCGGCGACGATATCCCTGTCGGTCAACATCGCTGTCAATTGCGAAGTAATCGCCCACGGGCACATGAGCTAGCATGATGCTCACATAGCGGACGTCTTGCTCTTTGCCGGTTTCCTCATCAGCCACCACCCCCGGATCAGCAGCGTCGAGCACGAAGCCGCTATGCCTAAAGCAGTTTGCGACTCCTGCAAGCGGTGTGTTGTTCCATATGTATGTCAGCATGTGGGTTGCGCTTAGCAGGCTTACTTCGTACTGCTTGCCTGACTCCATGCAGAGCAACATCCGCTTGAGTACTTGCCGTCGATAGCGGCTTTTCACAAACTGCATGATTCCCTGGTCCATCGGCTGCAGGGAATTCGTTGTGTCCGGAGGCAGGAATAGCGATTCAATGTTCTCGAGCCCGGACACCTTCGTGTTTGCACTACAGTTGCCTAGCACGAACACCTTCCGAGCCTTGGCCACAAAGCGGCGGTTGAGCTGACACAGCCAGGCTTGAAAGAGTTCGGCAGTCATCCAAGCCTTTCTATCGAACCAGTAGTCGACAGGCAGCTTCTTAATATTCTTAAAACATCTTGGCTTCGCAGCCTTCCCGATCATCAGCAGCAAAAGCCGCTCTGTGCCGATCATGTTAGCAGCCAGAAGAACTGTCATGCGCTCTTTACTTCGTTTTCCACCGATGCACGGGTCCTCCTTAAACCCGATTGTCTTGTCAGGCACGGCTCGTATGTAGAAAGGCGTGCAGATAGTCTATACCACCAGTCCTGCACAACACTTTCGTCAACCGCACCTCTTCACCACACACGTTGCAGAACACCAGCTTGTGTCGCTTCTTGAAGTGGTCGAACCAGCCTTCCGACGCATTGAAGGAGTCAATGTTCACGGTCACCGCCATTTTCTCTGCTTCTGCGCAGATAAGGGGGCCGCTCAAGGGCAAACGCGCATGGCGCGAAATCACAATCCCGCGCAACAGCGCTTCTTCTAGCTCGGGATGCGCTGCCGTTTGAAGCCTCTTCTTTTGGTCTCCAAACATGTCCCCGTCATACCCTTGCATAATCTGCTCTTCGTTCTTCACGTAAGTGTTCAGCGTGCTTTTCTTCATATTGAACTTTTCCATCACTTCTTTTCGAGGTGCTCCCGCTTGCAACGCCTTCAATATTTTCTCCTTTGCTTCGTACTTTGCCCTCTTCGCTGCGGGAGTTGGGGCGATTGGGGCCGCAGGAGACGAAGGGGAAGCCATCACGGTGTCGCTTGCGCGGTGGTCATGCGCATGCGCACAAAGTCGACAACACAAACACACACAAAAAAAACGCACGGTGATAAAAATGAAATAAAAACCGGCGAACTTTCAAAAAACAGCAAACAGTAAGACTGCAGATGGCACTGATCACGTACATATAAATGATTTAAAGTGCACTAGAGGTGAGCAATTCAACGCAACCGCCACGCAAAAGTGTTCGACGCGCAAGAAAAAAGTAAAGGTGAATCCGTAGGTTGCCCGTTGCTGATGACAGTAGCGATCCACTGCCTTCTATCTTGGTTGTTTAAACCATCATGTGGTTTGGGGGGAAGAGGGTGCCTCTGAGATGTACTACCCATGGACGAAATTTTGAATCTCAGAGGCCGCAATCCGATGCCAAAGTTGTTTAGGTGCGCCGTGAATTTGGCCAGCAGAATCCGCTGCTGCTTCCTCGTCGTGACTCGACCGCGGTCGGGCGTTAATTAACCAAAGCGCGGCCGAAGTTCGAATTAATGAGAGTTTTCAGTCGTAGAATAATACATTTTGGACGGGACCAGATGTCGTGGCCAAATTACCCAAAGTTCCAAATGAACATGGGTTGAATTAACGAGATTTTACTGTATTTGAATAGGGAGAGAGTTGCTAGCTAGAAGAGCCACAGTAGGGGCTACTTGGTTGTGCATAGTCGATACATGCTGCGGGCTCCCGCTCACGCACAAAGAATTACAGCATAAGATGGCACCACACTGAAGTGTCTTATGTGCCTTCTTCTGTGCGGTGTTATCTCACTTTTAGTTATGGAAGCTAGAAACCAACTTGTCCAACATATTGCTTTGTGGAACAAAGAAGTGATAACTGTGACAACTGCTAGTATTCATTTCTCCTGTACATTGGCATTCTTTTTGTGTGTCGTTCTTTATCTTTGAGTTGAGCAGCGTGACGCTAGTGTAGAGCTGGCACAAATTTTAGTTCGTGCTCGTCCTGTGTATGTTCTTTTCATGCATCCTTTGTGCTTGAGCAGCCAGCTGCTAGTTTCAAGCTGTTTGCTGTTCTTTACGTGACATCCCTCTAGTGGCAATAATAATGAGTTCCAACAGGCCATCATGTCGAGGATTGTATAGAGGACGTTATTAGAATTAATTGTAATATAAGCGTGAAGAAAAAAAAGTGGATGAAACGATTACTTGCCGTGGGCAGGGGCCGAACCTGCGACCTTACTTTGTGATGTAAATGTGAAGACAGAAAATTGAACGAAAAGATAACTTGCCCTGGGCAGGGACCCAACCGGCGACCTTCGTGCTAGAAGGTCGCAGGTTCGGTCTTCTTTTCGTCCGTTTTTTTTTTTTTTTTTTCCTCGCATTTACATTACAATTAGTACTTGCAACAACGTCTCCTATACCTTTGTCAACATGATTGTGTGTTACAACTCATTTATATTGTGCCTAACAAGGAAAAACGAGCCCGGATGCACACTTATTTCCTTCTCCCTCTAGTTGCTATCACAATCATTGCTTTAGCCTCTCTCTCTCTCTTTTTTGCTAGAAATTTCTAGGGTGTGTGTAAACTGCAAGGCTTGTTTTCCGTAGCGGTAATATGGTTCACTTTTTTTCCTTTTTTTTTTTTTTTTTACTGGGATACCTTGTGGTGTCTATATGCAAGGGGAACAGAAAACAGAGCATGCCTCTTCTTTTTGTGTGCAGCACAAGAGAGAGAGGGCAAAGAGAATGTGCGCACCTTGAACCGGTCGGGGTCGCCCGTTCTGAACAACAGCGCTGGACGGCGGAGCCCCTCTAATCCAGCAGGACCTCTGAGCCCCACTACGGTGGTGGAGGTCAAATCTCCCACGGGACCCCTACAGCAGCGAAAGGTCAGTCCATATCTGTTCCCGTCTTTCACTTGAATCACTGTGCATGAGAGGTCTTGTTTGTGAAGTCTTTTTTTTTTTTTTTTTTTTTTTTTTTGCACATTGCTCTCTGTCGCCACCAAGTGTTGAGGCGCGTGTGTTCCCATCTCATGTTTGTGCGCTTGAAGTAACACCTGAGCACACACAAGGCAAGAATGCGAGATGAGCGCTACTGACAACTATCAAATGATAGTGTGAAAGAGGTTGTTTTGCAGAAATACCAGCGTTGATATCGGCGGCGTCGGCTGGTGGTGAAAAATTGCGATGGATGCAAACTAAAAATCGTGGGTCTGAGTCGAATCAAACCTGGTCCTTCTGAACAGAAAACAGGTGTTTTCCCCATGCTAGTGGTTGAAACTGATTCGGAAAGGAACCCTGTAAAGTCATGCCTGATTGACTCGTAGTATTGCATAGCATCACACTAAGCGTCACACCTTGTGGTTTTGCGCAATGTGTGTGTGGTTTAAAGGCCCACCAATTATGAAGCACTTGGGCCTAATTAATTAGCAGCAGCAGCAGCAACGAAATCAACAATGCTGCTGAATGTTCTGTCTAACAGACATATAGAGGTGCACTTGCAACTGTACTTTTGCTAGTCTTTCTAGGATAGCTTGAAATGGCCAATGTTATCCTCGCAGGTGAGGTTTCGATTGAAAAGTGAAACCAGGTTAGCTATTGAGAAGGGAGATTTGATTGGTGCACCGTTATGCTATGGCGTTCTACTCTCAAAAGTGAAGCTGTTGCATGAAAGTGCTACAGCTAGCAGTGTCTTAGGTAAATAGTATAGAAACTATAGATCTCTCGGGTGTTCTCGCAGGGTGGCCTCGTCGACTACCCCGACGAAGACTCCGACGAGGAAGAAGAAGAGGAGGACGACGACAGCTTGACCACGGGCGGTCTTCCTTCACCCAAGCGAGCACGGCTGTCATCTTAGCGCCCACCGATGGTGACCCGCCCCCAGACAGCGGTGCACGCATGCATGCATCTTCTCGTCCATCCATCCCTTCACCACGAAGCGCCCCCCCCCCATCCTGCTAAGCGGTAGCACGATCACCTTTCGACACAGCGAATGTCGCCATCGTCTTCATCACTTGGGGAGTAACAATGATGAGGCCGCAGGCCTTGCCCCCCATCATCAATGCTTGCTGCCCTGGGCGGACGCAAGAAACAGCGCAGCCGCGAGACGCTGCTTTAGCGGCTGACATGCCAGTCGTGACAACCACAAAAGTGACAGTTTGGCTACGCACGACATCCAGTTGTTTTTCCCCTCCCTCCCTTCGTTCAGTGTCCATGCAGCGACATCTTTCTATTTCTATAGACCTCGCACAGTGGAAGATGTGCTTCAAGGGGAGGAGAAGCGTGTGAAGGACAAATAGTAGTGCCACTATCTTATGTTGCGGCATTGTGCTGCTGCCTCTGCGTTTGAAGATCTCTTCTCCTGTCTCCCCCCCTTTTCTCTCCATCTTGTTTGTTTTGTTTTGTCCCCCCCCCCCCCCTTAATTCGTTTCGCCTCCGAGACGTTCGCATCACCGTCGTTGTTCTTTCTCGAGACCATTACCCAGCACCTGCCATCTGCATTCTACCTTCTCTGTACATAGTTATACATAAACAATAGTGATATATATGTGTACACATAAGCACCGTACATGCATACATATATATATGTGTGTATACATACACAAATTTATATATATATTATAAATATATATAAAGGGTGTGTATCAAAAAACATCAACTGAACCTTTAAGCTTGGGAAATTGTAAAAAAAAAATGCAACGACCGTAGTATGCGCTGGCAGCCTGGAACAAAGTGGTGAAATGAATGTTTGTAGCAATGAACTTTTTTTTCTTGAGTTCTCATGAAGGACACTGCGGCGTGAAGCCCACGCTCTGGGAAGTCACTGGTGATTCATCATCATTTTTCACACCATGCTGTATCGCGCGAGTCTCTCGGTTGTACCTCTCGCCTCCGTCCGGGATTTCGTTCCCGGGCAACTCGTCATCTAGCGTCGCCGTGTGCTTCAATTTTGCAACGTTTGCAACCTTGTGCAGTAGCGGTACCTTTCCTTAGTGTTTTTGTTTTTTCATAGCCTCTGCCGAGCTTCGTTAAATTAGTTCATCCTCATCTCGCCTTCTCCTCGTAGTTCATTTTGCGTAGACTGTCTCTCCCCCTCCCCTTGTTTCTCATACATTTATCTATTCATGGGTGCCTCACCGTGCCTAGTTGTATGTCTAGAATGCATTTCCTTTCTCCAAAACAAGAAAAACTGTAAAAAAAATTATAGCAAGCAAGCCTGCTTGCGTTTTTTTGTTTTGTTGATTTCCATCCCAAATCGGGATGGGGAATATGGAAATTGATTCTGTGGCTTTGATTTGCTTTCGAGGGAAGAATAAAATGTTCTGTCTTTGCCCAAAAGACCAGCTACAATCTCCCTCCCCTCCCCCCTTTCTCCCAAAGCAAAGAGAATGTTCAGGAAACAAGTGGTTTGCAAGAAGAATGAACAAGTTGTGCAGAGATGGCAAAAGCCGAGCTTCTAACCTCCTCGCGGGCGGGTCACGTGTGTCAAAGAACCGAAGCATGTGCGTCTTCTTCGTGGAGGAAAACAAGGGATCCAAAAAAAAAAAGGAAGTGAGAACTACAAGGTGTGGAAGAAGAAAGAAAAAGCCTCATCTCAGTGGTGTGTGCGCAAAGGGCCATAGTTCTCGCATTGCCAGTGCAAAACAATGTTTTCTTTTGCTTTTTTTATTTGCGACAGATTTGACTGCCAAGTGACTGCTGCGGCTGGCAATTCACTGACCAACATGACATTGGTTTTTTTTTTTTTTCCTCGTGCTCTCCCTCTTCATTTTTTTCCCCCAAGCCCATAAAGACGCCACTTCCTGCCATGCTGAGTCGGACAGAGAAGTCATGTCTCTGTAGAGTATATTCCTTCTTTGGTGTTGATTTTCTTTTTATTATAATAAAAACCAGTTGTTTCAGCTGTGCATCTAAAGCCCATAGTGTGTCACTCTATTGGCAAACCTTGCCTGGGGCAAAGGGCATTCTGTGCTGCAGGTGCAGAAATTCTGCAATTATAATCGTCATATCGCACTAGATAAGTGTCGAGTCCTAAGCTAAGCATTTCAGGCAACTGTAAGTCTAAATGTAGGCACACTATCATAACAATGATTTATAACATTTTTATAATGTATTGTTACAATGATTTGTGTTGCAGAAACTGCAAAGTGTCGAATAATTTTTAAAAAGTCTTCAGTGTGCTGTGAGATGAGATGACAAAAGCGTTGCACACAAAGTGTGCAAACAATTCCTTTGTGCATGGTGAGTCTCGACTTCCATTCTGCTGTGGGGATTCCCCTCTCATATGTTGCAGCAGCACAGTGGTGCATGCACACATGGGTACATTGGCATCAGTTCTTCTAGAAGAAGTTGCATGCTTTCTGGTCATGGTTTTCGTGGATGCCAGTCAGCTGTGCATTTTTGCCAACCTAGCCAAAAAAATGCTTTTGCGTTGAAAAAACATGGCTTCGTTGGCCTCTTCAACACCGTTTATCACAAACACGTACTATAGTAAAATCTGACGATTAGTTGTTGACTGTGATCAGTAAGCAAGCTTTTATATAGTACAGTATTTTATACAGTAAGCAAGATTTATATGCAACTGTGCATATACTGCAAAAGTGATCTTGTATTTAATTTTCTTAGAGCTTTATTTCAGGTTGGACACCAGTTTAACTGCCTCTTGACGTTTGCATGCATCGTACAGATCTTGCAGTATGTTTTAATGCCATACAATAAAAATCCGAAGTGCTTTGGATGTGGGAACAACAAACAATGCATGTTTATTATGCCTTTTTCTTGGGATACGCATTTAACAGTAAGCAACGCAATTGCTCATCGATGTTCAATACAATCTTCTAGGAAGGCTGCTTGCTTGCGCTCTGCAAAACGATGGTAATTCTGATTAAAAGCTCTTTGTCGCAAGAAAATTTGCAAGCCACTTGCAGTAATGTCGTAAGCTTCATCGCAAGCAGTACTTGAGAGATTTGGAGTTGCCACAGGCAAAGGCAGGACGAGGCCTCTATGAATCTGAAAAAAAAAAAAAAAATGAATGGCAAGTCCTTTACATACTAACAACAATGGAGATTTGTCAAATTCTTAGTAAACGCACTTGCCACTGTGAAATGGCAATGCTTGAAAACGAACAAAATACGACAGCTGATGTGAATGTCGCCTCCTGCAGTGTTTGTCTAAATTAACCCTTTCAGATGCCACCTACGAAGAACTGTCTGTAAATGTGTCACATTGCAACAACGTTACTTAGAGGCGCTCAATATTCTATTCCAACAATAATAATGAGATCATTCTTGAATTTAGGAGAGTTATCAGCAACTCATCCTGATGAAGTAATTAAATATCTCTACACCATGAAATCATAGATGCTTACTTTTTGCACAAATATAATGAAAATAGCAGGCTAGGAATATAATGCAGATTCATTTTTGGTTTCGTCCATTTTGAGCAAAAGAAAAAAAATGTTATTTTCGCATTGCTTGCACAGGAAGCAGCACGACTCGTCGAGCGTGGTAGTGCTCTCAGAAAAGTGATCATATGTATCAGTACACTGCACAATGAGGTTAAACGAAGACAAATTGATGATGTAGGAGGTTCAACTCATCCAATGTACGATATACCTTTTATTTTCTAGCCTCTATTTGGTGCAAATAGCAAGAACGAGTGGTGTACATTGCATCTCAAAGGGTTGGAAATGACTTTGCTCTCCCACACGTGAAAACACCGGCTCCATGGCACGCAAGGCTGCGTGTCTTGTGTGCTGTGGTTTCGCCTGCATTACGTCGAGCAATGACAGCCCAGGCCCCTAAAGTGAACCACGCTTATCATAATCAAGGCCCTCAAAGAAAAAGAAGACTTCTTGGTGCAAGTGCGCGCTCAATATGCTACTGATGGCTATGCTGTTCTGGCTTTGCCGACATAACGCCAAGTTACAACAGCATGTGATGACAGTATGTGACAGCCTAGCCCTTGAAATGCTCCGTACTAAATGGGGAGACTATGCAGGTGTGCATACCTATGACTTCGGCTTTGAGGCGGGCAGCCAGCGATTTGCGGAAGGCAAGGTTCCCCTGATCGGCCACATTTGGTGCCTCGAGCGTGACGGTGCCCCCGAGGGCAGCCCTGGCAGCTTGGCAGAGCGAGGGCGCTGCGGCTCGTCTCGCTCGAGCGAGCTGTTGAGCTGCTTCTCGCGCTCCACGCGTTTCAGCGCCACCAGCTTGTCACGCTGGTTGCGTAGGTATTCTCGGCGCTGGTTCACTTCCTCCGTAGTCGCTCGGTGCCGCCATGCCAGTTCGTCATCCTGAACAAAAGTTGGTGAAAAAGTTGACATGAAAAGAGCCACTAAGAATGTTAGGTGAAAGTTTGTACCAGTCTTGAGCGTGTACCAACAAAAAAAGTTACAGCATCACAGTTAATGTCACCTGAAGCAGAAAAGTGACCTCATTACTGTTAAAAGACTATACGAACTTGTTACAGTTTTAGTCTAATAGATTGAGTGCCGTCATTATTCTTACGAACTGCAAGAACAGCAATTACAGCGTCTAAATACAAATAACCCATTTTATTTTTATTTAGATTCAAGACATACATATTGCTTGTTTTGTGTGATAAATATTAACATTCTCTCTTTATTCATCTCTTTTTTTTTTGTCCTATTTCATTTATAATCTATAAAATATTGTTATATGTTAGACATGCATGTTAGTAGCTACAACAGCATAACATTGTCGATAATGCATATGAACTAACGCTGTAACAATCTCAACCAACTAGAATGAAAAAGCAACTACTACGATCAAAGGTGCCCTGAAAAAAAATTCACAGGTTACCGTTAACTAGTAGTTGTCCAAGAATAATTTGTACCTCCATGGCAGTATTTTGTTGCTCATATCCGCACTTCACCGCTCGGTTTTTCCTTGGGCACAGTTTCTTCGTTCTCGGCGGGAGGTTGTGGCGACTCCGCTAGGGACAACTTGAGAGCCTGCAGAGTTTAACACGTTGCAGCTTAGTTTTTGTCTACAGTGCTGGAAACTGTACCGTTGTGAGCGTGAATTGGGGTCTTGCAAGAGAAATCGCAGCGACAGGATTTCTGATGTAAGCATGTCGGCTTTCTGGCCCTAGGATCAATCTTTTCAATGACAGTTTCTGTTAAAAATTTACTAGTCTAAACATTGCATTATGTGAATGTTCTAGCTGCTTGAGCGACACCGCAAACTAGTATTGATGTGGAAAAAACATTCCAGTGCTTCTGCTTCAGTTTCATGTTCGATCATCTAGAGTCAAGTTGGTGAAGTATACAGAGAATAGCTTTTTAATATTTGGATGGTGACTATGCAATTTAAGAGCCTAACTAAGCAATGCAATAGGCTTTTCATAATTAAATTCTTTTAGAGTGTTAGTGCAGCACCAGTTTGTACCTTGTCCAAGAGTTCTTTCTCCTTGCTACTTTCTGCTTCAAGGCGCTGTTTTTCCAGAAGAGTGGCCTGAATGGCTTCCTGAATGAGCTTCTCTTCCATCGTCTCTTGTTCCTTCGCTGTTGCCTCTTCTTCCAGTGACTTCCTGCAAAATGACACCACTACTGTATACTCACCGCATGGGCATGTTCTTACTTTAAGATCCTGATCTGTAGTAGTAGTAGAAAAGGATCGTAAGCATGTCACTTCCCGTCCTAGGAAGGCGCCTGACCTGTCTGCAGTTATTAGGAAAATAATATATGGGAGAGGAAAGTTACAAAAAATGTGCAAAATAGATATGAGAGAACCAAATAGACATGGAACAAAACTGGAAATACTGAAGAAAAGTTGCTAGTGTGCTGCAATTTAGTGCACTTACAGTGGTACCTGATAGCACTACTAGGGATATCATTTATGGTACCAGTGAAAGTTCTCAGACTGCGGAGCCACAAATAAGCAATATTTTGTTGCAATTTAGTCATTTTACTGCTGAATTGTTGGTTCTTGCCAGGTAGAACAGATAGAACCTTTAATTTATATGTGGGATTGTCTATATACAGGACCCAAAAAAATGTTTTTCAATCCTGCCTCATGAACATTTTTTCTGGTTAGGTGTACATTTGTTAGTTCATTGTATTAAATGTGTTGCATGTGAGCAGTGAGAAAAAGCATAAGTAGCGTTTATTACCAAAATGTAGCACTGATCACGGCTGGCCACATCAAAGTTTTGAATGCAGTGTTTGTCGTTCATAAGAGAAATGTCAAACTTTTTGGCTTATTACATTGCAAAATCTTTGACATGTATACAGACATGTGAAATAATAAGAGAAGTACTTAGTGTCGTCGTCAAGTGGTCATCCAGCAAGAGCACTTGTACAGAGTCCCTGGTACAAGCTGCTTGCCACTCAAGCATAACTCAGTCCAGTCGACACTTTTACAAAGCTTAGCGAGATATATGCAATGGCTAGAAATAGCAGTTTCAATTAACAGATAAAAAAACCGCCAGGCCTGCACGGAACGCGTAGCACAGCAAAAGCTTGGAAGAGCGGCCTTTCAGAGCCTTTTCTAAACACTCGTTGGGTAACTGCTACAAGCGCACTTGTGGGATACCTGCTACACCATAAATAATTTTAATTTTTGTGCAGTAGGTCGACATTGGCTATGCTATTCTCTTATTCAGAGAAGTATGGTACCTGCTACACACTTGCAAGTGGTTTTGTGAAAATTTCCTATGCAGTGGCTCACGATGATGTAGAATTATGCCTGAAGTGGGTATGTGCCACAGTTAATAGGTGATCAAGAACAAGCTTTTTCAATGGGTTGGAGCATTTAGGCGAACCGCTTATTACGCAACTTGCATTGTGTGATGCCTGGTTGTTCCTTTGCTGTTACAAAATGCTTTATTACTCATACTGACACAATTTCTTTCCCGACATCAAGCCTGCCTAAGGCAAGTTTTTAATAGAGTTGCCCTGCATGCCAGGCTCTGGCATGCAGGGGACCCGGGTTCAAATCCCACTGTGTCCTTAGCGTTTTTATTTTTTCTTATTTTGTGCAATAGTGGTTAGGGATACCAGCGGCAGCGGGCAACTACAGCTCCGCATGCGACCTTCGTTACGATCTCAAAACAGCTTTTGCTGTAAAACAGTCAAGTCATACTTCATGACGTGAGCCATGAGAGCCTCCTCGTCATCTTTGCTGTTCTTCTCATCAGCCTTCTCAGCGTCTTCGGTCACACCCTGTGGTTCACCCTGGAATGAGTCTGGCAGGAGACCATATCGCTGAGCCATGATCTCTAGTGCCTGAAGCTGAAGATCAATGTTCTTCTGAGTCATCATACGCTTGAATATTTCATAATCATCTGCTGCCCAGACCTGCTCAAAGAGACCCTAAAAAGTAAAATGTACCCTGTTACGTGTCTTGCCACATACACACACACACACATATACTCAAACCTCGATATAACGAACCCCGATATAACGAATTATTGGTTATAACGAAGTATATGAAGAATAGCTCTGTCATAGATACAGTGCAGCAAATATATGTATATAACAAATTTTCAGATGTACCAAAGTATTTTCGTGGGAGGTGTGACTTAAAATGAGGTTCGAGTGTATATACATACATACACTATAATGAATACATGCATGCATAGCTACGTGGTGCTATCGCTGCTAAGCACACAACAAATTAACCTCATGAACAATATGCATACCTGATGAAATTTGGCAGCTATGCCCCTATTTGGTTTACCGCAGACTTTCTCAAACTGTTCAGGCGTTATCCCCATGTCTTCCATGTGACTTCCGAGCATAAAGTCAACCTGAAACATTTGAATACGCGTTTACCCCGGACGTTTTTCTGCGAGGCATGGAAGCTAACTACCACGAAGGTCACTTTTATCTCACCAGGTTCTTGTATTCGTTGTGTATCTTTCGGTATTCTTCGTTGTCGCATCCTGGTTCGAACACTGCAAATACGTGAAGGTGAAGGCATTTGCGACATATCGTATATACCAACATCGCCCGTGATAAGCGAGGATATAGCGGGAAATTGTGTATCAATCGCTTACCGATCGATTTCTGTTCGATGAAAGTTATGATCGGAATGTTCCACGCGGGACCGCGCAGGTAGCCGACCAGGGACTCGAAAACCCAGGACGTTTCGTCGTCGTCCGAAGACATCGCGCTTGCGGTGCGATAGAACTGGCACGCTGTGTGCAAACATTGTGTGTTGCTATGACAACTCATTTGCTCATGGCCGATCCACAGATGGCCACTTTTCTACATGTGCTAATCAATGGAACGGAGTGGTCGGAAAACTGCACGTAGCAGCAGCCGCTCCCAACAGTTTCCAGAGCTTTGTCGAATAATGCGCGCTCTAGAAAGTCAAGTACGTTATTGTCCACTTGAGCGCAAACCTGAAAACGATGCAAATGGTGTTGCCGACTTGGTAAAAAACAACTTTCAAATTGAAAATACCCCTAAAAGTAAACCGAAACCGAAACTTTGTATTTAAAAAAAGGCATGTAATAGTCGCGTATATGAAAGTAATAACAAAAACTTTTTTTTTTTCAATTATTGATACACGTTAGAAGTATTTTATTGGTTATGTAAATTACACAGTACAACGAGTAGTTTATTAGAGATCTCGATACGACAACTACTATGCACCACATTCAGCCCAACCAAGATGGCGGCGTCCTGTAGGCTCTTTTGCCAACCTTACTGCTTGAATTTTTCGATCACTTCGAACTATGCTCGGCTCGCCGTGTGCGCGCACCCCAACATAATCTGCAGCGATGACTCAAGGCGCGAGAAGCAACGCTGGCAAGAAATCTGCGGCCGCGAAGCCGGCATGCAACGGCAATGCCGTTCGGTCCTCGTCGAAACTCCCGTGCGAAAACGTCCGGGGCGAGCCCCTGGACTTTTGCGCCGTCAATTACGGCAAGAACTTAGTCCAGGAGTACATATTCCGGCACCAAGCCTTCAACACTAAGCGATGGCTCGTCTTGACGCCTCTATTTCTCGTCTGTTTTCTTCGCTGCGGTCTCCATACGAGGGTAAGTTGCAGTTCTACCCTTGATCCTAAACTGGCACTGTCTAAAAGCCCGCAAGGGCGTTGTATGATAGAGAAAAATGCGTCATTTATAGCGTTATTTTATTCGGAATGTTTTTATTGATGTTACTTGTGTTAGCATACACAAGGAGGTCCCAAAGTCGAAGACTGTATCGATACCTCCTGTTAAGGGCAGATTGTGGTAAAACATTGTGTCTGTGGCAACATAAGCAATAATCGTAAGTATGACGAGTGTGAAATGACGCACAGTTACCAGCATTTAAGCTACTGTTGCGCATCTTGTGTAACGCTTGGTTTCGATGTTAGCTCCTACTCAGCCTTGATTTGACCTAACTCGATGCGCCTGGTCTTCACCAGGGAGTCGACATCCTTGGCTTATCCCTAATCGTACTGTGTCTTCTCCTGGTTGTGAAACTTCGGCGGCGCGTCAAAGAGGGTAAGCTGCCGGCTTACTTGAACCCTTGTCGCGAGAGACAGATGCGTTCGTACCGGTTCAATGCATCGTCGTTCTCGCAGAGTCGCTCCTGGTTATGAGGTCCTTGGGTCTACAGACCACGACGACATTCGTAACCGGGAGGCAGGAGTCGAGGTTCATCAACAAGGAAAGCATTGAAGACGTCGTGATTTCGGAAGCAATATCCATGGTAACTATAACGTTCCATGACGCCGTCTTGGAAGGCTACGCCTGTTCACATTAGAGCGCTTTCTGCGCGAGCGTTTGGCTGGAGAAGGTTCCTTTCTCTATGCTGCTGTGCATTTGGATCACACTGGTTTAGGGCGACCACGTAGCCGCTTCAGCCCTCAGATTTTGCTAAAGTATACAAAGGACAATGGCGTACGTTTACATATTTATTTATCAGTATCTTACTTAGCGCTTGTGTGAGGGGATAGAGAAGGGGGGGGGGGAGCAGTAGAGCAAAAGCATATACAAATAAACGTACAAATTACATCTTGACAAGGTAACCCATCAACTTAATGCAGAAGATAAAATTGAACTCAAACATAAGATATATAGAAAGCAAGCAAATATTGTGTGAATAATATTATGTAAAATGGAATGTAAAACCAAATATTTAAGCAGGAACAGTGCAACAGACAATGAAAGAATCACGAAATATTGTCTTTCACAAAGAAAAAAAAAGAAAACATGAAAAAACAGTAAGAGAGGAAGTAAACTTATTACTAACAGTACTATAAGCACAAATAAGGTGAGAAATGCCAAACATCAAATTCTGGTGCATAAGTATTGTTCTAAGATTTTCTTAGGTGATACCAAAGATGTTCTTACCACACACTGGGAGTTTGTGCTACAATTTAAGCGTAAACAGAAGCTTGTTGCCCATGAAAAATAGCACCTGCGGACGGAGCCAGCATCCAGAGATTGCACATATCCACTTTAGACGAGTGTTATTCAAACTTTACTGTGATATCACGCAGGAAGCAGGTGGTCAAGTTCTGTAGGTGTATCTACTGAATGCCAGTTCCACAACTGTGTTACTGTTTGTGTGTGTTCCAGATTGTATACATGGATAAGATGGAAAAGTAGCTCTTTTTTGTGAACACTTTTTCTGAGCCATCATGTAAATATTTAACTGCACCTAAATCTCGATATAAGAAATATCAGTTATAACGAAGTAAATGAAAAATAGTCTTTCAATAGGTATAGTATTCGAAATAAACCTTTATAATAAATTTTAGGGCATAACGAACTTCATTTCATCCAAGGTGCAACTTTGTAATAATGAGGTTTGAGTTTACTACATCTTTTCTGCCACATCCCCTGCCAAATGCCAGCTGAATCTCACTAACTCTCTCGAAATCACTTGCAATCATTCAGAGAACCGATTGTGGTATCTTAGCGGCCGAGTTGTTGCAGCTGGGATAAGCTAGAGAGGGCTCGTTCTACTCGAAGTTACAGCGGCCACATTTGGATGGGGACAAAATACGATAACAGCCATGTTCTCAAATTTGGCCAAGAAACCAATCTGGTTAAAATTAGCCCTTGAGCCCCCTACTCGTGCAAGCCTCATAACATAATGTTACGGGGTAGTTGGCTTTGGCGCGTTACACCCCAGATTATAATTTTTAGGGGTGAAGCTTCTTAAGGAGTGGGCTCTGCGTCCCCTGTATGTAGCCACCCTTCATTTAGTTCTTGTAGTGTTCACTAGATGGCGTTACCATTCCCTTTATGTAGCCACCTCTTATTTAGTTTTTGCAGTGTTCACTAGATTGCGGTACTTGTAGCTGATGATGAAAAGATGCAAGATGTTATAAACTAGACGGCGGTATTTGTAGTTGATCATGAAAGATGTTATACTTTCATGTTCTGATCATGAAAGATGTTAGACTTGTAGTTGATCATGAGATGTTATAAAACAGGAATGATGTCACATATGGCGCGTGTCATTGGTAGAAAGCAGTCGTTTGATTTAGTGTGGCGAGGTATGCTAGAGGGAGCATTGTAATAAAATCGAGTGGGCAAAATGTATGGAGGATTCATGGTTTACCAGGTTTAGCTCCGGAGCTTCGCCCACTCATCATCATTCACTTCGTGGATATGGCGGCACTTTTTAAGTGCTGGAAAGCATCATACACTATGGTAAAATAGGAACCACATTGCATGGGTAAATGTTTTATAGCATACACCTTCTCGTATCACAGTACTCTGTAGTGTTTCAGCAATAGTCACTCAAATGTGCTGTGGAATTTAATGTAAACCATGTCTTTTTTTTTCGTTGACTGACTAAGCGGTCTGTGAACCTCACGCTTTGCGATATTATTGCCGATAAACACCAAAGTGGTAGAAAAACGCATGTCTGCGCAGAGAGTTCTCAATAATTTTACCGGAGTCTAGTAGAACCTGTTCTCGTTTGTGTAGTACTTAACGAAGGCAGCTTGCTGATTCATTGCTCTTCCATCCATACAGCACAGTGTCATCTTTTACCTGGTCATATTGCTGCACAACGTAGATTCCAAGGTTCCCAGCTTGGTGCCTTTATTTCAAGTGAGTCCCGAGATATTGCTCACAAAATGATCTCTGCCACATTATGTCTGTATTACAAGCCACATGTATCTGTATGCATGTACATTTGGCATCATAAGTTTAGAGACCATTAAGTCTAGGAAAATTTTGAATGTCTCAGTAATTTATGACTGTGTTTCGTCGAGCTGCCCAGTACATGTTGTCAGCATGTGTTAGAAGAGGCCACGAATCTAAATTCAGGGCTGTCAGCCAAGGCAGTGGGAATACTCAGTTTTTTTTGTTTTGTCTCATGGTCTGTAATTTTTTATGCTGACTGTGCATACAAGCAGCATGAACAGTATAATCCTGAGAGACCGGACTGACAAAGTTAATTGGCGACTGTCAAAAACATAATTATTGGAAGACCTAGCACATTACTTTTGGGCCTTTCTTTATGAATCACAGTGGCCTAAGGTTAAACATAAAGCTAGAGAATTATCACTGACATTAGGTTCAGAGTCTGATGAGATATGGGTAATTGTCAAGTGTGAACGGATAAATACGGCTATCTCTGTCCACTTACCAAGTTCAAAATCCAAGTTCATCTCAAACAATTGCCCTGTAGGAACTCCTTATCAATAAACTACACTAGAGCCTCTGTATAACAAGGAAACTGTACGCTGATGTGAAATGGTGTCTCGTCTGTAAACTAAATAAATAAGTGCAATTGCTTATGATTTTTATTTCTGCTACGATTTGGTATATAGTTTGGAAAGAAACTTTTGTTTGAATCCAGTCCTATAATGTGCTTTTTTCAACTATGCAAATCATCAGGCATGTGCAAACGTTGCTGTAATGGTTTAAAATTAATGGTAGTAAGTAGTAAATAACTTTGAAGCAAATACTAGTAACAGGCCTTGAAATGGAGCAACAGGACTTGTTCAAGCTAAAGCAGTAAAATATTTTACCTTCAAGATTTTTACCAGACTTAACTCACCCAAGCTAGTATAGCACTCTGTTAAACTTCAACAAAGAAATAATAATCGGGGTGCAGATAATATCCACATTTAACCATGAAGTGGTGATTAACAGTTGTGCAGATTTTCCCAAAAGAGACAGTTTCACTGCACAGCAAAACACTGCAGGAAAACAACCTGTTCAGGAGAAATCCACGCTGCCACAAAGCCACACTTCACAGTTAAATGTACACATTACCTGCACCCCGATTAACATTTTTAAAAAGTTTAGAAGCATGTTATACGATACGAGCTTATAGAGGTTAAATTCGGCAAAATTTTATACTTGACATATTTTTTTCACTTATGGCTCACAGCTGTTTTTACTGCTAAAATTCTGCTATCAATTGAATTTGCTTGGAAATTATTCGAACTTTTATTTGGTTTGCCTTGAATCAGAACAGTGACATTTGCTCAAGCTTAGGTATCACAGAAAACCGGAAAAAGCTCTTCTATCTCTTCAACATCCTCAACTTTGCATGCCCACCCGTCATGGTGGTTAGGGGCAATGGTGATAAACTGTTCGCCCGAAAAGTCGCGGTATGAAATTTCGGCCTCTGTGGCCACATTTTTATGGACACCAAATGCTGTAGTCTTTTATGCTTTGATTTAAGTGCACTTTTAAGAACGCCAGCTGGTTGAAATCTCCGGAGCCCTCCACTATGGCCCTCTCGTATTGCAGTGTCGGGGCATAAAATCTCGACAGTTATGTTGTTATTGTTTTGCACACCTACAGAACACCATGCCGAGGCTGGACGCTCTGAAGATGGTTTACCGTGGCATCCACGACACCTCTTGGAGTCTGCAGCAGTGAAGCCATGCACGTGGGCAGTAACTAGAACTGCCACCATCACCGTAATTTTTTGTTGTTGTTAATGACTCGCCGTTGACCAAGTCTGTCGGTGTCTTACAACCACTTGCCATACTGACTTACATGGTGATTGTTTTTACCATTTTTGGGCAGCACTGTTCATTGTGGACATCCTAGATGCCCCTCATGATCAGTGACATCCCATCCTTATTATTTACTTATTTATAAAAAAAAGCCTACCCTTTTAGAGTTGTGAACTTGCCAAGTTTTTAGTCTAGCTGTTTATGTAGTCAACTAGAGATGTTTGCAGGCATTTTCTGTCTGAAAGAAAACTTCAACTACATATCTCCTGCGTGTGTATGCTTAAACCTTGTCATGGAAGAGCTGCCTCAGCTTGCCATTTAAAATGTACAAAGTTTTAATAATTGCTCATAGCTATAAAAACCTTTAACATTACGAGACTCTGCAACACTGATTATGTGGGTAAAAAAATGCTTCCAATTGAGGCTCCATTGAATATCTTGGCCATATACTCTTGCACTGGGAGTTTAAAATGTGTCATCAAAAACAGTAAAAAAAAAAACGCTTGTGCTTGCCTCAACCACATTGTCGTAGCTACGCAGCACGGAGTGCAAACAGGTGCGACAGGTGCAGGGTAATTTTAAACATGAATACTGACATTGTAGGGCCTTTCAACGGTACCTTAGGAAGGTGTTGCAGGACCTTTTTTTATACTAATACTAATATCAAGTTTTGTGCTTTGTAACTCGGTGCATATCATGCGCCATGCTGTCGTATTATTGACTGCGATACATTTTATTTTCTTTATACATCTGTATATGTATATAACATGTTTGTTAACCAAGGAGTTTCAATGCACAAATGCATTGTTTCACGTGACAGAGACATTTGTGACTGTGTAGTCTTTGATGATTATGATGTCTCATCGCACATGATGTACCACTTTCAATGTCACAGCTTTTGCATTCGCATTCTCTGCACTGCCAAAGGAAAGCAGGCTGTCGTAGCATGTCATTTGATGCAGCAAGATGTCATTTGAAGTACTCGGCACTCTTTAAACGGCCTTATTGTGGATTCCAATGGTAGATTCGGAGTGGCCGACGAACTCTGTGCTGGAGAGGCAACCAAAGGAAATCTGCCACTGGAACACAGGCACACCCGCCAGAGCAAATGGAAGGGGGCGCTAGCGCACATCCACTTCTGGAAGGGCCTGCCATTTCTCGCCTTTGTGGGCACGTGCAGCAAAAATGGGTGTGCTCGGGTAGCGCATTACATAAGCGACGTAGTATGCCACGCTCCGCGCGCGTGCAGGGTGCTCGCGACTTTCTGTCAAATTCGCCGCTCTTCACAGGGTAATGAGAGCTGCTCAGTGGAGGGGATCTGGCGGCAAAGATTCTCCAGATCTGCTAATGAAACATACAGGGATCACTCTCATTCGGTCTAATGAACAGACTTGCTCTGCGTGGAGCAGAAAAACTGCTATTGGAAGCGCTCTGAACCTGCCAATAAATTCACTGTTAGTGCAACTTAAAAGTAGTAAGTAGCTGGACTGGGTACAAAATGTGAAAGCACTCATGTGATGTACAACCTCATTGGTACGGTCCAATTTCGTACAAATTCTCGGTGCAAATATGTGATATTTCATTATCAAGTGAAACTGGGTGACGTTTTCCAAGAGTTTGTGTTTTATCTTTCTCCAGATAGTCCACTTCTTTCTGTCTCTTTTTTTTATTTTTCAAGTGATACATCTATCGATCGCAAATTTCAGTGGACAGTGTCATACACGAAAAACCCAGCGCTGACCAGCATACAGAAATTCGGCGCTCGAGGGTATGTCGGTTGCAATCGCATATTTGCAAACACCTTTTTCTAATAATCGATGCTCCCTCGATTGTGGGCTTGTCAGCTATCAGCCGTTTCCGATAAGGCAATCTGATGTGTTATTGAGGTCGCTTATCATTTTGCATTTCCCAATTTCATTTTGCCTGAGTGTGAATGCACAGCCATCATTGTTGCCCATAGCAGCAAAAGTGTTGTGCTCCCTAAGCACGTGGGTTTCAAGTCCAGTTCCCAGCATGGAGGAAGGAAACAGTTATAAGAGAGCATTGTATGATTCAATAAAAAGAAGTTGCAGCGTGTGAGGCAAGCAAAGCGCATGAGGCATGCAGACGCAGAGCTTCGCTTGCCCCGCTATGCTCGATTGGGCAAGGGTGTCCGAATATTTTTGTTTTTCAAGAGCGCATGTACAAGGTATTACTGCACATTACCCACAGATTCAAAAGCGTCATCAATCTTTTCAGTAAATGATTGGTATGCACCATTTCTCGACATAACTACCTCTTGCAGCGATGAGTCTGGTCTCTGAAGAAAATGTTGGCTTTTATCTATGCATTCAAGTCTAAATTACGCCGATATGACCCAATTGTAGACAGTGGGAACGAAAATATGTACGTTGCGTAGCCCTAAATTTTCCTGTTTCAATCCGTCGGCACCGTACATCGTTTTAAGGGAACACTAAAGATGCTGCCGAAGTGTGTAGACAATGTCAGCAGGGGTGTCTGGACGTATTTTGTTTTTAGATTTGAGGTTTCTTTATAAACATCACAGAATTTTCAAATGATGATTCAAGGAAGAGGCTGGTTTCAATGTTTTTATATGCCAACTTACTTTTGCTGACATTACTGTAATTTTCAAACTTAAGAACTGACTGCAACAAAATTTCACTTTGGTGAAGCTACACGTCTTTATTGTGCCCATAAAGAGCTTGCATTCAACACAGTTTAATATATTCAAAGAAGGACAGCATGAGAATGTTATACATTTGAAAAAAAGAAAGCACATTAGAAATGTGTTGTGTTAATGTTAATGAAATAATATTGGCAAAGCATCAAGACTGATTCATCTGATTAATTTGTTGGCAGCCTTTGTATGTCTCATGAGCATTCAACACACACAGCTTTATGCCCGTAGACAGGAGATTGGCCTAGGGCCTGCCCCCTTCCCGGAAAGAAATGCTGGCTACAGGCCTGCGCAGCTTGGTGTAATCGATTATGACATGGACTTAAATTCCGGCCTACAGAATTCGCTGCAGACAGCAAAAGTTTTTGCCTCATTCTGGTTGATGCATTACTTTTAGGGAGTAATACCAGAATTTCATGAGTGTTTTATTCATCGTCATCCTAGCCTTGTGAAGCGTTGGAGTGCTTCCATTTAGAGATTATGCATTTATCTAGCGGGCCAATCCGGTGATAATGCATTACTGAAATGGCAAGTAGACTGCAACAGAGGCACGGCAAGAGGTTTCATTTGTCGGCAGTGCAGTTAGTATGCCCATTTGTTTAGTGCGAAAAGAAAGCGGGATGCCACATTTACCGCACCATGTGACTGTACGTGGTGCGAGAGCATATCCTTGTGACGACCAACCCCCAATTTTAAAAGAAGGGTCGATGACGGTAGGCGTTATTTCTGTAAGATGGCGTAACTTGGCATATGCTTGTGTACATATTTTACCAGGTTGTTACTTCCGAACCAGTGCTCAGTATTTTAATTTATTGTATCACTTGAAAGCTTACCATTGTGTTGTGAAATGTTGTGCCCCAGCTGCCTACTCGTTGAATTCCTAGTCTTGGTTGCGTGATGTGAATAAGGAGAAAACGAAAGTCGTGTTTGATGCATTTTTTTTAATTGCAAACTTTGCATAACTGGCTGACCCTTGTCTGTCCAACAAAGTGTTGCTACTTGTCACACTATCCACTTGGACATTTTGCTGAAAACTGTCACGACACCCCTGAAAAAGAAAAAAAAAAGAAAAGAAAGGAAACTCTATTGCGCAAATATATCGAAAAGGCTTGTGCTTAAAAAGTGCACTTACACAGACATAGCGATGAATAGATAATATTGTGGACTCGAGAACTATGAGAGAGCAATGTTTTATTTATGGCCTGTATATGGCACCTTGTTAATCCAATAACGTATACTTGCACTCTTTCGCTCGTTATGTTCATGCCTTGTGTAGCGTTCACGTCTAGCCCACGAGGTTGTTTTAAGCGGAACCTCAACATTGTCATTTTGTTTTCCTACAAAATTTTCTGTGCACAGTGGCTGGTAGTGTTTCAGCACAGCGAAATACACTGGGTTGTTGATCCACTAGTGTGTGCAACATTTTACTACCCCCCTCCCCCTGTGCTCTGATTGGTTGAGTCCTAAAGAAAAAGAAAAAAAAAAAAAGCTCTGCAAGGAGTACAAGCAATAGCATGCTTTTCACAACTGGCCTCCCTTTGGACCCCGGGCAGTGAAGGTGGAACCTGCACAGTTTTTGGAATGGAACATCACGGGTTCTGTGCCGCCATTATTGCAAAAAGCTATCTACTTGAAACTTTGGCTTGACTATGCCACCTAAGCAAAAAGCAGATGTGGCACCCCTTTTAGTTAATTACAAAATAAGGGAGGGGGCTCTTTCCATAACAGAATAAATAATCTGTTATCAAAAGACCACCTTTTGTCGGTCTCGCATTATAAATCAGCTGGAAAGGGTTACTGGGCATCTGAACTGACTTTTTGTTGTATTTTTTTTTTCAACTCTGGAAGATTTCGTCTTGTAATTTTGCTGTAGCTCTTATGATGAGATACACCCAAACCTCTATATAACGAACACAGATACATATAACAAAATATCAGTTATAGTGAAGTAAACGAAGAATGGCTTTGCAATAGATAGTGTGCTAGGAATAACTTTTATAACAAATTTTCGGATATAAGGAACTTATTTTTTTGCAAAGTGTAACTTTGTTATAATGAGATTTGAGTGTAGTTAATATAGTCATGTCAGTCTACTTTTGTTCCGACTATGCCATTTAAATCTAGGTTGGATTACTTAGCCAGGATTATTGCATTCATTCTGACATTTTTACATTTTTTATATGACTTATTTTTGGCACTCATTTGTATGTGTCATTTGAAAAGAACTGAAATTGATGAAATGAAAGCTCAATTTGTATTGTAACTCACGCCCATGCAACAGTGTAGACCGGAGTGACCTTTGCTCTGCTTGAACATGCTGCGTCATAGCGCTGCTTCAGAAAGTGTTTTCAAGAGAGTGCTCCATTACACAAAATATGCACTTGACTACTGAAGTGCTGGTGAGTGTGTTTTATTATTGTCCACAAATTGTGGATTTCCAATCAGTTGGCCTGCCCCGTAGTTTGTCAGACCTTCCGGTGAATTACGAATTTACACTTATGGTCTCAGGTTTTATGTCAACTAGGACCACGTGTATGATGAGTATTATTACTTGTGATGCCGTTTTGTATTCTTATCTTGCTTTCAGCTGCAAAATAGAATAGTAAATTGTGAACTTTGTCGGTACCTGACCAAATGTTGATTGTAGATATCTATTAAACGTCGTTCCAATCGAGACTTGCCACTGTGGCTGTGCTTTTATATTACTCTATGTGCATTCAGAATTTAACGTGAGTAGTGTGCAGCCACTGAAAATTTTATAACAGAGTTTCAAGCCTATATAAGCATGGGAATTTATAAGAAGACTGCTTTGCAGTGTTTGTTTTACTGAATGAATCACCTTTTCAGGCTTTGAAACAGCCCAGTGCTTGGTGCCGGTTCGCTGCTCTGGCCAAACTGAATGGCTCGCGGTTCACGGACTTCGAAGGACACGTCGTTGTTGAGGAAAACAATAGCACTGTCGTCGTTCTGGGCTTCTGGGATATGTGCGTAGTACTGAAGCGTTCGGTAGATCATGTCAGGTACGAAGTACTGCCTCACAACAAGATCCTGTCTGGCATCTTTAGGCTTCTGAAAAAAGAAAAAAAGAAATGGTGGGCGAATTGCACTAAAAGAGGAAGGCTGAGTAAGAGCAGAGCTGGTGGTCTCCTAGCTAGACCCGGCTTGGCACAGTCAGGTTTAATTAGCATAATTAGGCCGCATGAAACGTGAGTATCTCGGGTGTACTTGGTTCTACAACACACAACTTAATCAGGTTTAGTCTTTGACATCATTGAGTGTAGTTAGGCTTACATAGGCTCTACTCGGTAGTAGTACCTTCATGAGCTTGGCTTCACTAGCCTCATTGGAAATTCGTCTTGGAATGCGTGCTTTCTGATTAAGATAATTTTCTGGTGACAGAAGTGGCATAACGAAAAGCTTTAAAAAATGTGCGTGCATGTTATCATTGCACTAATCCCAGATTTGGTAAAAGGTGCCGTGGGTTTACCACGTAACGCAGGCAGTCTTGTACTGAGAATGGCAGCGCTCGCTCCAGGTCGCGCCTGTATTGTCTGCGAGCCACAGCGTGAGAAGCTGGAGTTCCCCTGTAATGGTACATCGCAGGCAGCCTGATCTTGCGTTTCTCTCTACGTGATGACCATTTTTGTTTCACTGGCACCAAGGGAGCCTCGTCAGATGAGCTATCTGCGAAAGCACAAATGAAGGGGGGGGGGAAAGCGATTGACCAACCACGAATATGAAAGGGAAAAAAAATCGTCGATGAAGTTTACCACCTTCGTCGTAGTGGCGACGGCGGCTGACGTTGGCTGAGCGCGCGACGATATTGTTTTTCCGGACGCGCACGTAGAAGTGGTAGCGGTACAATTCGTACATTGTGCCGTCCTTCTCGAAAACCAGTTCACCGCTGTAGTTCCATTTACGATATTCTGCGTTGATTGCGTACAGGTTAGAGCCTTGAGCAACCCAAGTAAAGCTGGACAAATGTAACGCTTCAAAGGAAAGGATACCTATGTCGGCGGTAAACTCGTGGTTGGAAAGATTCGGAGGGTACTCGTCCTCGCTCACAGCCGTTAACATTGTGGTGATAAGGTCCTGTGAAGGGAAATAAGTGTCAGTAAATTATGCGGGCGAAGGGTATGGGCGAATATAGAGACAACCCGTTCGTGGTTTAGAACGTCGACGCTGCCGGGTGGCCTATGAGCGGAGAAAGAAAAAAAAAATGTGGTTAGAGCAATGCGTTTTAGTAAGTGTATAGACGGCAAAATGACGCGGTTGTCGTCAGAATCTCACCATGTGAGTTTGAACTTGTAAACGACCTGGTCGTGCCAACACAGCTTGTATTGAGCGGCCATGTTTCGCCGGTTTCGCTTCTGGATCAGCGTCGTCTGCTCGATTCATTAGCCAACCAGAGCAGAATAGTCATCGAAAAGCCAACCGGAGCCGAAGCAAAGCCAACGTGCTGGTTGCAGGATTGCAGTTCAGCGCGAAACTGGCGGAAACTGTGGTAAAATGCCTCGCTTTTTGAAACACAGCAAAGTGTTTGACGACTCCAAGGGTCGCTTTTTTCTCGTTCTGTTAACGGAGGAAGGTGACGCGAGGCTGTCCAAGCTGAAACCTGTTCATTACGGATGGTAACGGCGTTTGGAAAGCGACGACAAGCTTCGAGGAGTCTTGCGGATCGCTGAATTCCCGTCGCGAAGAAAACGTGAAGCATTTAATGTAAGTGCTCGATCGAAACGGTAACAAAAGCTGAAATAAAGGGCTCTTTGTAACGGATGACTCGTAGCACTTGACACGCTGCTCATTGATGGCCTTTTTACAGAAGGCGCGTCGGCAACTGCAGACTCGAATCTTGCGACGACGCGGATGAACTGTCAGTCACGCTCGTGCCTCCCGGGAAGACCTACGAGCTCAAGTTTAAGAAAGCCACCGGTATGAGTGCTGCGATAGAACGTCTGGACCTTCTAGTAGCCGTAGCCGACGCCGGAGATCTCAAAACGCTGGTGGATTCTGTCGATAATGATGCAATGTTGTTCGCTCCAGCTAAAAGGAGCAAGTCTCGCAAGGAAGCTGCGCCGGTGGAGAAGGAAGGCATGAGCCTGTTAAACCCCAGAAGTAGGAAAATCCCGACCAAGAGGGGTATCGATTTTGACTGACTGATACAAAAGTGTAAAAACTGTGTGTATATTTTAGCTCATTGGTTGAGAGGGGGGGTCCTTAAGCGCATGATTATTTTACTTGCGTGCTCTTAATTGGTCACATATAGCATGCTGCGTCGCCGATTATATGCCAGTTCTATGACCATATGTCACCCACGGCTCTATTGCGTGTTCAATTTCACTTACCGTTGCTTAAAGGTGAGTTGAGTTGAGGTGAGCCACTGCGTGTATTGGAAGAAAAATGTTTTGCTGGTTGGTGCTTGTTTACGGGAACAATGCAATGAGGATGCACACGAGATTCGAGTGAACTTCTGAGAACATGACGGGCACATTACACCTAAAATATGAATAAATAATATATAAATCGTGTCTCATGCTGTGTGTGTAGGGCACTAACTGTGGTCATGCAACCTGGGTTCTAAGTGTGCCTTGTTTTTATAGCCTTTTAGGGGCATCTGAGCATTGTGGAAAACCACAATCGACCATCTAGTGCTGCTCAAAGTAGTATTGTATGTGCTTGCTATTTGTGTCTCTTTTTGTTTTACATTGCAGAATTAAGCACTGTACTTATTATCTCTTAAAGCTGTTCTTGTGGTTTCTTCATTCCAATGTGGTACAAGACTCAGGCCTGCCATGAGTATTTGTGTATGGCAGTGGCTCGGTTCGAATCAAGTACGTACCCCACTTCATGCAAGTTGTAAAAAAAAAAAAAACATGGAAAGCCCTCATAGAACTTTGAATTACAAACCTCAAATTTGCGCGAGGCCTCCAGTCGTGTGTCGTAATGTCTGGAGCTCTCTTGTAAATAAATACATCATATTCATTATGGCATCATCACTACATTTACTATTGATTAACACACTACAGCCGAGTATATTTTTATTCGTCTTTTATTTTCCCTTTTGTTGAGGTTTACAAATATGAGTGCAAAACGTATTTAAGCCCAAGCTGGAAGAGTTGCTTTACAAAATGCTGGCACATAAGAAGAGAATGGCGAAAGTGATATCATACAAGCGTGACTGGTTGTCAAAAAGAGTTTTACTCATTGGCAATTGTTTGCAACAGAAAATATGCTATTATGGTAGGCATGATATTTTAGCTATCTGGGCTTGCTGCCAATAGCAGCTGAATGTTCCTTTGCAAAACTACAAGCTTGCAATAACCAAAACTTGTGTGACTGCACTGTTATTTGTGCCTTAAATTTATAGGCAGTTTATTTTGTGTTAATTACTGCCGTTTCTTATTTTTTTCTCATAAAGTTTGCATACAGGTAATGCCCTAATAGTGTCTCTAATTCAATAGTTAAAGGTTGTTGGCTGACCTTGGGTACTCAACTTGCCCGCACTTTTTTAGGATGGGACTTGCAAGTTGCGTAAACACTTTCTAGACAAAGGACAAGCTTTGTTCAGCATGCCTTCTGGCGATTGCCGGTCATTTTCCTGATAGTGCAGCACACTGCCGGTTATCTGCTGTAATGGCTTTGATATTTTAGAGTCACGTGCAATGGGCTTGTTCACAGTTGTAGTTGGCACGTTTACAATGTTAGCAGATTGTTAGAGAAAAAAATTAAATGAGAAAGTGTTTGCTTAGTAGTAGTGTGGCCACTGGATGAAAACACACGTGATGTGCATTTGCATCCTCTGGCCGTGTCAGCAGTAAGCAGGGTGGACCCACTATAGCGATTCAGCTGTGGACCACTGCACTCGGACATGGTAGGATTTTCTTATCTCGGCCGTGGTTAGCGTGTATTGATTGCTGCGGAATGCAAAGCCACTAATGCTAACATGTTGTTACATCTCAAAACACTGTCAGCAGTCATAATCAAACTGAGAACTTACTTTGCTATTTCTCATTAATTTAGGACATTGCACCTTACAAAGTAACAGAATCAAACTAATCTAGAGATTACTACTGATCATCATAGCTTGCAGCTTAGGTTTGTTGAATTGTAACTGCCGCAATAATTATTACTATTCATCCCTGCCATGATGCATTCAACTACTTTTGAGATACAACAGTAGCACAGTGCATGTGACTTCGTTATATGTTTCGTATGAGCTGATTAATCACTCTACAAAAAAATGTATGTTGCCTTGCATATAGATGAGGGCATGAAAGAAGCACAAATTGGAAGACGTAAAATATCTGCTTCCTCTGCTGGTCACAAATGATTCTTAAATCATGCAGCTTTAGTGAAAAAGGTTAATCAGCAGTTCAAAGCTTTAGTTGCAGCAAGTTGGTTGTAGAGCAGCTTTGCACAATGTGCTCGTGTGGGCTTAAGCTGGAAAAGCGGGCTGAGGCGTAGTATGCTGTTCTCCGGTGTAGTTGGCTGTCTGCTCCTTGGGGAACTGCACCTGAAAGAGAAAACTTCTGGCTTTAACATTGATCTCAGAAAGGCCGTCACTCAGTGTCGCTGTGTTTAGTTTTGCTTTCGCCACAGACCTGTGATGCTATCATGAGCCCAATTTCGTTAGATTCATTTGCCAGTGTGTGGAATTTATAAGCTATGGAATGGGCTCATCCTGCCTGTTCACTGACAAGGATTTTCCTACATGACACTGCATTCCTGTGAAAAGCAAGCAATGGCGTGTCTGACGACAAAATAGTGCCAACAACACAGATATGGCATTTTGGCAAGTTATGTGAAAAAGGCATGATGACTAGCTTGCTTGTAATACGGCAAAAGTGTGCTACAACCTGCTCTCTTTCAACCTGGGCAAACACTAAAAACAGGTGAAAAAAAAAAAAGAATAGGCCATCTTGAAAACAGTGAAGTATTGCGAGGAAGGAAGATTGCCGAGGCCGTAATATCCACTCGTGCGAATAATTCATCTCTCAATTATTCTGGGAAACTGGTGCAGATGTCATCACCGAATGATGTTTTTTTTTTATTAAGTGGCAGCTTGTGTGAGGGTCTGTTTACATTTATGCAACAAGACGTTCGACATCTGCAAATGTTGGGGGAAACGAAGGTAGCTTTGCCTTAAAGCACCTTTGCACTGAGAAGTCTAATCACTACACTCTGTTCAGCTTCTACTGTGGCTGGTATCTAAGTCGAACAAATCTGAAGAAACTACGTGACTGGAGGCGTATGTACTGTGAGATGTCAGTGCTCATGTTAAAGAATACCACATAGCCAAATTTCTGGAGCTGTCCACTTTGGCATGCCTCACGATCACCTCATGGTTTTGGCATGGAAAATCTCAGACATCATTATTAAGAAACTGCATGAAGAAACACACCTATCCACCCACGGGGGTAAGCAAAGCATACGCACCGTGTGTAAGGAATGTTATGCATTCAAAATTCAATTCTCCCTGATGTTCTATGATGATTTTCAAGTTGGCAAGTTGAGAAGTAATTCACAAAAACAATGCACTAATAAGCTGACTCATATGAAAAAAAAAATAATAAAATCTTCTGGTTGTGATTACAAGATGACACTGCGGACAAAAATATAAAAAGACAGACCACTGTGTTGTCATAATATAAAGAGAAAAACTTTTTAGTAGAAAAACAGATTTTTGTCGATGCATGTATAATCGCTCGCATGTTACATTTTATAAGGATGGGCAATGAGAATAAAAGATTTGAGACGAGAAGGGAGAAAAAAGGAAGAATATAACTAAATATAATTTGTGAAAGTGAACCTGATGTTATTATTTACAAATGGCATGTCGTGTAAGTTTAGGCTTTTCTAGATGAAATAGTGAATCATTAACACTTTCTAAACAGGCCCACTCACTTTCTGGTCAGTCACTGTGCAACTGTGTCTCATATCATTTTTGTGTCCCGATTTTGCAGCACACCCTACATTGCATGACCAGATTTCTTTAGTTTGCTACTTGTCAGTGTCTTACCGCTTGGTCTATATAGAGTGGCACCTGGTACTGCGCACCGGTTGTGATTGTAGAAGGGTATGGCATGCTGCCTGCCAACGGTTCCTGTGTACCTGCACATGTAAACACAGTTGGCAATATGCATTGACAGGCAAAGAGTACTCAAAGAGGATAAGACAAGTAAATGGAGGTGCATGCACTCGCCCTATCCTGTTCTTGTTAGTATAGCACAATCCTTGAGCTGCTATGTGTGTTCAAGTAAAACACAAGCTCGGTTCTTTCAAGTTTATTTCGTGTGCCGTTGCAGGACTGTTGTGCCGTGAATCATTGCTTTTGCATCGTTTGTTGTTGTGGTCTATGTGCAGAACATATCAGTGACAGGAAGATAGCTACCAGAAGCACAAACAGAGCATTAAATACGAGAAAGCCCCATTTATGCTGATCGTCGTGATTGTGTTTCAACTAGATCAATTTACGGCATTACTAGAAGTGATTAACGAGGGATATACATTTCGTCTCAGAGGTGAAAGAAGGACAAAAAAAGAACCTTTTTTAGAATACCAGTTCTTCAAACTTAGATATGTTTGAACTTGTATTCATCAATTTCCCATAATTAACAAGCATCTTACAGCACGAGTGCCTTTGTGAAATTTATTTCAAATAGTAGAGCTATAGGTATACTTAATAGGTTATCAAAATTCAATAGAAATTACCCAGACTCAGTCAGAAAACAATTTTTTTTTGCTTTAAACTGACTTGGACTCGCCAACTTGTCTGGGCTTACTCATGTTGTAGTGAATGCCTTCTATACGATGTCGATCAGGGAAAGCACAGTTCGATAAGAGTACACTGAATTTATTTACGCTATTGACAGGTACTAAAAAAGGCACTTCTGAAAATCACAAGGAAAACATCTGAGTGACCGTTCATACGTCTTTATACTTACCGCTCTTTATTTTCGACTAACACACTCCGCCGCCGCTAGTCTCCCCGGAGCGCGCCTTTTCCCTCCGTAGCTACCTCTCTTTCCCCGAACAGGCTCACTAAAGCGGCGTAACAGAAAATAGCCTTGTTGCCGAGCCCTCGTCAACAAAACGAGAAACATGCGCTATTAACAACACCTACTCTATCTTGATGCCTACATCCATAGCAGAAAAGACTTTAATTCCCATTCACTGCCTTAGGTGCGTATCGCTTGCTGTGTGATTTTGCACAGAATTACATAAGGAATTCAAGACAAAACTGTTTGCATAGTATGAAGTGGACATGTCTTACAGGGCTTGGTGGGTGGGCTGTAGATTTCTCCGGCTGTATATTCTTGCTGACTCACCATGTGGTTGCAAGAGAAACACATCACTCTGAAATGTGCATAAGCATTGCTAAACGTTATGGCTCTGCTTTGTGGGTAGTGGAAACTTCACACCTAGGTGATTGAGTGAGAACCATATACACCAATATTTTTGTGGATGTTAGTTTATGGTGACTCAGTTCAAAATAGACGAAAAGGCATGTGGTAAAGAAGGTATAGGTGGTCAAAACTTCCTAATATTTTTGCATTGTAACCTGTTTCACTCCCATATACTGTACTGGCACACGAATGCCAAGCAATCAGTCAACCAGTCAAACTTGTAATCAGATTTATGTTTTATGGTTGTTCACTATATACGTAACAATTGTCCGTAGTTGCACAAGTTCAGGTTATCAAACCAGAAGTAGAATGGAAAACTGAAAAAAGAACTATTTTAGTGTGAGTGAAACCTTGAGGTTCAATTTAAACGGAATGAGATCAAACAGACAATACATAATATTTCTTCTGGTTTGATTTCCTTCTTTGGATCATATCCGTGTTAACTCTGGAAGCTCAAACTACTAGTTATGTCTTATGTAAATACGTGTGAACGTCTAGAGGCTTCTACAGATTTTAAAGCAGCAGTATCATTACAGTGCAGCTTTCAGCAGGCCTTGGCAGAAACCCTGGAAGAATTAGTTTTATCTCCCTCTCTTTTTGCTTTATTTGAAGTGAACTTTTTCTCGCTATTCATCTCTCTTAGTTTGTGGCACAAATGTCTATGTGAACATTATGAAGTTGATTGCTTTTTTGCTAAGGAATAATACAACTTGGTTTCAATGCCTGTTATTGCATAACAAAAAAATGCCATATCAGGTAAAGCCTACCACGTTTGCCACGAGGTACTCACTTCGCCAACAGGTAAAATAGTGACACCTTGAGGGCAATGATCCCAAGCCCCTTGAGTATGACAACAAGCAGATTGGGTTGTTCCTGTGGGAACTCCATAAACCTCTCTGTATCTGCAGTGGAATATGGACACATGAACCATTGCCACCATCATCACCTTCGCTACAATAGGATCAATTGCAATTCCAAGTCACAAGCGTCACAGTCTTTAGCGGGAATTCACTTTACACTGTGCACGTGGTAGTACAATAATTTGAAAGCATGTGACCGCTTGAAGCACGACAGCTCAGGCCATCACTTTTTTAAAAATTTTCATCAGTGAGATGTTTACTGAAAGATAATGCAGTTAATTTTGTAGTGCACTATTAACTGATATACTAATGATGTGCATTTACTGGTTCGCTTAAGCATTTGAGGGATAAATTGTTGTGACCAATGTAAAGTGTTCACAGATTGGAGTGTGACATTTCTACCATTTTCAGGTCACGTCACTTCGGCATAGCTTTGACTAAAACACTTGTATCAAAGTTAACGTTACCTATAGGGGCCAGTTTCGTGGTGATGTGATGTGGCTATGCAGTTGCACAAATCAGACATTGTACTAATTCACTCAAACTTCGATATAACAAATCCAGATATAACGGAATATCTGTCATAATGAAGTAAATGAAAAATAGTCTCGCAATAATTTTGTGCTAAGAATAAACCTTTACAACAAATTTTCGGATATAACAAACTTATTTTCAGGTTAGATGTAAGTTTCTTATAATGAGGTTCGAGTGTAGTACTTATGTTGGTATTCAGTCAAGGAGCGCTGTACACCTGTGCAGATACCATAGGCACAAGCAAGCAAGTGCAGATACCTTAAGTATAAGGCATTCTTTCAGCTCTTCTTTCACCTGATGACATTGTTGTTAGCTGTCGCTATGAGGCATTTCCCTTTATAAATACCATCCTCAGAAATGAATGGTGGATACTTCTGCATCTCAGGCAACAATAGAGCCTTAAACAAGGTGTGATGTTAATTTATTTTTTGAGAAGGCAGTACTCACTGTAGTAGCTTCTTGTGACGGCTCCCGTGTATAATTGGTGAGCGAAATATAAAGCACTGAATTTATACAAAAAGGTAAGACAAATGTTCGCACGCTTACCATCTTGCATCCGTGTGGGTTCGCACCAATCCTTGACCTGTTTGTACCCCGGCATGCAGGTGCACCGCTGGGTGCTACACATGAGGTGCGAGCTGCATTCGTTGTCGTGCGTGCAGTTCTCGCCAAGGAGCATGACTGTTCATCGACGCGAGGCCACGATGGAGCATACGTGCGAATAGGCAGGATCGATAAATCAATTGATTGCGAACACTACTTTGCAAGATGTGAATACGTTGACAGCCTTTTGTTTTCCTCGTGAAACATTCAAACAGTGATAAGAGCTGTCATATTGGACAATGTCAAACAAATAATGTGGTACCGCTTATAAACTTCTAGAAAAGAAAGCAGCAGTTAGCACAACACATGTTTCTTTGCTTAGATTGGAACTGGAAGTGCTTACGCGTTGATCTCTATTGTCACCACGACAAAAACTTTTTGCGATTATCTGACTTGCATAAACAGTGATTCTCTGCACATCTCTTGTCACGCATCTCATTCTATGCATTACGAGCTGTATCACAAATTATTTTATGCATCTTTTACAAATAAAAAATTGCTTTTCGCGTCTTTCCTGTTCGTGAAAATACATTTAGATTTATGTCTGATCATTTTTCAAAGGCACCTTAGAACAGCTATCATAGCTTGCCTGTTGTTCAGGAAAACATTTATCCTGTCACGGTTCATTATGACATCCAAAAGTAATGTGACGGTCACTTGGTTTCAAAGCAGAAGTAGACTGAAAGAAGTTTATAATATAGACTAGTTAACCTCTGCATTTGGTAATCCTAATGAAACATTGTTATGTTTAGTGCATCAAGCAGCATGCAAAAACACTATGCTTTTGTAATACTATATAAGCTCGTGCTGCACAACATTAAATTTCTTCCAATACGAAAATACATTAATTATATTTTACATTCGCCATAAGCATACATTATTCACAATTTTTTTAGAGGCATAAAAATATTTTACGTTTGCAACATTACATCCGATAATTTTTTATATTCAAAACCATATTTTTGTTAGAATAACAGGCATATTTGTAACACTTGAAATGAGCAAATAACATTTCATGCTTGCTTTGTTCCACACAATATTTTAGTATATCGGTGCAATGCCGAGGAGCATGGTTTTATATATAACTCACATTGGTATTCTCTATAACATTGGCATCCTCTCTGAAATATCGTAGTGGAAACTTAGGCAGCAGATAGATATTAGTCAACGTTTATATGCACTCTGTTCACGTGTCTTCTGTTTATGCATCCTCATAGTGGAAACTTAGGCAGCAGATAAATATTAGTCAACGTTTATATGCACTGTGTTCACGTTCGTTGTCATGTGTGTACAGTTGAGTCAATAGAAAAAATACTTACGTGGAATGCAGCTGTTATTTTTCCAACTGTAATAGTGGCCTCCGATACAAAAGCAGCTCGAATATATGCATTGGCTTTTCGGAAGCAATGCCTGGCATTGCACCGTCGTGTTGCAGGCGGTTCCGATGAGGCGCTTTTCTGAGGAAAAGGAAAAAAAGTAAAAAAAAAAGGTGGCGGTATAGGTGGCATTTATACTTCAGGGATGACACTACGCAGAATTGGGGTCTGCACGGAGTCCTTGTATTAAAAGCTAGGGCTAATACAAACAATATACCATGTATGTCATGCACTCGGCATATTTTCGTCAAGTACGTTTTATGATCTCAATGATCGCTGATGAATGCAGGTTCTGACTACTTTTTCTGGCGCTTCAGAAAGCAACAACATATCATCACTCATTTGCGAAATAGTTATTCCCAATGTTGTGCACAAAGCCATTACAATTGCACTGCTTGCTTAAAGAGCACAGATATTGCGTAGGAGTGGTCTTAAAACCTTTTGCTTCCGCATGGTAGCAATCGAACGGCAAGGTAGGCAGCACTTATGGACTGTTCGTGGAGAGTCTATCGTATCAAACCGCCATGCACAACACGCAGTTTATCATACGGTCCTCTGTCGAGCCCCCCTTATTTCTGTGTACGTATACACTCATAAACTTCGCTACTGAAATCTGCATTGAAAAAAAATCTATACTCACGAATGATAGCAGAATCTACAATCGTCCCCAGGCATATGAGTTCCAAGACAGCAGTTCCGAGTAGCAACAGAGGCATCTTTATCTGCGAACATAGAAGGAATGCGCCTCAGTTAAGAAAAAGCGAGCAGCGTTACACTGGCACTTAAGTTTCAGTTGAACTTTACAGTTTACGTTTCTTCTGGGATAATTCAGATATCCGTCTCCAGTGACATCTGATATTCACGAGAAATGCCCGCGGAAAACGTTTGCCTGAACCTGTGGCTTTTCTGCATTAATTGTTCTTACGAGGAGAAGCAAACTTTCCACCCAGCTTAAAGTGGGTTTCGCCGCGCTACGTAAATTGCTGCCGTGAAGCCACTTTTGTTAGAATGGGTAATTATTGTTCGTTGGCATGGCTGTTCTGATGTTAGATATTAAGAATGGGAATCATTCCAAGTAAAGGTATTCAGTTTTTTTTTAAACATTATGGAAAACAATTGTAAGCCCGTGAAACTGCGGGATTGCATCACATTCGGGCCTTTTCAAGCGAAATTTAATGTTCAGACTGGCCGAAAAATTTACCTTAGCGTGTCAATACGGCGTGCACACCCGTCGCATTTTATCGTGTAATTTTGTGCCGCCCATGTCTCTCCAGGCTGTTGGTATGCGCGCTGGAAGAAACAAAATCAATACGGATTCTCCACTGAACCCGTGCGCCACGTGCGTTGGATTAAGTTATGAAGTGACAAACTAGCGATATAACGAAGATGTTCGATCGCATGTATCATGCTCCATAATTTGCAGTTTAGTTTATTAACTTGAGTAACGAAGCAAATCACCATGCATACTCGAAGCGTCATAAGACCAGTATTTTGTAGCTGTTTTTTTTTTACTTTAGTTCGTCGTGCATCACATGTGTGACAGTTGAGATAAAGCGCAAGCAAATGTAGGTGTGGGCTCATCACAAGGGTATTTTGTTGAGGCCGCAATTTTCCATAACTCTCGAAATAACGGTTCATTCTTTCTCGGCGGCGCAAGCTGCTTTTCGCCCCATCAATTTATACAGTTGATTGGCAACTGGACAACCGCCCAGTTTCTCTGGCATGCACTAATACGCAAAACGCTCGAAGTTATAAACTCATAGATTGGAGCTCGCTCTGACCAATGCTTATCGGTGCTGTAGTATGAGTGTTCTCTGCTACAATTGCGTAATCGATGCGCGACATTTTGTGCTGAACGGTGCTGCCACTTTCAACTGGAGCAGCTTGATAAATTTATTACAAACGAGAACGCGCCTGGAAACATAATCAGCGGGCAGTCGTAGCCAAAAGCCAAGCACGAATGTCGAGAAACATCTGATTGGAAGCGCCCCTGGTTTCCAGGCTAAGCCTGGTATGCGTGGTGGTGAAGTTTGCTGTGCGGGGAATCGTTGCGGGCTGTTCCATGCTGTTGTTGGATGCGATCTGCTGCTCTTGCTAGCGGGACGATGTGTGCTTGCCCGGCCCATTTTAGAGCAGTGTCGGCAGCGAGTGCGGTGAACCATGTTCATTAAGAAACAGCACATCGACGTCAGGAAGTCGGCGCAAAAGGTGCTCGAACCGAAGCGAGATTCCTTGAGTCGACTCAAACACCTTCGGGTCTACCTAGGTAACTCGTGTTTTCTCTTTCGCTTTCCGGAGATTTGCGCGCTAAACGATTTTCGCGAGAAGCGCAAATCATTCGTACGTATGTTGCACCTTTGTCTGTGGCTATTTAGCCGCAGTTGATCGGAAAGCAACCGCGCTGGTGGCGCCTGCAGCGAAGTTTCGCCTGGCGCGATGGGCGGTCAGGCTTAAAATCGCCCGTATGGCTGTCAAACGCCGCTCGCGAAGACGACCCTGTTTCTGCCGTACCGTCGATCAAATCGTGTCTAATCGATGGCCAGACCAAGTGCGATCCGACTTTCGAAACCCTTCGAAGATGCCACCTTGACCCGTCCGGCGGGTTGTTTATCGCGTGCCGAAGTGGGCGGATTCGCTGCATCGCGGCGGGCCCCCTTCGCGTAGAAACGTGGAATTTTCGCTGATCGGCCGACGTTGCGCTTGCTGCAAACACTTTTCGCAGTACTTCCCCGCTGAAGCTTGCGTTGTCACCGAGGCCGAGTAAACTTAGTGTTGCGATTCAAACGAAAAAAATAAAAACGAAGGGAGGTATCGCACTAGCGGATCGGAAGGGGAGGTTAGTAACCTGGATTCAGCGCTTTTCCTGGTCCGCTGGGCGCGAGTGGGGCTTCGTTTCGTGTTCCTTTCGGCCGGCAGATTGCGTGCCTCCGCGACCAGAAGCTTTTCTTTTCCTTTTGTTTTGCTGTCGGTAATTGCGCTAGCGTGTCCGCACGAGCAATTCTTACGAGCAAACAACTAAAAAAGCAACCTTCCGGCGCGGTGGGCACCTGTCTTGGCGCGTGTCAACAGGTTTTAACATCGGGAACGTGCAGTGGTAAGTGCGGATCACGCGTCGAGCCGATTACAGATTCATCGCACGAGTCGGCTTCGTCGCTCGGGTCGTGTTTCAAACGGTAAAGTCCGTTGTCTCTGGGCGTACATTTGCGGGAGCGTGTTTCGCGCGTTGGGACCGCGATGGTAACTGCCTCACGGGTAGTTTACCACCACGCGTATGTTTCCGCTTAAGCAGATAGCAACCCAGTGTACGTTGTCATGCCATTTGATTCGCGAGCGTGCGAGCGGTTGTGTATGTAAATGCGCCCGGCCATCATTGCTTAATCAGCGCGATTGGATTGCTGCTTTTCCCGTGGTGTTGTAAGCACGCACGCATCTGTCGTCTTTCGTGTTTTTTCCCCCTCTTTTTCGTTCGTGCGATAGCGGATAATTTTTCTCGTGTGTGATGTATATATAAATGTATACTTGCTATATAATTGAACAAATGTGCTCGCACATACAAACGTTCCTAACCTCAAATGGAACGCGGCACGTATACTTTAATGCCTCTACTTATAATAAAGCGTTTGACGAACAGTCGTCTGGTGATGAATCATACTTGTGCAAAAAAAAAACAAGAAAAAAAAAACTGCCTGTACTTGTGAACGTCTTTTTAAAGCATGTCATGTCCGTGAACACGATATACGTTGACACGACATGAGCAATAAGCCGGCAACACATATGTGATATTAAAAAAACGGCACTTGCAGTGCAAGATATTGTCATTTCTGTGACCGTATTAAAGTCAAGGGGCCCCAGGAACAAATTTAAAGTCCAGAAGTCTTCATGAAGCTTTAGAACTGTACAGTTGTTCCACCATCAAAGCAGTCTCCACAACTTAGTATGTTTGCGAATGTCACTACACTGCACGCTTTTAAGTGTTGCCTATTAAAAGCACAAATGAAGCATTAAGAACAAATAAGCGGTTCATTGGCGTACTCGGCACGATCCATTTAACACTATTTGCTTGTTGTGGTTTAGCTAGATATGGGGTTTCTGAGAGACTTGACGTGCTTCACTGTATTTGCCGTGATAGTTTAGTGGCTCTGGCATAGCGTTGCTTAGCGTGGAGTGGCCGATTCGAACTTTTCAGCCATGGGGGCCACATTTTGATTGAGGTGAATTCAAGGATCGCCCATGTAATTTATCTTTAAGTTGAAGAAACCACACGGGTCAAAATTAACGCAGCAAAACCTCATCATTGAATTGTAATTCTATTGTGGTTTTTGCATGTAAAATTCCTGAATTAAATGTGTATGATTGCTGCGCTGTAATTGCTATGCTGTAATATTTTTTTATGATGACTTGCCATAACGAAATATGTCACACTTTTTTTTGCAATACTGGTTTTTTTGTGCACAGGTATCAGTTTCAAATTTTGATGCTGTTACAGAAATATTCATATTTACAAGTAGGGACTACTCGGTTAGAAAGATAAATCAAATGGGATACGGGTAAATTAGTCATTCAGGGCTTTCGAATGTTAACACGCTCCTACAATGACCGGCTTATACTTTCCAACAAATGTTGCCCCCCCCTCCCTCAGTTATATTGTTATTGCAGTGACAGTAATGCCAATTGTCAGTTTTTGAAAGACAGTGTTGAATTGTTCACTTGCAGACAATGTTGAAACTGCTGAGGCGAAGACATTCTTTGAGATCAACTACAGTCACATCTACTGCGTCTTTCACGATGTCTTTACCTCACTGGAGGCGACGCTTAGACAGAGAGGTTTGTGGAATTCCTGACTTATTTCTTTAGATGGATGTTTCAATTCTGGCCTGTTCGAAATCTTGACATTTTGTTTCCTCCTTTCTTAACAGTGCACAAGACTCAAAAAGAAGAGCTGGACAATGTGAAATACATATTTGAGGTATGAGTCGCGAAAGTGCTTTCTACGAACTTAGTTGCATCAAACAGGCCTTGCAACTATTGTGCCCTGGTTCACGTTGAGCGCATGAGTTCAGTTATACCTGTGTGTTGCTATTTAAACATACGTTTTGGTGATATACAATGTGGTTCAAATCGGTATATAGTGGTCAGTTGCAATTTCTGTAATCACACAACAGCTGGCCCTGGAGCACGAAAAACTAACTGAATTAAGCAGTGTCACCTATACAATTGTTCTATCATTGCTTACAACCTGAGAACAAAATGAAAGCTCCTCCCTCATACTTTGCTGTTTGATCCAAACAGAGTTTACATAAATGGTCTCGTCCAGTTACAATTGTTTATTTACACGATGCCAAGCAACTCGTGCGTAATTAAAGGGATACTGAACAAACTTTTTGCCGCCAATATTTTCGGCCAGATCGTTTGATTGGATCCTGAAATAGATAGGGACAACCTTCATTCCAAGCAGAATCTACTGGAAATTAATTAATTTAATGCGTTTTTCACTAACTGTCGCGTCTAGCGGCAGCACCGTGAACTAGAGGATGTGACGGTGGGGGACGTCAAACTCACCGGAAACTAGATACTTATTGTTGTGACGTCAAACTCACCGGATACTTATTGTTTGAACAAAACTACCTAGCAAGAATCTCTTGAACAAATTAATCATAAATTCGCCGCAGTTTTGCATGTAGAGGCTGTACTTATTATGCTGGAATTGGCTACAAGTAACAATCAAAAACATGATCACGTCTGAGTAGTGGTCATACTTAATCTCTCTGTTTTAATTATTCAAAGACAGCATTTACCAGGTAAATGGAGAGGGAGCATAGACGTAACTAGCTTCCTCCGTACTTATTGATATCGTTGGTTTTTATGCCTTTGGGACCACGAAGTTACAACTTCAATTAGTAAAAGTTAGTTAGCATTTAAGCTTCATGCTAAAATAACATACTCCTCCTTGAGCAGTCTAGGTTTAGGCATATAATCACACCATTGGCCACAGGTAATCCTGAAACTTTTCATTTAGCCTGTAAAAGAAAAGCGCCTGGTCTGGAAAACAAAAGGTTGAGTGGGTTAGGTGGTTGCGAAACAGGTGTTCAGGAGCCAATCTTTGTCACTGCCAAGTTTTTTATAGAAGACTGAACTAGGAACGACCGTTGAATCCCGTTGAATTCTTTCAGCGAATTCTGGTGCTGCTTCCTGAACTGCTGGCTCAGCGATGGCAGTGGCACAGCATACGCGCCATCATTCGAAAATTCCTTCACTCGGGGAACTCCTTGAGGGTATGTGCTTTTCCAATACGCTGCTGTAGCTATAATAAAAAATAATACATTTGGCTGGTTGCTTTCGAACATTCTTGCGGATGCACTTTAAACTTGCCTGGTTAGTGTTGTGTGTATGAAGCACGTATGACTGGTGGTTCTCGAACATTGTTGTCCAGCTCAGAGGAGGAATGGGGGTATGAACTTGATTGCTTCACAGTGCAGTTAGCTTTTTTTTTAGTGAACAGTGCATTACGTGTTATGTGCCTTTCAATACAAGAGCAAGCTTTTAATTTCACTGCTCCCAGTTCTGCCCTAAATCTTTAATCTTAGTTGTCAGTTTTTCGTAGCGCAGCAAGCAGTCAACTGCCTCTGTTGTGCAGTTAAGCACCTTATTTTTTTTTTGTCTGCCTGTCGCACATTATACATAAACTAGCAGCAAGGGACACAGTAAGGTGCTGCTCTTGTATCTGTTATTGTTTCAGACTGTCCTAAATAGCTTCTCAGAAAGAGTGATTCAAATTCATGGGCTTTAGCGAAAGAGTTAGATTGTAATGGTTTTGACGAATGGTGGGTTCTATTTTTGTGTCGTATAATGTGACTGGGACTCTTAGGGAAAGAAAAAATTGTGTGAATTTTACTGCCGAGATCATCAAAGTTTCTTGCACAGTATTTCCGACTCTCCATCATAGATTGCTATAACATATACTATACATATGGAAGACACAGATCTGCTGAAAGATAGAGGGCAGATTGTGTTGGAAAAACTAGCCACCCTGTTTACGAGGTGTCTCCTGACGGGAAGAGTACCAGAGTCTTGGAAGAATGCTAACATCATTTAATACTGTTAGGGGGAATACTGTTACGGGGATTAATACGATGACTTTTCGCTTCTTCAAAGCGTCGACATTCATTAATGACGTTGTCTATTGTCTTACGAGTTGCGGAACACAAGCGGAGTGAAGGCATCATTCGCAATTCCTTCGAGAATGTGCACGACCTTTTCGGATTCCGGCATTTTGTCTTCAACCGTGCGACAGAGGGTGAGCACATCCTGAATGTATGTCACGTATGACTCGGTGCAGGACTGCAGTCGGCACGCGAGTTCTTTCTGCGCCGAACGACGACATTTAATGGGCTTGCCAAAGAGGTCGATGAGTTTGTGTTTGCTAATATCCCAACTCGTGATTTCTTCTTCATGGTTAGAAAACCAAACTTTGGCCCTTCCCTCAAGGTAAAACAGTGGCCAGCATGAGCGTCGGGTCCCAGTTGTATAGTGTACTCACCCGTTCGTATAGCTGAAGCCATTTTTCGACATCCTTGTCGTCGTTGCCGAAAAAGGTGCCTGGGTCATGTGGAGTCGTCAGAACGACGGTGCGGTTCGTGACGGCTGGACGCGACGCTCTTGGACACTGCGTGGTCTGACGAGGCATGCTTGGAAAAGGTACCGACGGATCCTCGTTCTCGTCGTGATCAGCCATTGTAAAAGCAGCCGAGGAACGCCCGCTTCGTAAAATCGTCGTGGATGTTGATTCTGGGAGGACCCGCACTCTCCACCAAAATGTTACGGGGAAAAGGCGTCGGAGAAATATGCTTACTATCGATTTAATAAGCAGGCATACAAGATGGAACCTAGTCTGCACGAGAGCTCTGACATCGTCTTCTTCCTTATTGAGTTTCGAGTTATCCGTGGCACCACGTAGCAATACATACGTAGCGGCTGATGACAGGCGAGAAGGGACAAAGTTTATGATAAAATAAAAATCGGCAGTGAATTGTACGAGTGGGACTGTTGGGCTCGAACTTGGTGCGTTCCCCGAATACCTTATGTTACCCACCCAGCGGCCGGCGAGCCCTCGCCAACAAGGAAGCAGGGCCACCGGAATGCGGTACGATGACTGTCTGCTGGCCACAAAGGACGCGACAACTCCCGTGCCGCTGTCGGGCTCAATTATGGCGCCTTACAGGAGACCAAGCCAGGCTGCAGGTGGCCGGTACACGTGGAAGGTACACGTGGAAGGTACACGTACGCGTCCGCCGGACAATCAGAATCAGCGGAGGCGACGGCATTGGCGCAGGGGCCAATTGTATTGATGGCCTGTCAACCCGGCATCGCGGGAACTTACTCGGAGGCGCTTTTCCACGACCTGGCAACACCCGTCGTCGACCATTCCGAGAACCGGTGTGAAAGAAACCCGAGCGACGGCGGAGAACCGATGAGTGGGCAAGAGGCGGTGAATCTTCGAGGTTGTGGCGAGGAGAGACACGTCTGCGCGTTCCGATTGGACTGTAAGAGTGGTGCGTTACGATTGGACGGTAAGAGTGGTTGAATGGGGAGACAGGGGATAAAACCAGGGGTGCAGGGACAGTGAGGGGAGAAGAGAAACGAATAAACGTCTCTATATCCATATGATGTCGGAGCAGTCGTTTCCTCAAGGTGCCAGCAGATGAAAAGTTCTCGTCTTCGGCTTCCTTGGCGGCAGCAGCAAATGTCGCGCAACAAGCGAGAGGCGAGTGGAAAGAACCAAATGGAACGTAACTGGCGCAGTCGACAGGATCTGCATGGCTGAACTGAGGAGGACAGCGGGGAGTGACATCGGCCGAGACTGACGACAACCACCTTCAACTGACTACCACGCTGCGGGATCAACGAAGCAAGGCTAGTCCACCGGATTTTGAGGAGGAAGAGCGCACCGCAAGGCTACTTCAGGCGGGTACCTCTTGATTTTCTGTTGGGCGCAGGCGATGACAAAGCATTACAACTTGCGAGACAGAGAAAGGGACAACTCGGAAATGAACGGGGACGGGGCAGAAAACTTGCAGGCGTTCGGAGTCGCCGACAGCGGCACGGGGTGTCATGGTAGTGTCACGTCAGATACGGCGTCGGAACAGCAGCTAGCGCTGCTCCAGCTTCAATTAAAAATTGCTGAGGCGGAAACGGAGAAGCAGCGCTTGATGCTGGAAAGCCAGCGGCTATGAGCCCGTAATGGGGCAGAGTCCAACGAGAGCGATGACAGCGTAGCGCTTGGCGGAAGGTCTGAGGAAGACAGGCGACTGAAATTCGCAAGCTTGTTAAAGGGTGTACTGGCACCAATGCCGAATCAAGAGGCGCTTACGCCAGTGTGGTTCGAGGATGTTGAAACAACGCTCGAGTCGTATGAAGTTCCGAGCGAATGGTGGGCCGGGCTAGTTTTGCCACAGTTGAGTGAAAGGGCACGCGGGCTGCTGTGCAGGCTTACAGCAGAGGAGCGCAAAGCTTATGTTAAGCTTAAGTCAAGCATTTTGGAGGGTCTAAGGCTTTCGGTGGCGGAGTACAAGAGGCTGTTTGCAGGATCGAAAAAGGGAGAAAGGGAGTCCTGGGATCAGTTTGCCGTACGCCTTGAGAATTATTTCGACTATTATGTCCAGAGTTCAAAGGTAGGCACGTTCGAGGAACTCAAGCAGCTAGTCGTCGTGGATCGCTTGAAAGAATGTTTGAGCCCGGAAGCGAGAGCGCATGTCATTTGTAATCAACAGGAGTCCTTTTTGCTGCCCAGTGGCGTGGCTAGGCTCGCGGAGAGATTCGAGGAGAGCGAAAAGTGCAAGGCAGCACAAAAGAAAGCTAAAACAGCGGTAGATACACCCACGGACGGAAAAGGGAAAAGGCGATGTTTTGAGTGTAAGGGTAACGACCACATTGCCAGGAATTGCCCCAATAAGGGTTCAGGTGCAAGGCAAGACGCTAGGCCAGCAGGACAACAAAACGGTCCAGTGGTCGCGAGGGTGACGGCTTCTGCATTCGGGTCAGAAATAGCAATGACAGACAGGTTGTGGCAGCGTAAAGAGCAGAAACAACCCTCACTGGAAACTGTAAAGCTTAAGAGCTCAGGTCGATCATTAAACGCCGTGGTAGACTCAGGAGCAGAGGTGAGCGTCATCAGAAAGGCAGTGGTACCTCAGTACGATGGTACGGGTTCGCAGATAAAGTTGACGGGAGCGTTCGGGCAACAGGTAACCGCTGAGTTGGCTTACGTGCCGCTCATAGCTACTGAAGGAAGTCCTTACGTGATGTCCGAGGCGGTGCAGTCGGCCGTGCTTTGTGCAATCACAGATAAGCTGCTAGACGGCACCGACGCGCTGATCACGCCCAACGATTACGCACAGCTTCTCGAGGAAAGGGTTAAACGTGACATAGTGTCAGACGAGTGTTCAGCAGTCGAGGAGACCGAAGTTATAGTAGAGCTGTCAGATGAGGCATGCGAGGAGCAACGGGCGATGGCAGGCGTCATAACCGCGGAGAGCAACAGCGAAGGTTCCGAGCCGGTCAAAAGCGAACGACAGGAGTTTCGTGAGGCTCAGGAAGCAGACACGGCTTTGCGAGATGCTTAGGTGCAGGCAAAAGCTGGAACGCATGGCATGCTCGTTCAAGACGAGCTATTGTATCATCAGGAACACCTCGCGGGTCGCATCTGCAAACAGTTAGTGCTACCATCACACAGGCACAAAGAAGTGCTGAAAATGGCTCACGATTCACCATGGGCAGGTCATTTAGGAGAGCAGATATTTTCTCAACACGGGGTGCCGGAGACAATTCGCTCAGATCAGGGCACCAACTTTACGTCGAGGTTGACACAGGAGATGTTGCAAAGACTTGGGGCAACTCCGAGATTTTCCACGCCCAATCACCCGCAAAGCAACGGCTTAGTCGAGCGCTGGAACGGCACGTTCAAAAGAATGCTTTCTCACATAGTCGGCGAACATGGACGCGAGTGGGATAGAATGATTCCGTTTTTGTTATGGGCATATCGTGAGGTCCCACATGCGACTACAGGGCGGTCACCGTTCGAGCTCATGTACAGGCGGGTGCCGAACGGGCCCCTATCCATACTTAAAAGGACTTGGTCAGGAGACTGGGAAGTGCCGGAATCATTGGGTATGCCAGCAGCGGAATATCTTGCGAAGCACCGAAGTAGTTTGGAAAAAGCTAGCGAAGAAGCCACCCGACAGAGTGAACTCACTCAGAAGGAGTACGTAGGACGCTA